ATAAGAAACAGCCTCCAAAGACATTGGCAGAAGAATGTGAGGATGTGATAAATTCAAAAAATGAAACATTAAAAGATAGAAAGATTAGGGAATTAGTATAGAAAAATAGACAATTATTGCTTAGTTATGAAAAGGAAAAACAATCTAGAAAGAAACTTGAAGAATAAGTAAATAAGGCCTTAAAAGAAACTGATGAAGGAATTAAAGCATTGGATAAAAGTATTCCCAAGGCTCCAATTCCTAAAGCAGATCCATTGGCAAAAGCATTAAAAGGATCTGAATCATAGAAAGAGGATATAGGAGTAGCTGATGATTTTAAGAATAAATTCAAAGAAGCAGATAAAAAAGTATAAGAATAAAGAGTAAAGTTATAATAATTGAAAACAGAATTAAATAAAGCAATGAGGATTATATAAAGGGAAGTAGGTGAGAATGTAAATTTAGATTAATTATTAATGGATGAAAATGGATGGAAGGGTAGAGCTTAATAGATAGAAATTTTGAAATCAAAAGTGAAAGATTTAAATTCCAAATTAGGATCATCTTCTTAATATTCAGATGTCTCTTAAATGTCTAAACAATCTAAATAGGAATAAAAGAATAATACTGATAAATAATAATTTGAGTTATTAAAATCTTAATATGAAGCAGTAAAATAGGATAATGAGAATTTATAACAGAAAATAAAAGCAGTATCAAGTAGGAGATAAATATTAGAGGATTAAATAAAAGAAGTAAAAGTAGAATATGAGAAGAATAAAAAGGTAATTTAAAGTGTATATCTATTTTAGATATTATTAGAGAAGAGTGAGAATGATGATAAGTACATATTTGCATTGAAATCTGAATTAGATAAATTGAAGAAGAATTAACCATAATAAGAAACTAAAATAGTATATAAACCAGCAGATGATGAGGAGACAAGAAAATTAAGATAAGAATTGAAATATTGTAAAGAATAAATTGGTCATAATGAATAAATGATAAAAGAATTAATAGCAGAAGTATTGAATTTAAATAAATTTAGAAAGTTAATAGGAATAAATAAGAATTACCTTAATAATAATAATAATAAGAGAAAGTATAGACTAAACCAATTCAAACAGATGAGAGAGTAAAGAAATTGGAAGAAGAAATTAAAGTATTAAAAAGAGAGAGGGATGAATTCTTTAAGACATTGACTAAGGATGTAGAAACTTAAAAAATGATAAAAGATTTAACTATGTAAAATGTGAAATTGCGAAATAAGATTGATGATTTAACTAAAAAATGAATTGTGTTCTTTATTTATTAATATTTTCAAGAAACATTGCTTGACATACTTGGTCTAACTCTAGACTTTTTTATTTATTTCTATTTATTAGGAAATACTCTCCTTATGAAATATTCATCTCCTAATAGCATTACAAATCCTACTATTATTGTTAAAATAAATTGCATAAAATTATAGGATCTACCATGTTATTCATTTGTATTATGTAATTTTAATACTTTGAATTGCCATTCTTAATAAGTGAAGAAGATCCATAAAGTAAAGAATAAACTTATGCATATAAACATTAACATAATTTTGTGAGTAATTATTTTCTATTTGAATGGTTTTGAAGTATAAATAGCAATAACTGCCATAATAAAGTAGATTTACATACTTTTGAAAAGAGTAGTTTGAATTGTTCCTTCTTTTGAAAATTTACCATTTACTACTGATGGTTCATTCTCCCATTCTAAACTATTCCAATATAAAAAATTAATAATCAAACCAATTGAGGCTATTAAGATTTAATAACTTAATACTGCTACATTCGAAATAGCCATCATACTTTCATTTGGTAGATCTTTAGTTAAAGTGATTGAAGGTTTAGAAAGGGATATCGACTTTAAATAAGGCAAAGAACCAACATAATTTATAACAATATATTGTAAATCTCCAAAGTTTTATCCAAAAGCCATATTTATCATTGCTGCTGTGTATTTTATAACACTAGCTCCAACATAATACTAAAATACTTCTAAAGCATTCTAGAGTGCACATCTTCCATCTAAAAGTATCTATCTTACACAATCAATACTATCATCTGCACTAGAATAAGGAGCTGAATAAGCAGCATCACTTTAAGCAAATGAGACACCAACATTTGCTTATTTGATAGCTGCACAATCATTCGCTCCATCTCCAATCATTAAAACCATTTTATTTAATTGTTAAAGTTTTTCTATAACCATAGATTTTTGTTCAGGTCTCATTCTTGCAAAAACTCTTGCATTTAAACATATTGAAGCAAATAATTTATGATGAAGTTCATCATTATTTAATCCTTATATTTTTATTTATTCTACATTATCTATTGGTTCTTCAAATCCAGCAAAAGATTATCTACTGTGTTTTTTTATTTCTTCTTTAGGTAATTAACCCCAAAAATAATCAAATGCCTTACCACTCATTGCAAAACAATGACTAGTACTAAGATTATCATTATCAGAGATAATGGATCTTTTTATATTCTAAGCAGTCAATAAATGTTAAACTAATTTATTCATTATCTATTAATGATCTAAGGTTTATTCATTTACATCCTCAACATCATCAATGAGTACTTCAATTTCATTATTTTATTATGATTGATTGTCATTCAAATTATCTTCAAAAACACCTATTTCATCTAAGGATAATTATTACTAATTAAATGATGAATATAAATACTTCTTTTTCATTATAATCTAACAATAAGACTGGCTTACCATTATTGATTATTCCACATTCTCTAGCACATTATACTGTAGTTAAAGGATTATCACCTGAAATGATTTTTAGATCAATTTATGCATTATTTAATAAATTAATAACTTATGGAGTATCATGTTTTAATTTGTTTTCCATTGCCAATAATCCAAAAAACTAAATATCTTATTCACATTCTTATCTACTTGCATTAATTAATCTTTCACTTTCCTCTTGACTTATTTATTTATATCCAAATCCTAATATTCTAAGTCCTTTCATTGTCAATAAATTAAGGGTTTTCTTAAAATCAATAGGTATAGTATTTTGAATAGATAATTCTGCCATTTTTTCAGGTGAACCTTTAACAAAAACATAATAATCATCTTTGTCTTTTACTATTACACTCATCCTCTATAATGCTGATTCAAATTCATACAATTTAAGTACATCCAATACAATACCTTCTCTATTTACAACTCTAGATTTAACATTTTAAGGAGGATGTTTTTCAAATTTAAAATCTGTAAATTTAAATAATTCTACATCAAGACTATCACCCATTAAATCACCATCTATTTCATATGTTCCATGACAAGTAGCAAATAATTTAAATTCTAAACTATTTTTATAATTCACTTAATTTTTTGTTATGAATTTTCCAAATTTAGATTAATTTCTTAATTAATATCCAAACATATCTATTCCTATTGTTGTTAATGTTCCTGTCTTATCAAAACAAACTGTATTGATTTTACCAGCAACAAGTGATTTACTTGGATCTATACCAAAAATACCTTTTTGTCTTAATCTAATTAATGAATATGTCTAACACATTGAAACAAAAATAGGTAAGGCTGGAGGTACTATCCATGTTAAAGCATCCCAAAATCTTAAAAATATAATCATGAAACTAAATCCAATAGAAATTATTCTTGGTAATAATGCAAAATAAACAATCAAAACACATATGGCTAAACAAATTAAATATTTTATTCCTTAACTATAAAAAGGAAATGGTTAAACTTTTGGATATAAAACACTTCTAAATATCTACCCCTTAAAAGAGCTAAATCCTGTTCTTCCTACTATTGCAATAACATATTAATATGTAGGTCTTACAAGTAAAACCTTTGTACCTTCATATAAACAATGTCTTTTATCAGCCATGAATGAAATTCGTTAATCCAAATCTTCTACTGGAATCTTTGGAATAGGAATTGATTCCCCTGTCAAAGAAGCTTCATTCATCAATAAATCTCCAGAAACTAAGACACAATCACAAGGCAATGTCATTTTATTCTCAATTGCAATTATATCTCCTGGTACTAAATCTTTACTATCAATCTTCTTAAATTGAATTCCTTATTCATAAAAGGGTTACTACCCTCTATAAACTTAAACTTAAGCTAAACTCTTTGCCATATTTCTCAATTTATTGGCTGAATTCTAAAGAAGTAAAAAGTTTATTGTTGTAAATATCAATGAAACGGATATCATTATTATTGACAATATTGCCAAGTCTTTTAATATTATTCAATCAATTACCTTCTAATACCCACAAAAAACATGACAAATACTACAATATATAAAATGGTGCTGTTAATTCTTTAACCAAATATACAAATAAATTAGGTTTTGGAATATCAATTATACATTTTCCATACTCTTCTTGAAATTTATTTGGATCTAAGTTAATTAATCTTTTACTTACATTATATACCAGTGGCTTACAACAATTCTCTTTTAGTTCTCAAATCATATTCAAGAGCTTTAAATGTATTCATAGCACTATTATAGATGTACTTTAATTTTCTGTTGATGAAATATATTTAGTTTTGTTTATTCTCTAACTTTGAGATGTTATTTGAATTATCATTATTAGTAACCCATATATGTGTAGCCTTGTCTAATTATGATTCTTTAAAGAAAAACTTTCTTACAAGCTTCTTTGACCAACTACAAGCTAATGTGAACAAGAAACTTGTGATTACAGAGAGTAACACTCCAAGTACTATTCTTCTCTTTTATAATCTTATTGGTTCTATATAAGTTATTTTTGTTGTGCCTTCTATTTCACAATCAACAACTACTGCATTCTATTCTTTAGATAAGAGACTTGAAGGATCCATTAAAGATATTATTAATATTTTATGCATTAGTTATGATTGATATGTTTAAAAATGGTGTAACATTTTTATTTAGTACAATTGAAAATTGCATATTAAAAAAAGATAATAAATGAATAATTATGATAATTCAGGAAGAGAAGATTTTATTTAATAAATTAATGTATATCAGTCTTTCCTAAAATAATAAAACTTGGTGGACTCACACATCTCTTGTACCAACAGAGAATGAGTAAAAAGTAGTATCATTGGTAAATGGAGTGGGAAGCTTTTAGAATAAGGCATCTTTAATATCAACATATTTGAGTTTAGAGGCAGTCAATCGTATCCCAGTAGCTAAGAAATTGGCAATTTATTTCAAGGCAGGAATTGTTGGTGCAGTATTTTTGGGATCAAGGTAATTTGATACATAATTTAAATTAGAATAGCAGCAGGATCTATTTATTAGAGAAATGTTTAAGGAGAGATTGGAAAAGTACTTGATGGTGCACCAATTTGGGAGAATAAGTTTGACGTTCCAGAATTAGACAAGAAATTCTTCTTTATTGATGATGATAATAATTTTGAACCCTCATTATGGCATCATGGAATGTATGCATTCATAAATAGAAAAGCAACTCAATTGAGAAGCCAAAGGTATTCTACAAACATGAGTGAATTTTAATCATTTAATGGATAAAATTTAAAATAAAATTAAATCTTTAAATTATTAATGGGTCGTATGCAAGCCAAAGGAAAAGGAAAGGGTATCTCTGGATCAGCCCTTCCATACAAGAGAAAAGCTCCAAAATGGTTGACTCTATCATCAAAGTCAATTGTTGATTAAATAGTGAATTTGGCAAAGAAGGGTAAAGAAATAATTGTAATTTGAGGTTTGAATGGATCATAAATTGGTGTTTATTTAAGAGATCAATAAGGAATTCCATAAACAAGATTCTTAACTGGACAAAAGATCTTGAGAATCTTAAAAAAGAGAGGTATTAATAGGTAGAATAACCAAAAGGTTGTGCTCCAAAGATTCCAGAAGACTTATATGCTTTGATTAAGAAGGCTGTTCAAATTAGAAAACATTTAGAAAAGAATAGAGGTGATATTACAAGCAAATTCAGATTGATTTTGGTTGAGAGCAGAATTCATAGATTAAGTAGATATTACAGAAGAACATAAAAATTGCCATCAAATTGGAAATAGTAAGCAATATTAATAAATGTTTAGTGTTTCAAAGACAGCATCAGCCTTAATTGGTCAATGAACAATATTTTATACATATAGTACATTATATAATAATTATATAAATGATTAATAATGTTGTCCCTTATTAATGTTTAATATTTATGATTAAATCTCAGAATCTGCCACCAAGATATTGGGATGTTGCAGTTAATTTTTCAGTTAAATGCTCTAAGATTCTTTCAACAATTTCTTATTATCTTTATCTTTCTGTGGTTTAAGTATCATAAGTGTTTTCTTAGAGAGCACACCATTCATGTTCAGCATCAAGAGTTTCTTGAGCTTATTCTAATTCTAACTAGTAAAGATATTAATAATTATAATTACTTAATGGACTTCAAAGAAATGAGTGGCAGTATCAATGTTGGTCTTGAAAGTTTGGATTGATTATTCCAATTAATTCTTTCTATCAACCAATCTATTGTGTTCATTGCTCAAATGAGTAGAGAATTCAGCCCATCTTTAAGCTTATCTATTTTCAGTATCCTATATATATTTAATATATTATAATTACTTCTAAAACTGATCTTGCTTCAACTAATTGTTATCTAAGTTATGAAAGCAATTAGAGAATTCTTTAAATAGCTTTTTGATCAACTTTAGTAGCTAATTCAGTCAAAGCTGTAACAATTGGTTAGAATAGAGCACCATGACTTTCATTTTCAATCAATCTCTTTTAAACAGCTTCAAATTTAGGTTTGAGTTCAGCAAAAGTAGCACCAAGAGAAAGATGTTAGACTAATTTAGTTGCTTCATCAACAGCAGCAATAGCATCATCATGCTCTCCATTCTTTCTAACCCATGTTTCATGAGCTTTGTTTCTGTTAGCCTCTTCTTGAGCAAATGTTCTTTCATTACTTTCAATATCCTAATTAATTATTTATTATGCATATTTTTACTTAAATTGTTTATCTAACATCATTTTCAGCTTCTGCCAAAGCTTTTTCGTTATCTTCTCTCATTTAAGCATTAGCAGCTACTTAAGCTTAATGATAAGCAATTGAATTTTCTAAATCTGTGACTATACGAGTGCAAGCAGCTCTATCAACTCTGATAACATTGTCATGTTTGTTTTAATCATCAACTAAACCAGCTAAAACCTAATTTAACAACACTAAAATTTCTTCTGCATTTCCTTTTGCTTGTAAATACATTTAAACTGTTGATAGAATTGTATTTCCAAAGTTGTCAGCATCAATTTCAGCTAACAATGTCTTTGTATCCTTCTGAACACCCATTACACATGAAACAATCAAGGCCAAAGCGATGAATTTATACATTATTAAAAAATTAACGAAAACGGATTACAAAATTAATATATTAATATATTAATCAAAGGTATCTGTAGCCATAACCTGTTGCTGGACGATATCCACTAACTCTACTTGGACTATATCTATAATTTGAATATGATGTTGGAGCAGGTGGAGGTGGTGAAAAATATTATGATTAACTTCCATAACCAACTCTACTTTAAGGTCCTCTCACTACTTGGCTATTCTATACTGGAACATAATCCACATGTTCATCATATCGATCAACTGGTATATATTCCACTCTTTTTTCTAGTCTAGGAACTGGTACATAGTCTGTCTCATGCTTAACTAAATATAATCAATTTATTTTTTAAACCTTCTATGTAATCAGTGTATGATTTCTCAACAGGTCGATATTCAACCTTTGTCTCTGGTACATAGTCTGTATATCTCTACTCTACAGGAATATATTCAGACCATTATTCGCCTCTTAATGGAGCTCTTGATTAATATGAGTATGGACGATCGTAAGGACCGTAGTATGAAGGAGCATATTAACTTGTTGGATAAGCTGGGACTGTGCGGTCGTAGGCACTTTGATAAAAAGGCTTGTAGTACGACATCAAAAAAACTTAAAATTATTTATTTTTATTTCTTCTAACAGAACTTTATTTTCATGTTAAATTTATTTTTTTTTATTAAATGCATTTAAAATTTCTCATACTTATCGATTTAATACAGGTAGAATATCATATAACTATTCAAATTTAGACTTTTTGATTCCATATTCTTCTCTTCTTTTTCTTACTGATAAAAAAATAACAATCATAGCATTATATATAAATTTTAAATTATTTTCTATAACTTAACTTACGATGATTAATAAAGTACTTTTAAGATTCATCTTAAAAACCTAAAATTTGTGAGAAATGATCATTTTTAAGTTAAATTATAATAAGAATCCAAAGTTGTTAATCTAATTCATTGTATATATATACTTTTTGTTAAAAAATTTTGAAATAGAATTAATAAGTAATAAACCAAAATTTCAACTGTAAAATATATTTAAGTAGATTTCTTATTAATATATTATAGGATCTAAAAATATACAATATATGTTATTCTTTGTTGAAGAGTATTTGGTTCTTTTAAAAAGCTAACAAATATTTAATTTATTAATAAAATAAAATTATATTGTTTTAACTTTCTTGAAAGATTTAAGGTTTAGGTTTTTTATAGTCAAAATAACAATTTATAAAACGAAAATAAATGATTTCATTTATTTAAATAATATCTTCTATTTAACATGTAATAAGCAATAGCATTTTATAGTATAAAAATAGTTATCATTTAACTAATAAAGAAGGATTTAACATTGTTTTTTAGATCAAGATTAAAGTTCTATAAATAGGAAATAGTCATTGTATTCAATTAAAATTTATACATCTACAATTGAAGTCATATATATTAAAACTTATTTGTATATATATAAAATTCTTATAATACAAATTATTATATATGTTATTGTAGGATTATAAAATGATTTTACTTTTTATTATAATAGGGATAATAAAATCAAATGCCCCAGGAACACTATCTTGTATTACTTATTTATCAGAATAATTATGTGAAGAACCTGGATATTGTATATGGAATGGAACGACATGCTAAGAATATACATAAAATTAGGATTGTTATCGAATTAATGAGGTTGGAGCATGTCGAGAGAATGGAATATATTCATCAATAGGAGGATCTGGTTTATGTGAGCCTTTGATCAAATTAGAAAATGATTACAAAAATGTTTGTGGTATAACAAATATCGTTGATTACAATTATGTAAGATATCCAATAATAACAACTGGATTCTCTACTCATTCATTAGCAGGTTAAACAGTAGCTTAATTGAAAATGTCAGCACCTTAATAGAATTTTATATACTAAGTGTTAAGTGTAAATATTTAGATAGCTAAAAACCCAGATTTACAGATAATTTTAGACTTGTACAAAACATATGAAGCTGAATTAGTAAAGGTGTATATACATCCCTATTAAATTGAAAAGGCTTTGATTTAGACATTATAAAATTTAAGAGATGATACAACGTCATTGTCACCTGTAGATAAATAGGCAACGATGACCAAATTTTGGACATTGGTTGATGTCTATCTCAAGAGATTGCAGATTCATAAAAAGAACTATTAATCTTATAATTATTTTCTAAATTTTTTATAGGGATCTTTTTCAAGGCTATTCTTGACCATAAAAGGATAGGGTCATATGATAACAATTAGTTGGTCTAAATATAAAAAAAATGGGATAATTTAAATAATATCATATTCTCCAAAATTGGTAGGCATATTAAATGCTTTGAGTGATATTATTTTTGTAAATGTACTAGGTGAAGATAAAACATCATTTACAGATATTGAAAATATGAAGATTTCCTATTTATAAGAGAGTGGTACATTAACTAATGTGGTGAGAAAATTGAAGTTTATAAGTGATAAAACATAGATTCCTCACTAATTAATGACATATACTATCAACTCTGCAATATGCAATTCAAATGAGAGAGAATGTGAATTTAGTCTTCCATCTCCTCTTTCAAATAGTACATTCGTTTTTTATGTAGAATAATGATGTAGTTGTTATTATTTTTACATTTTGATTTAATTATTAAAATATATTACTCAAATTTAATCATATCAAGAATGATAAATAGAGAAAATGAAGAAAATAATATTATATAATATGAATAATTTAAATTTTAGAATTTGTCCTATAAATAGTTAAATGACGTGATATAATAAATAATAAATGATTTATTTTTTTACACTTCTTTTAGCACTAGTAAGTTCAGTATCTGTGGGAGAAACAGCTTGTACAGCCTTTAATGCAAATGCAGTTGATTGCAATGCTACAGGTTATTGTAGACATGATGGAACTACATGTATTGGACTATCTTGCTATATGATAAATGAAGTAGCAGCTTGTAGATCTGGACCTTCAGGGAGTGGAATTCCTACAGGAGCTCTATCATCAAAATGTGACTCATTAGAGTAGTTTAGTTTACAATATGATAATGTTTGTTGATAAAGGAGATGGTAAATTGAATTATGCTTTTGTACGTTTTGCTAAAACCACAGATGGATCTGCACTTTAAACTACTGGTACAACACCTATACTCGTTGGAGCATTAGCTGCTTCAGAACCAAATATGTTCTCTTTGTATACAATAAACCCATGGAAATCTCCTGAGGGAAGTTAAAGTGCAGCTACTTTGAAAACAGAATTAGAAGCAATATTGGATAGATATATTTTATTTTATTCAGTATTGATTGATACTACTAATTCTCATCCATTTTACTTAGAAAGAACTACTTACTAAGCATTATAATTGATAAGAGTAATTATAAATTTCATTTAATGATAGGATTAAGTAGATTTTGATTATACAATGAGAAAAGCAATACTACCTAAAATATGGTAAGTTGCTGAAATAGCTCTTTTTAGAATTGCTAAATTTTCACCTGCTTATTATCAAACAAATTATTATTTCCTTAATTTTGCATCATGTCCATATTCTAGAAGAGAATTAAAAATTAATGGATAATTACACACAGTTAGAATTGACTGGATTGGTTATTCATATACAGCAAATGGATTTATGCAAGTCTATTCTTATGCTGCAGAATAGTTTGGTATAAGAAATGCACTAACAGACATTATTGCTTTGAGACCAACTACTTCTGTAACTACAGCTGATACCATTAATTTAGATACTGGATTTACAGGTTTCTACTTAGAATGGACTTGGAGTGACACAAATTTGGTTGTTGTTGAAAAAGATATCAAATTATATTAATTTGATGAAAGTGCTGCCATAGCAACTGATGTTGTTAAATAAGTAACTACAACTATTACTTGTACTATTGCAACAAAAACATGTAAAACAACTGCTATAACTACTCCAATTACTTCTGCTACTACTAGAATCAATTATTATTTCAGTTATGGTCCTGGTAAATGTGTTGATAAAACTGAAATTTAATGTAAATTATCAATCGAATAAGGAGCACCATGTACTTATACATCATCTAAAACAACTGATTATAAATGCTCCTGATTAATAATTATTAATAAATATAAATATATATATTCAATGATAAACTTTCAGGATCGATTTAAAGGCAAAATGTCATACATCTCAAAATATGGAATTAACTAATCTCCTGATATTAAATAAAATAGCTAAATTCTGGTATTCTTTTGATGACTATTAAGTAATAAGATTAATCAAACAATAAAAGTCTTTAAAAAATTATTAATTTAAACTCCAAATCACCTATCAAAAATTCTTATTTTTATAAGCTACCTCCTATAAAAAATAAAATTGTAGATAGAACTTTAAATTTTAATTAACAGAAATAATAAATATAAACCAAGAAAATGTATTAATCTACAAATATTTCAGTTATTCAGCTGACCACTCAAAAATTAGTTTGAAGAAATATGATAGTGATCTTGAAAAAATTTAAATGAAACATTTGCAATATTTAAATAAGATTGAATAAATATATATGCTTTAAAAAAATTGATTAAAATATCATTAAATGAAAATTCAGACATTTTAGATAAATTTATATAATAAAATAATTTTAATATAAACAAAAATTAATTTTTAACTTCATTTTTTTTTACTTACAATTTAAGATTTCATATTTGAGAGAATAGAAATATTTAATAAGTAATATTTCTCATAACATTAATAGTCATTAAATTTTATAAAGAATAAAAGAGAAGATTTATTATAATCATATAATTTATAACTTTAATGTAATAAATCATAAATTCTTAAAATAAATGAATAATACTAATAATATAATTTTTAATTTTCTTTTCTATCTCAAATTTCATACTATTCATTATATTTGATAATATTTATTCCATTAAAAATTAAACCAATATTATGAATTCCAATTATGATGAATAAAAATATTGGTTTTGTAGATAAAGAACCTTTTATTTATATACATCAATTATTTTTTGAATTAATTAAATAAGAATGGAGAAAAGGAAGAGAAATGATTTTAGTTAATTTAGAGATGTTTTAACGTTATATAATTTAAATATAAAAATGAAATTGTAAAATATTCGAACTATTGATTTCAGCAAGGCTAACAAATAGATTAAGGATCTATCTCATAAATTTTTATAGAGCAAGATGCTTAGAAAGAACAAAGAGAATTTTAATCCAAATACTAGTCATTAAGATGCTGCAGCTAAATTATTATTAGAAGCTCTACAAAAACCAATACTGAGAAATCTTAGAGATTTAATTAGGATTAAGTAGTCAGTAGTTTGTGAGAGAAATATTTTTGATGAGGTTTGTTCAATGGGTGTAAGTGAAAATAGTGACATAGGAGAAGGATTCAAGATTTCTTTTGCAAATTTGAGTATCAAATAAGAAAGTATTGTGGATTGTGAAAGTATTCAGCCTACAAATGCACCAATATTATTGTTTATGGTGATTCAAAATATTAGAAAGAAGAAAATGATAATCTCATTCTAAGAAATCAAATTTTTCATACTATAAAGAAGTTTGAGCTCAGTTAACAAAAGACTTGAATATGCAAAATAAGAATAATTGCGTAAAATTATTGTTAACAAAACAAAGTAGGAATAGTTATTACTATAAGTATACTTGAAATATTGGTCTTAATAAACACAACTTCTTATATTTTTTGATCATTTTGGTTCAAAAATAATGAAAATATACAAAAATAGATTGAATGAATATTTAATTGCAATGAAATAATAAATAACAAAAAGAGAGGCAGCCTAAAATTTAGTTAGGATTGTAAATAAGAAATTATTTGAATATGGACAAAATTTGAATAAAGTGAAAAACAATTTACATTTGTAAAATTGTTTGAAATAGGTGTTTATAAGATAATTGAGAAGTTCATTTTAGTAATTGTTATAGAAAAGACATAGATCTCCAGTTATTTTTGAATTAATGAATAAATTTCAAAATAATTTATTGAGATAGAGTCTAAAGATTTTTTAATTGCATATATTAAGATAGAAAAGAAGGATTAAGTCATTTACATATGGTTTTGAAGATCTAAATAAAATAATGAATAAATTAGATTATAAATTGGGTTTTATTAGGCTTCAAAATAAAAACTAAAAATAATAAAGATTATTGCCAACAAAATTTTTAATAATGATTCTTAAAAAAATATAGGACAGGCAAAAACATTGGGTTTTGCGAAAATTAAATTAATGAAATATAATAATTAAAATTATTGTCTATTTAACTATTGAAAGAATGAATATAAATGTAGGAGATTATTGGATTTGAATTTCCTATATTTATCATAATTCTGAATTGTATTAAGTTTCTCTTAATCCATTAATTAATATATATATATATATATATAAAAGATTTAATTTGCATCAATGGTTCGACTTGAGAAACTCATCTATGAACAATTAGTCAATATTCGTGCTTTGAAAAGAGAGAGAATTATAGGATCACCAAGAAAATGGTATTCTGAACCACGTACACCAGCAATGACACTTTCAGCAGTCAAATTATTTACATAAGGATGGACTGGATTAATTTACAAATTTGTTGAGCCTTTATTTGCAAGGTAAAGTGATTTTGAATACAAAACTTAGATTCTTATACAGATGGATGAGAAATATAGGATTAGATAGAGGATTGGCAATGGAAGACTTATTGTTATTTTAAGATAGAGAATTAAGAAGAGATCCATTATTTGAACATATTTAAAGAGAAGGATTCCACCCCTATACTTGGATTATGTTCAATAAGAGAAGAGCAAGATTTTCAAAAGTAGAAAGAGGTGTAAGAGGATCTACTGCTCCTGAATGGTTATAAGCAGAAGCAAGAGAACGTACATTAGCTGATAGTGTTGAAAATATTTATGAATGGGATAATTACGTTTATCAAAATTATATGAGTGACATGACACCAACAGCAAGAGGAACAATATTATAGAAATTATTACCATTGGAATGGTTCCTATTTTTTGGTATGTTGAGAGTTGATTCATGGGATAGATATTTCTATAATGAAGTAATGTATAAAGGATTAGAATATTCAAAAGAAGAGTTGGCTAACATTCCTAAACCATTTAAGGCATAATTATGTATAAATTTATTATTAATCAATTTAATTAGCAACTGAAGAAGGAAGAAGACAATTTGAAGTAAATGTAAATAGATTTATTGATCTTTATCCAGGATCAATTGTGAAAGAAGGGTAATATTATTATTATATTAAAATTTTAGTGATAAATTTGATTTCTAAAGATTTTATGCTCTTGAAGCAATTAATAATAATAGAGATCTCAGCAAATTTGATTCTTCATTAATAGCTTAATTGAAATCAGAACTTACTTAATAGGTTGCATTAAAAACAAGCACTAAAGTAAAGAAACAAAGAGCCACTCTCCCAAGTTGGTTATAGTAAGATGGAAAGGGATTCTTAGCATGATCTATTAAATAAAATATATAATTACAAATAATATTTTTATCTAATATACATAAGTATAATACTAATATAAATAGTTTTATACAAAAAGGCTTTCTAAATTTTAGCAATCAATATTAAAAATGAATAAATCTCATTTACTATTATAAATTTATAACATAAACATGGTGGTATCCAATTAATAAGAATCTAAATAATAAAAACTTTTATGCATTCATTGATCTTAATCATTTCCAGTAACTTATTTAATTAAAGGCTTTTGAATTAATTAATACAATAAAGAAATGAAATTCAAAAATGTATTAAGAACTTTATAAAACCAATTATTGATTTGTGTGAATGAAATCTAATAATTAGACAATCTAATAAAGAAATAGACTAAAATAAATTTATGATATTAGAGAGAAATTAAAAGAAATAATTATTATATGTTGATGCTAATTCAAATTTCATATAGTTTTATAATGAATTGATTAAATTAAATAATGTTAATTATAAAAAAAGTTAACATAAGAAATCATAAAGAACTCAGTCGCATATAGTAAATCCAATAAAGAAGAAAGATTTAATTTATCATTATTTAGATATTTTTATTAATGTATTATTAAAGATAACTTAAATTATTATGATTGTAATTATAATATTAAATTATAAAAATCTACATTATAAGCAACCTTTATGTATTTGATTATCTACTTGCTATTCCATAATATTTAATGCTAATGCTATTAGAAGTATAAGGATTAAACCATATATTTATCACCTGGAGAAACTTTAAAATTAGATTTGTAAAATTATATATAAGGTAAGCAACTTCATTATTCATCTTCAAATGATTGTTTAGAGAGCAAATTGAACTAGAAAAACATAACTTTAGCCAATTTATACTTATCAGATTACTCAGAATATAGTTTATGCTATGACCCTATAAGTGGAATTTGTAATTAACAAGAAATTTATTATTATTATTATAGAGTTTGGACAAACGGTGTAAATGTATGTTAAAGATCAATAAGTTACTATAGTATTTTATAATATTACTGATACTTTATCAAGACCCATTTATAAAACAAATTTTAAAATTGATCGAGTATTACAATTAATTAATATGTAGAATGTTGAATGTTAAAATGTATTATGCATGAGAATTAATTTGGGTTTGATTGAATGCAATCATAAAACAAAAGAATAATCAACCATCTATTTAATTAATGCACTATTACAATAAACTTAAATTTATATTCTACAAACTAATCAATTTGGCCCTATATAGTAATTGATATCATAATAAATAGAGCAGGAATGATCAATTACATCAATGATGACGTAGTGACTTACTATAAAATGGTCAATTTCATCAACAACAATAGAATTGACATGTACAGTATAAATGTTACTTCCAAAGAACTTACATACTCTACCATAATAGATAAATTAATCTATAAATTGTAAACATTAAATTTATATAATTTCTTGATTTATAATTAAGCTATCTATTTTTTATCAAAAGAACTTGGAGTATGTTATGTTAAAAATTACTCTTATAATTATTGTTGGAAATTTACAGATGATTTTGATGTTTTCAGTGTCTATATTGAATAAAATGGATTTCATAGTATACTCTTAGGATCAACTGTTACTTCTGATATCTTTAAAACTTATTTGTTTGATGATGATACCTACAAAATTATTTAAATGTATAAGTTATCTAAAAATATGACTATTTCATAGATATACCATAATGATAGGTACAGTTTTATTATTGGACATAAAAATAACAATACAAAGAAGTATTTTATAGAAATTTATACTCAAATGGATGATTTCACATCTAATTTGTATAAATCAATTGAAATTGCTTCCTTTAAAGAGTTCTTCTATTTTGATAGTCTAAACAGTATGATGAATTATTAATTTAGATAATGCCTATGCAATTAATAATAGGTCCATATTCATTATAACTCCATAAGTATCATATCTTACAATTGATGATGGTCAATGTTTTGGTGAGATTATTGAAATTAAAGCATAATTTCCTTCTATTGAAACAGATATAATATGTAATTTCATATTCTATGTTATTAAACTTGAAGAAGGAAGCCTAGATATTTATGACAAATAAGAATTGGATTACTCATTAATTGTTTTAAATCAAAGTATTAATAACATATATTTGAATAATTTTGTAATTGGTCCTAATATTGATTATTATTTATATAATACAACAACTATTGATAATTCAAATGAAAATGATTTTGAAAAGATCAAATTTAAAGAACATTTTACAATTTAATATGCCTAAACTATGGATATCACTTCTATCATATATAATCGTGCTTTTAAGACTGTAATTACAGATTAATATATTCAAATAATCTAATGGAAAGACTTAACTCTTCAAATATTTAATTGTATTATCTCTGAAACTGATAGAGAGATTAATTGTATTTATAAATAAAACATGAAACTTTAAGATCCAGTATTATAAGTTGTTACTGGATTATCATGTTCAACTGAATGTTTTGTTATAAGATAAGAAAAAAGAGCAGATCTTTATGTTGAATATAATAATAAATTTATAAATACTAATTGTTTTATTGATTCACAATACAATATTTAAACAATTAAATTGCATTTAGATAAATATTTAGTAGAATTAGAAAATAATAAGATTCAAGTATGAATTAATTTTAAATAGATATACTTACCATTATATAAATAATCAATGACTTGCAATTTTTAAAAAGTTTTCGAGATTGATTCTTTATAATTAGAAGAACTTGTAAATGCTAATAGATCTATCAATATATTTAATGTTAAAACTAATGTTAATATTTTCAATCTCTACATTTCAACTAATTTAGGTTTAATAATTATAGATCCAGGCTTATTGAGATTCTAACAAATTAAATTAATTGCATTTGTGTAATTTAATTAATAATTTGACACAGTATTATAAGTCATTAAAAATCGAATTATCACATTATAGTATAAATAGATAATAATCATCAATCTAGTCTAATAAAATTTCTATTATACTGAAAAAGTATTACCAAATTTTAATTTCACAATAACAAATACAACAAATTCATAAATTGCTCTTTCTTAAAATTATTTTTATTTGCAAGCTAAAGATTCCAATTACTCTGATGTTATCATAGTTTACAAAGTGGATGAACCTTAAATTTCAACTTTTCATACATACTTCTTTAAAACTAATAATTTAGATTTTAGTGTAATAGAAAAATAAGATGATGAAATATTTTTAATTCAATTATTTGATGCCCAAAAATTATACAGTTCAGTTATTTTATAATTCCAATCATCTTATTCAAAAATAATTAAGGTTCTTTTTTCAGGATTTACAAGTTATGCAAAATTAATGGATATAAATGTAAATGTAAAAACTGCAGAAAAGTAATACAATCTTACATTATTAAATAATAATACTTAAAATATAACTTATGATGATTAGATTTCAGAATACATTAAATTAGATGGATATAATGATTTTATTGATGGTAGTGTAAGTGAATGGTCTATTAAATGTTTTTCTTGTTAAAAAGAATTAGAACTTATCAATAACATTAATTATGATAAATATTTAACATAGATACCAAATACTACTTAAATTAAACATACTTTTGATTATGTTTTAATATAATAAGAATAGAGTATAATTGCAATCGATAATTTTGGAAAAGTGAAATTTTATATCCCATTACCTCTATCAGAATAATCAACCAAATGTACATCAATAACTGCTAATACTTGGGAAAATAAAACAAAATTAGTTGTTTCAGTTTGTAATACAAAATCCTAAGCTTAATTTTATATTACATCATTTTTAAGTTCATTCCCTGTTCCTATGGGTCCTTTCTATACACCATTATTAATTAATTAAATCACTCATATAAGAATGTTACATGAAATTTTATTTATTTTGGATGTAGTGACAGAATATGTCTATTTGCTTAATCTAAAAATTGATGAAAATTAAGGAGATTCTTTGAGAGTGATAAATACATTAAATGCTAGAGAATTCACTGCTGATAAAGGTTAAGTCTTTGTTAGTTTTGATGTAGCATATAATGATGATACTTACTTATTATTTTTACTAACAAATTCATCATGTAACTAATATAAATTATAATAGAATTTATTATTTATACTTATCCTTAAGATGACGCTTATACATTAGATTTGATATTATTTTTCTATGATAAAGGATTTACAGACATACCATCAAACATTGTACCATAATCATTGATAGTAGCAGAGACAGAATAAAAGGAAGATATATAATATTACAGAATTATTGTAGCAAATCAAAATTTTCATCATTATGAATTAGAGATTAGTATAGGATATCTAGACAATTCTATTTAATGTAAATTTATTAGAGCTTATATGTAATATGGATATTTCTATGCTAATGGAAAGATTAGAGTCTCAGAAGAGACATAAGGATTTTTTGGTTTGATTTACTAAAATCCTTTAGATGAAAGACAAAAATTATTGGTTGTTTATGATAGGTTTAGTAAAAGCTAAGAAAAATTGAGAAAGATTCTAGGAGGATATAAGATATTTTCAAATTATTAAATGTAAATATATATAAAATAATATTTAAGTTTGTTTGATTTTTTACATTTTAAAATGAGGAATGATGAATTTTCATATGGTATCATTTTGTAAGATGGGCCTATATTAAATTCCTTGACTTTATCTAGATATTTGGCTATTAAAGTAAAATTCAAAGAATTTTAAACATAAAATATTACCTTCAATGCTTCAAATGACTTTGGAAAATGGGTTAGTTTTAAAGCAAATATTTATAATAGACATGGAGAAGTAATAGATAATATATTATTTATTAGGCAAATTTACTTTATATAATTATTTCTTTAGGAGTTTTTGTATTTATAGTGATATTCTTATCATGGCTATATGTTAGGAATAAAATAAAATAACTTGAATCTAAAGGGTTTGATGTGATATAAGAAGAAGATGATATAGTTAAAGAAGATCAATGATTTTTATTTATAAATATTTTATTTAAGAATTATGATATAATTGGATAATTTTTAGATGAATATCAATTTTTTTTCTTTGGAGGATTCCACATTTAAGTTAATGTATCTTGGACTAAAAGTGTAATCATAGCATGTGGTCCTACTCTTGTATAAAAGACTGGCAATCCAACCCATAATCCTGTTACACCTTCTCTTTTAATTGTCTAGAGTTTATTAATAATAATTTAATTACTTTGAGGAAACAATCTCCAATGTTTTTGTAAGGGAATTGTCCTGTTGTTGGATCTTTTTTCATTCTTTAAAGTTTTGTTTTGAGATTGTCAGGAGGCAAAGAAGCAATTGCACATCCAATACCAGCTGCAGCAGAGGATCTATTAGTATAAAGGATAAAATATACAATAATTTATCCATATAATCTTCCTTTCCTTTACCATGAAGAGATACGATAATGTCTTTGATTTGATCATAGGTTGTTAACATACCTAATATAATAAGTTGTTGAATTACTTAAGTTCATAGCAATGGCTCTGATGACTGTTGGTAATGATCCTCTCCAGAGTGTGATGAGTCCCTCTTCACTAACAATTCTGTAGAGAGCATCAAAAACATTTTTATAATTTCTTCTTTATGCTTCTGGTAAGAGGGTATCAGCTTAAAATCTAACCAAACATAAATCAGCTGGATTTCCAACAATGGATCCAACAAATCCAGAAAATGAAGATGCTAAACATCTTTCCCAAAAAATCATGCTTCTACCATGTGTTCTTTTATAATGATCATCGATGGCTCTATATAATCCCAAACGAGTAGTAGCATAAGTGACTTATCTCAATAGAGCAGCTCCAATTCTAATAATATATATATTATTTATAACCCTTTGTAAAATCCGAAGGGTCCTTCTGTTTTGATGATGTCTTTGATAATTTCCAATGTGTTGACATTGATAGTTTATCCTTGTCCTTTAAGTTCACTTCGGACTTGAATACGTACCTTTACAGTATCCATTGGTTAGACGAAAGTTGTGGCTGTACATCCTGAGATACCTCCGATTAAAAAAGGAGATATTAATTCAAACAATGTTGGCATATCTAATTTTTATTTATATTAAATAATTCTTAAAGTGCTACAGGATAAATCAGAAAATAAAAGTAAGTATAAATATTCATAAGCATAAATGAAGAAAGAAAAAATCAAAATTATGTAGTCATTTGAAAATTTATTTAAAAAATATATAAAAATTGAATATATAAAATTATTTTTGGAAGAGAATTAGTTATATGAAATTAATTGTATTTTTGGTTGTCGATAAGATTCTCAAATATATATTAAGTTTATGATCTTGAGTATAATAATATTCAATTTCAAAAGAAGATTATTTAATAATTGATTATATTTAAATTAAAGTAGCTTTAGATAAGAAAATTATATATAAGGGGATAAAGATTAAGAAGGATAAGTATTTAAAATAAATGAATATATTAATAATTAATAGATATTATCTCTTTTGGGAAGATAAAAGTTTGATTAATTCATTTTAATATTACAAAATACATTTATTATTATAAAGAATTTTATATTTATTGTTTCTAAACTCAATACTTAAAGATTTTTCTTAATGATTAATAAGATTAATGGAAATATAATCTTCTCCATAAAGAGAAGATGATTTTTGTTTTCTCAAAATGATAGATAGTTGAATTAAATATTATAGAGGACTCTGAAATTATAAGTTTATGAAAATTAACATATTATTTTGGATGTTCTATAATTTTTTTTTATTTTAAATTTATCTATTTAATATATTATTTTTTAATCATTCAGATAATTTAGATTAATATAATCAATTGATCTATCAAAAATAAATCAATTTCAGTTTATCTAGGTCTAAATATAATTAGATTTAGTGTCTTATCTAAATTAATAATCATAAAAATATTATGTCAATCACCTCTTAAAATTAATAATAATCTCCAAGTTTTTTTGCATGCTAATATGGCATCATTGTAATCGAAGTATTTAGTTGTAGATTTACATTTTTTAAAGTTAAATCTTGCTTAAGCATCATTAAAGCCTCTACTATTCAGTAGTTAATTCATTATTGAGACCTGTTAATTCTAGTCTCTAATTAAGCTTATTCTAAAAATTACCTTTTATAAAATAATATGCAGAAATATCTAATGATCACATTATCTATAGTAGTTTTATGAAATAATTAAATATTTAGTTATTTATTAATTCTTATTGAAGATATTAAATAATAATGTCCATAATTTCAGAATTATTGATCTTAAATCTTAAGTGTTTAATGATAATTGTTAAATTTTTGGATTATTGAGAAAAAAAATGATTAAAATTATAATTAATTTAAATTGAAGATTATAATGAGAATTTCCATGATAATGAATAATTATTTAAAGTCTTATTATCAATTATAGATGACATTTAATAATGTAATAAATTATAATCATTTAACATTGAATTAATTTTATATTAACACTGAACAATTTTCAATAGTTTATTTATCAGCATTATCAAAAACTAGTGATCCATTCTGATAATTACTAATAATAATCTTACGATAAGTTTTAAATAGTAAAATCATAATTTATACACCAAAATTTGTTGAATATTATTATAATATCTTTTACTATTAAATTAATTCTCTTTCATCTTCTTTTTTATACATTTATTCAATATTAGCACATACTAATCTCGATCTCTATTCTTACAAATATTATTTGCATTAATCTAATTTCAAATTATCCAATTTCTCCAATTATTTCTCCATCAAATCAAATATCCTATATAAAAATTATTTCTTTTTAATTAACTCAGTCATTAAATTACTTTCATTTGTTCCAGTTTTCAATCTATTTGTACTTATTGATCTAATTGGAGATGCTTAAGTACTAGTAGTCTTACAATGCTCTGCTAAATTCTACTAAGAATATTGCTTCTACATTTAAGTTTTCTTTACACTTATTGGTAAACCTTTTAAATCTAACTTCTATTGTTATTATCCCAATATTGTCTAAAATAATTAATCCCAACCCCATCTATCTTTTTCTTCTTTACCCAAACAACCTATAATTATTTATTTTGTTTTTTAATCAATCTTTGGCAATAGAGGAAATTTCAAAGATTCATTATCTAAACGATTTAGCAACTCAACTACATTAGAAGAATGCCATGGAGTTGTCTTATATATCATTTCATATAAAATAAGACCCAATGACCATATGTCAGATTTGCTTGTATAAGGTAATCTTCGTAATATCTAGGGAGCCATATAAAGTGGTGTTCCAACTAAAGAGGACATGGTTGAATCTACTTAAACTCTCTTTGCAAATCCAAAATCAGTTATCTTAAATATGCCATCTTATAGTAGAATATTTGCTGGCTTCAAATCTCTATGCACTATACCATTTTTAAGCAATTCTTATAATCCATTTAAAATTTGTTTAAATATTTCTATGGCTCTCTCTTCTGATATTTGACGGGGTATCAAATAGGCCTTTAAGTCCCCTCCATTACAATACTCTGTCACTATATAAATATTGTTTGTGCTATGAAATACATCCAATAATTTCACTATATTTTAATGATTGAGTGATTTCATTATCTCCACTTCTTAAGCTATTTATTAAGATGTGTAATCACTTTTAATAAGATTGTTACTTATAATTTTAATAGCCACAGCTATTAAATTAATTTAATATATTACTCTGATCATTAGAAGTGTCTCTGGCCATATAAACATTAGCATAAGCACCTGAACCAATTTTTGCATCATAAAGAAATTCATAATGCTTTACTTTCTTCTTTTATTTAATTCTCTCACTTTACATTATTACTAATAATAAATATTAATCTATCCATACTTTATATTATTCCTAAACTTATAAAAGAGTGATTCATTTTTATAAAGATTTAAGAATTATAATTTATTTTTATGACAAACTAAAATAACATATAGTTTGTACTTGATATATATATATATGTCAATATTTCTAAGAAATTATTACTTCTAATGATCTATGCTCTTATAAAATAGTATTATTTAATATTAAAACTGTTTTTTTGTAATATCAAATACATCATATTCAAATATCTATAAATTGTTATTGCAGAACAGAAAAACATTTTCTCAATCTACAATATACTCATTAGATACTAAATCAAACATAAAAGTATTATAATAGGAATTTATAGAAAATAGTCTGATTAGAATTCAACTTAAAAATTTTTAGATCAAAAGTCATATACATTAATTGTAGAAAATCTTTGTTGATTTTTCCCTAATATTATTATTTCAAATTTTGTATAGTGTTACTGTTGAATGAATATAATGATGAATGTTATTAATGTTAAAATAAGAAAGTTATAAAATATACTCAAATGTTATCATCTTCATCAGTCTCCTCTTCGATCAAACATAATAATTTCTTTGTTTACTATGTTCTTTAGAATTAGTTTCTAAATACTTAAATTTATTAAAGTAATGAGGCTGACATCTAATCCTAAGAAGTATCAAGTTAAGGATTAGACAAATTTAGTATCACCTCTTTCAAGTATTATTTCTCTTCATCACTTACTAATCCCAGAGAATGGAAATTTTAGAGTGTCTGGAATGCTAATTTGTAAAATGATTACATTAGAATATAATTAATCATTAAATCTAATTGATGTTGTTAATAAATCCACAACGCATGGTTTCTTAGGATATATATTTAATAAAATAAATCAATTTTCTTAATAATAACTCACCAAATGAAGTTATTTTTTAAATTCTCCATAATTCTCTATAATATCATTAATGGTTATTATAATTTTAAATATTTATAGGAAATATTTCCATCATATAAATATGTCCAAATTATCAATTATTTTCTTATATCTAATTTTCATGAGCTTTCGGCAAAGATAAATTTTGAATTTAATTTATATTAGATTTCTTTTTAGAAAATATTTAAATCATTTACTAAACACTTAACTTATTTTGAATAATTCTATAATTTAATGATTTTTATGAAAATTATCCTTAATGATAGGAATTTAATCAAAAATTTTCAGATTTAAATAATTCTATATATAACATTTACTTTCTGCATCATCATTATAATAGTAAAATAAGAGTTCTACTATTTTTTATTAAATTAATTAAACATTAATTATTCAAATTGATTTTATTAAATTCCATTTTCATTCTCAATAATCTCTAATCCAAAACTATCAAAAATATTTAATGTAGTATAAAGTTAATTTCAATCATAGAAGAGAAGATATTCTAATTTATTCATAACTATTTTGTGTTCTTATATTTTCAAATGCTTAAAAATGATATTTGTTGAGATTATTCTTTTTCTATATATTAACTTTTGATTGAGCAGATGATGTGGATAATACACTTTTAGTTTCATTTAAGATAGCATTCATTATCATATTAAATTGAATTTATATATTAAATAATTAATATGGAGGAAAATAAACTAAAATTATTAAATCAAACTTGAATTTGTTTTTAATGATGACTCATTAATTTATTAAAAAATCCACCTTCAATTTTGATTAATTCTTAATATTCCCCTTATTCAACTATTTCTCCTTATTCCATAACTACAATTTTATCATAAATTTTAATATTTTCTAATCTATGTGTAATCACTAATAAAGTTCTATTTTCAGCAAATTTAAATAATAAATCATGTAATAACTAATAAATTGTATATAATAATACTTAATCTGTTTTAGGATCCATGTTTGAAGTTGCTTCATCTAAACAAATTATATCTTTATTCATAAGAACAATTCTTAAAAAGTTTAGTACTTATTTTTCTCCATTTGATAGATTGGATCCATTTTATGATATAATAAAATCTGCATTACAAGAATTATTATTAGTATTATTAATTCCTCTTAATTAAAATCCAGTATCAATAAACAATTTTTCAATGACATCTTTGGTTGTTTTATTTTGAGGATCTAAATTATCTTTAACACTAGCATTATATAAAAATCCAAATTAAGGTACTACAGATAATTATGATCTCAATTCTCTTAATGTTAATTTTGATGACTAATAAAGATATATATATATATAAATAATTACATCCATTCCATTTATAAAAATCTATCCATATTAATGATGATAGAGTCCAAATAAGATATTTAATATAGATGTTTTTCCAGATCCTGTTCTTCCAACAAAAGCTATTTTTTATCCTTTTTTTATTGTTAAAGAGAAGTTTTTTAATGCAAATTTAGCTTCAGCTGATACATTTTCATAAGTTAAATATATATTTTTAAATGTAACTGCATTTTCTATTCTAAAATCAGTAAATTCTTTAACATCTTTCCATATATCAAAATCAATTTTTGGTAGTATTTAAACTTTATCAATATTTTCAGTTTCATTACTAAAATATTATTTAACTCTTTCTACAGAAACAATACCTGATTCCATTCTTAAATATAAAGAAAATAAATCATAGAAACTATCTAATACTACCATTGAATAAGTAATTGCTAATGCTTATACTGTATAATCATCAGAAAAATCAAATATTATTGTAAGGATTACAAAACTTGATACAAAAATAAGAATTAAATTACTCATCAAATTTAATCTAACTCCAAACCATAATTTTGATCTTTCTCCACATTAATCTGTCATAACCCAATTTTATAATTTATTTTAAAAAGTTTAACAAAATAAAGAATTTTTATCAAAAGCTCTTATTATTTTGATACCAGTAAGAGTTTCATTTACTGTTTATAGTAGAGATCCTTGATTAACTGATTTTAATCTTTTAATTTCTCTATTTGATTTGATATATATTTTACTGACTTAATAATAAAGTACTACAACTCCTATTAATATTAATACAAAAATTGGTTCCAATATAACTAAACCTATAGATAAACCAGTTACTCTACTAACATTTTCTAAAAAACAATGAAATGTCCAACTTAAATCATCATCAATCATTTATGTATCATCTTATATTCTATTTATTATTCTTCCAGCATTTGTTTTATCATAAAACTTCATCACAGATTACATTAAAACCTTATTCAATCTAAAAGATATAATAAAAATAATACTTAACAAAAAGCACCCAAGCTGATCTTAATGCTGTTGAAACATATAAAGCTGCTCTAACAAAAGTAACTAATAAGGCAAATAAAGTTAGATATAATAAAGTATCAGTAAATGAATTATTAAAATATATTGTTATTTAATGTAACCATGTATCCTCATTTCCTTTCAATTCTGATTTTAACCAAAAATCAATTAAAGACATTGATCCTTACATAAAGAAATTCACAATAACCCATCCAATCAAAAGAAACCAACTCATACTACTAAAGTATGTTATCCAAGTATTCATATTAATCTTTCCTTATTCTCTTTATTCCTGATTTTCAGTATCATCATCTTCAACTTTATGCAAAAATTATTCTTTCTCACTTTTCTTAGAACTTTTCTATTTAGTCAATTCTGGTATCATTTCTTCTAATTCCTCTTCAATATTTGGTTTATCTTCTTCTGGTTCTTATTCTTTTTCCAAATATTCATTTATAATATTCTTATCATTAATTATTTATCCATTTTCTAAATATATTATCCTTGATTTAACATTAGGAGGTACTTAATTTAAATATCTATAATGAGAAGTAATTAATAAAACTGTTTTTCCATTATTTATTAAAAAATCTAATATAGTTTTCTAAAATATTTGATCTGCTATATGAATGTCTAATGATGAGAATATATCATCAAATAAATATATATCACAATTTTAATATAATGCTCTGGCTAATGTAATTCTTTATTTTTATCCTCCACTTAAATTCTTACCATCAGGTCCTATTTCATGAAAATCTTATTTCTCAAAAGTCATAATATCTTTCCTTATTTCACATACATCTATTACTTCATTATATAATTTCTAATTAAAAGGTAATCCAAATAATATATTGTCCCTAATACTCATATTCTAAACCCAAGATGTTTAAGAACAATAACCTATATTTCCTTTTATTATTATTTAATCACTAATAGTCAACATTCTTTATCCTGAAATTAATGAATCAGATCTTATTGAATTACTATTGTACATTCCTTCATATTAATTATACTTTTGTAATTCATTTAAAATTGCATTGAATAAAGCACTCTTTCCTGATCCAATCTTACCTATTATAAAATTTAAAGTGTTTCTCTCTATCTTCAATTCATCAATTCTTAATATGAATTAAGAATTTTCATTAACTTAATCAAATACAAGTACATCATCACTAATTTAATTCTTTTTTTAAGCTCTTTTTTATTATTCATTCTTCTCAATTGGCCATTCACATAATAAACCTTCAATTAATACAACATCACCCTCTTTAACATATGGTAATTAGAAACGATCATCAGGATCAATCTCTTATTATTTAAGAAACTATGAGATTCTCTTAAATGAAACATATGCTAATAATCCAGAATTTATACACCAAGGTAAAATTCCTAAAGGGAAAATCATTGTATTAAATACAGCTATTAAAGAAAATATATTCAAATCAGAGAGTGATTTACCATTATTTACCGATGAAATTATATAAGTACATAATAATACATAACTGACATTATTCCAAAATATTGAACATAATCCATCAAATCCTTTTAATAAACTAAGCATAAAGAACTCCCAATTTCTAAATCCCATTATCTTTTTACTAAAAGTCTCTTCCCATGATAAATATTTAATTTATTTCATTCCTTCAATAACATCTGTAGACAACCCAACTCTCATATCCTTATATTCTAACATTTTTTTTTCTGATCTCATCATCACTGCTGTAACAATTAAATTAAAAACTTGAGCACAAAACATTGTAATTACAACTATTGTACCTGCATGAGAATCAAGATGATATAAAAATATTAAACATCCTGTTATTAAAAGGATTGCTTCCCATGTGTCTCTTATTGTAAAGTTAATTAACATAATTTAATCTAAGTCTGCTGTTAAAAGTGTCTAAAAATATATATATTTCTATTTACATTGATATTAGCTGAATGACTATCACTATCACCTTTATTACTAATGCATTAGACTCTTAAAGCTTTATCATAGATCAAATATTCAGATATTAATCTAAGTCTAAGTACAAATAGATTCACAAACTAATCTGTTTTGGCATTGAAATATGTTCTTAATTATAAAATCCTTTAAATACTTGAGAAGAGAGAGACAAATAATACCACAAATAGATAATATGGGTTGATACAACAATTCTCTATTTAAATTTATTAAGGAATCTGTGGCATAATTTAACATTAGTAAATTTCCTAACATTATCATATCTGTGGCTGTTTATATTCCAAGTAATTAGAAAGTTCTAAACAAGAAGAAGTGTTTAAAGATTTTTCTATATAGATATTTTGGCTTTGATTGTAAAATACTAATAATCTTGATAAAAATTTACTCTTTTAATTCTTAAAGGATCTACTCACAATCTGATTCTTTAATAACAAATTTCTTTAAATCATTATTTTGTATTTATCCATCCATACCATTTATAGTGTTAATCAATGGTGTAATGTCACTAAATAACCAGTTGTCTGATTTTACTTATTTGTTCAAGAATGATTATTCCATAATTATATAATATAATTAAGTTGATGTGGCAATTTTATGTAATATCAAAATTCTTTAATATAAATTTATTAGGAATCCTATTAATCAGAAACATAAATTTGAAGATATGAAAGTGAATTTTCAATATGGATCTAATAAGTTTGAATTTAATAAAAGAATAATTAAATTTTTTATTCTATATTCATTATTTATATATTTGAATTACTAATCAAATAAAAATAATAATCTATATTTATTTAATTGACTTTTTTTATTCTAATTAAATTATATACACTCATTAATTTATTATGACATAAAGCAGTTCAACTCTAGATAATTGATTATTGTGTTTTGAAATTTCAAGTTCTTATAAAAAGTTATTTCTTGTTTTATTACAAAGTTCTTTAATCATTATCTTATATATATCTTAAAATTAAAGATCTTTCTCCTTTAATAATATATATATTATAATACTTCTATACATAAACGTAATAATTATTGAATGTATTTTTAATAATTTTCAATAACATGTGGATCTCCCAAATATGTTTCTTAAACAGGTATAAATTAATTGATATATGATAAAATAGAAAATAAATGTTTTCTAGTTTCTTAATTTTATTCACCACCATATTAATCAATTGCATCAAAACAAAAATTTTATAAATTTGGCAATAAATATTTCTGATTTTTACTATCTAATAAATGCTTTTTAAATAATATTAAATAAATATTACTTTTGATGAAGGATAAGGTAAAAATAAATTACAAAATTCACTAATACAAACAACTATCATATAATATTATTTTCTGTAAAACTTTTAATATGAATTACATAATGATATGACAATCCTAGTATAATAATCAAGTGATAATTAATCTTTACACATAATTTTTCCAATATCTCTCTTTTTACTTAAATATCCAGAAATTGTCTTGAAAGTAACCAACATATTATCAAGTAATTTTTATGTAAATTATTTTTACTATAAAGAATTCAACCATTATCCTGCTATTGCACATAATTTTAGTATAATCTATAAATATAATTAAGAATGCTATTATTCAAATGACTACAATAATAATTAAGTAAGTTTAAGAATAAAATCACATGGTTCAGGTAATGAATTTGGAAGTATAAAATCATAAAGTAAATCTGTTAATTAATATGCTTAAGTAGAACCATAATGTAATTAATGAATTAATTCTGAAATTACATTTTTCCATCCTGAATCTCCAAATAAAAAATCATTCTTCACATTATCTACTTTCAATAATTTAATTCTATCATTACTATATTAAAGTTTCTAAGTCTATTATATTTATTGATTTAATAACACTCCATTAAAATTTTAGATATAATTTATTACATTATCTAATAAATTTAATTAATATTAATATTTCTAATTAAATGTTATTACTTCATCTTAATTACCCATTTTTTCTATTGATTTTTTAACAGTACTAAGTAACTATTAATATATCTATAAAATTAAATACTTCCTATATTTCTAAATAATTTATTGTTGAAATACTCTCAATCATACTATTTTCACATAAAAGATCTATTATATTGTTTAATAATTCCATTTTTTATCCTATTCCTTAGTAAGTAGCTTCTATAGCTCCTTGACAAAGCCAACTTAAAGCTTAAGTAGCACTTCTCATATATTATTCATCCCTTATATACTTACCTCTCATACTTGAGAAGATAATAAAAGAATATGAAGTATAATCACAGAATCTTCCCAATAATTAATAAGTTTTTTATAACTAAATTATATAATTATAATTTAATTACATTTAATTGAACATTCTTATCTATTTTTGTTTAACCTGATTTAATGGCCATTATGGTATTAGGTATAAAGTTATCCAAAAACTAAGTCATATAATCTTCACTAAATAAAACACCTAGAGTCATTAAATGACTAGCTCTTAATCTATTTTCTTCATTATTATCTATAATTTCTTTATAAATAGCTGGCCACATTTTTCTCACTTAACTTTTTATAAATCCTCTCATTCCTAATTTTGGTCTTTCCTTAAAAGGAGGAGGTAATGGTAATTATGATAATTTGCCATCTAATGTCCAAGCAGGTTCTATTCCTAATTATCTAACATTTTTTATATCCTTCTCTTTCTCTATCTCCCACTCTTTACCAACATCTTCTATTATCTATAAGGCTGCTTCCTAAATTGATGGATCTGTATCAAAGAGTCCAGATAAAAGATAAGGAACAAGTCTTGGATGATGATCCCATCTATCAGCTAATCCTCTTAACCAAAATCCAATTTCTTTGATAAAGGCTTATCTTACTTATTATTTTGGATCTATAATTAATGTAGCCTAATATTATATAATTATTTTTACTAAATAATTAATATGATGCATAGGTTCAAAGAAAGCTTTGATAGGAACAGAATTAGGATCTTTGAAGCCTGTTAATATTTCAAATACAAATGCATTGTTTTTCCATACTCCACATAAGAGAACAGCTGATAGAGCTTCTAAGGCTGCTATTCTAACTGGACTCTTCTTATTTACAAGTGGATGAAGAATAGCTCTTCCCATTTTTTCTGTAAAATGTAAAAGCATTTGATGGTTAACTTTACAAAATTTACCCAAACTTTTGCAAGCTTCTTTTTAGACTTCACCAAAAGGATCCATTAAGAAAGCTCTATGAATATCCACAATATCATCTATATATTCATGTAAGTTATCACTATCATTTTTACACATAATTGAATATAAGAATTATGTCAATAACAAACGAATCTAATGATATTAAATATATTTACTTCTTCTGATTCTTCAACAAATTTCATAAGTCTTGTTGGCAATTAAGAGGGAGGTGGTCTCATTACTTCAGGTAGATGACTAATTCCTTCTAAATCTTCGCAATTGCTTCTTTCTATCAACACTGAAAAAACATAACTCAATATAGGTTCATTATCTTCTGAATTTGTTATCAATCTAGAATATATAATATTAATAATACTAAATCATTGATTTTATGGACATTTCTCTAACCTTTTCATTAGCATCCGAAAAAGACTTCAAAAGTACTTTACCATATTTTAAAAGTATTTATTATGACAATGCTATTAATATTGATTTATATTTTACAATCTGATTGAGCAATATTAGGATCTGTAACTTTCTAATATATCTAAGTGATTGCTGTTTTTCTTAAAGTTGGATTTTATTCATGCAATGCATTTGTATTTTATTTGAAAAAGGATTCCAATTCCTAAATTTGTATATATATTCATACTAGATTATCACCAATTATGAAATCGTTCATTTAATTTCAAAAAAAATATATATATTATTATTTTTAGTTTAAGTAATAATGAAAATCTTATAATATTAAGAAAATAAAGGCTTTATAGATACATAATTAATAATAACAATCTTATATAAATATAGTAAATGTTAAAAAAAACAATAAGAGAATGATTTTAAAGATTTTCTATCTTAATTTTACTTGTAATTGTAAAAAAATGGATTATATATTATAATCATTTACTTCTCAGTTTAATTATAAAAATATGTTAAACAAAATCAGTCAACTTTATCGACTTTCAAATCTTAAATTGCATTATCCAAAAGGATTTGCAAAGATTTTTAAGATCCCTCATCATGCCACTACAAGTGATATTGTCTAATTAATCAAATAAGAAGAGCAAAGTTTCTAAAATGTTAAAATTACTATGGGTGATAAGGATATGACAGATTAATAATTACCTTTTATAGATTTAGTGTTGCATAACACTCCTTCTATTAATATAGATGATGTTAATTTCTCATATGAATTAGATTTAAATGGTTGTGCACCATATTATATGAATTCTGAATTAGAAACAGCTTTTGGATAACTTGAGATTCCTTATTTTGATTCTTTAGTGATTGCTAGATTCCATGAATTAATGGTTTAGTAACTGAATCCTAATAAATAATCACATAGTCCAATTGAAATTGAAAATGCTATTTAAAAAGCTTTGGCAAAATTTGCAGAAGAAAATGCTACTACTTCTTAATTCTGGTAATTGTAATAGACAGTGTTGTAGAATTTGGATTAAGTAATAGTATACTATGAGAAAATAGTAGCTGAAGTAACAGATGAAGCAACTAAAGTATTTTATACATATATATAATTATATAGTAAGGTCATAAATTGTTAAAATAACTAATAGTATTTGCTTTGATTTAGTATTTCTTTCTACTTTATTTGACTTATGGAATTTATGATTGGGGTGTTTCAGAACCAATATCATATTTGTTGGCATAAGTAATGGAAACAGTTGCCTTGTTTTATTTTATTAAAAAAGGAAGAGCATTCAAGTAAACTCATTTATTTAAAAATAAATTTGATAAGACATTCTATGAATTGATTAATAAGAAAACTAATTCAACATATTTTATGAAAGATCTTGAATTTGCAAAATTAAAGGCTGATCTTATATAAGCTAAGATAGTATATGGTACAACATCAATTTGATATATCATAATAATATAATCAATTAAAAAATATATTATTATTTATATATATAATTTGGAAAAAATTAGAATAGATGTTAATTATTATTCTACTAATATAGTTACTCATTGTCTATGGTATTAAATTTAACGAATTCAACACCACCTTAAAACTAGGAAATATTAAAAGAAATATCTCTTTCTAATAGTATTAAATTTATCAACTTTAGATAAGAATATTTTGGAATTGATGTACTTCCAAACGAAGTTGAGAATTTTTAATAATTAATAGCTATAAATTATTAAGAATCAAGAACAATATTTTATTTGAAATAAATCATAAATGGTTCATATATTAGTTTGAAGAATAAAAATTAAACTATTTATGCTTTACATAAAAATTGTACATTAGAGATCTTTGAATAAGGGATTTCAACTAGTTCATAAGATTTTAAACCTAATTGTTTATAATTTTTGATTGATAAAGAATAGAGTCATCTTGCTATAATTTATTTAGATTCTATAATTTTATACAATATCGAATTTAATTAGATTTATAATTTAGAGTATAAATATAGTGATGCAATTATTGATATCTAATTAATTTAAAAATATATTCTAATATCCAAAGGAGTATAAGGTTTAGATATGTTGAATTTCTAGGGAGAAATTATCTTAAATAATTTTATGGCCAATGAAAATCTTTTATAAACATCCTTTCAAGCAAATAGATTATTATTACTTTTTGATTCAGGTTTTCTTATATTTAGTTTTAAGTAGGCACCTAAATTAATTAATAAAATATTAGTAAATGATTGTGTTAGATTTGTACATAACAATGAATTATTTATAATATAAACAAAAACAAAAATTTTAGAATATTTTTGGAAAAATCTTATATTAAATTAAGAAATTAATACAGAATTTTAAGTCACTAGTATTTCACTTTATTAATAATAATTATAATTTATATCAAATGGATATCTCTATTAGAAATTAGTTGGAATTATTAAAGATGATTTCAATATTAGTTAAATACATGTATCAAAATACTAAACAAATTCTACTTAAATTTTAGGATATTAAGAGAAGAATTAATTGATTTTATAGTAAGACTAATCATTTGAGATAGTATATTGGCATACAATACCAGCCTTTTTAATTTTTAAAACTGATGAAACAGGCATTTAAACTTGTATAGTTAAACTATATTAAAAAAATAGTGGCAATCCAAATTCAACAGTTTAAACAATTCATTATAAAATTTATATTGAAGTTATACGTGACTATTTCGATCTATTTTAAACAATAATAATAATATTTGTTACCTTTTTTGTACTTTTACTATTTCTTTTTATTATAAGAAGAATATACTTAAAATCGAAATTGAAAGAAAATAATTAATAGAATATAAAAGAAACCTAATAATCAAATGAAGAAAAAAATTAAGAATAAAAAGATTAAGAATAGTCAATTGATGATAATAAAAATTAAGATGAAGAGGCAGCTCTTAATTAAAAAAATTGATATTGTTTTCATAAATAATTTATTTGATAAAATAATAAATAAAGAATGTCATTTTTAATTATTAAAAGAATATTTTTTATTATTATTTAATACATTTAATTATTATTAAATTAAAGCAAACATATAAATGTCAATCTAAACAAAAAAGGAAATAATTGATTATTTTGTTTAAGACTTAGGATGGGCAAGAAATTAAGTTGAAGATTTAGGATTCTAGTGTTAATGGAATAAAAATAAAATGCTAGAAATATATAAAAATTTTTATCCATCTGATCAAAATTTAGGAGGACTTAACTCTCAAAACTAATTTGCAGTAAATTTATATATTTTAATAATAAATAGTTGAGTGAATAGGAAGTTATAAATCAATTTGGAAATGATGATTAAGATTAATTACAATAAGCTTTAATAGCTTCTTAATGTTTATAAGATAATACACCTATTATAGATAGAAAAAAATATGATGATTACCCTGTAGGAATATAAAATTTGGGGAATACTTGTTATTTTAATTGTCTTTTATAAATTATATTTTACAATCCTAATTTAGTCTAATAGATTTTGTAATATAAAATAGCAGAGACAAATCAAACTTAAGAAAATTTAAAATAATTAAGTGATAATTTTATGACTTAATTTCAATATGTAATTGCAAAGTAAATGCTTTGGAATTAGAAATATTTGAAACCATCAGAATTTTATGAGGCTACAACAAAATTTGAGATGATAAAACCAAATTATAAAGTAGTTTCAATTTAAGAATATAGGGATTTAAGTGAATACTTAACTTCTTTTATGGAATTGATTGATTAATGTCTAAGTAAGAACTTTAATAAATTAAATGATTAAATTAATATTTTTTATAGTGAAGAATTAGAAAAGTAATATATTATAAAGTAAGAGAAATAGCATTAATTATAATTTCATGTAGGTATATAGCATAAATAAATATATCATTTTTTGTATAAAGAAATTATTGAAAATAAAAATTACATAAAAGAATTACCTCATAATCTTATTTTTGTCATAAGTAGAACTGATAATTTTAATAAAAAAATAGAAGATGATTTTTATTTTCCTTAAGATTTATATTTAGATTTTGTTTTAGGTAATCAATAAGCAATATAACATGTACAAAACTATATCAATTAATAACTCAACACTTAAAATCTATATCAATAATGTATATTATTCAATTATTATTTATAGTAAAAAAGTAAGCAGATGCCTTTGAGAGAGTTGTGAATTATTATGAATCACTTCCTACTTTTGATACATTTATTTTAAATAGTTTGAAGCTTGAATAAAAACTCAAAATTTAAGAAATGAAACAATAATTTCCATCAAATTACCATCTCTTAAATTAAGAATTATAATAAGGTTCAAAAAATCTATATAAATTGGCACAAATAGTTGCTCATAAAGGTAGTATTAGTTAAGGTCATTATTATTTGTATTAATACAATTTTCATCTCAAAAAATGGTTTAAATATAATGATTCAACAGTCTTAATGTAAACAGAATAAGAAATAATAGCTGATTCTTTAAAACAAGGAAATATATTAATATATATTAGTTAAGAATAAAAAAAGAAAGTGGAATATTATTAAAAATAACTACATGAAATTGATATCATTAGAAAATCAAGAGGTCTAGAATTGCTTAATCATAATAATATTCAATATGATTTTTTGCAAAAGATTCCAATTAAAATATGTAAGGAAGTAATTGCAAGTAATGAGAAGTTTTTAGATCAATACAAAGAAGCAATCAAAATTAAATGATTAAATCATTATATATAGAGATTTTTTTTAATGATTCATTCATCATATATATATATACACAATACTTTAAATAAAAAGATCGAAGTTTTATTATAAATCCTAAATTTTATTGTACGATTATAGATAATAAATCTCATTTTTTTGCTTATTATGCTGCTAAATCTTCGTCCATTTGTTTGAGTTAAGCACCACCTCTAAGAAGACCAGATCTTCTGGCAGCAACTAAACCAACTTTTTATCCTGGTGGGGCATATCTGGAAAGAGTTGATGGATGACCAATATGTTGTTAGTTACCACCACCATGAGGATGATCAACTGGATTCATTGCTACACCTCTAACCTTTGGCCAGCATTTTCTAAGTCTTCTGTATTTATGGAATTGTCTACCTGCCTTAAGAATAGGCTTTTCAGTTCTACCTCCACCAGCAATCAATCCTAATTCATAGAATATTTATATACCTACTGTAGCTCTGCAGAGAGCACTGAGAGTTTTTCTTGTACCAGATGGTAATCTGACTCTAGTAGTTGTACCATCATCTGAATGACCAATAATGGTAGCATAACAACCAGTGGCTCTTCCCAAAGCTCCTTTATCTCCTGGATGTTCTTCCAAGTTGCATACGACTGTACCTTCAGGGATTTAACCAATTGGAAGTACATTTCCTGTGGCTAATTGAGCTATTAAGGGTATATAAATAATTAAAGTACCTTTAGCTCCGCAATAAATATATTATCCTGTGTATGATCCTTCAGGAGCAATAAAGAGTTTGGTGACCTTCTTGTATTTATATGGATCATTAAATTCCACCTTAGCTAATGGAGCACCTCTTCCTGGATCATGGATGATTTCTACAATCACACCTCTCACATAGCCATGTCTCTCAGCATAATCAAGATGTCTGTATTATGGGCTACCAACCCTTTAGTTTTGATGAGCCTTGAAGACACTGTTAGACTTTCCTTTTCTCTATGCTCTAATTCTCTTGCCCATATTTAAAAGATTTTAAATTTTGTTTTTAGAATGTAAATTTTTTGAATAACATCATTAATTCTGAAAGATTAAATACAATTACATGGCTTTGAATCATTATAATTTTTCATATTTTAAATAGAAACATTAATCTAATATACACATATATATATATCAAATAATCATATTATTTCTTAATTTGAATTTCTATTCATTTCCTTATTCTAATTATCCATTTGAATATTTTTCAATAAAAATAATTCATCTATTCCATCTTATCCTAATTCAAATTTACTGATTTTTTAAGCTTTTTCAAAATATTAAGTTTTAAATTATTGCCATAATTCATTATATAAGTATTATTATAAATATTGATATTTCTCAGCTTTCTCTTCTATAAATATACCCAATTATGTTATAAAACCCAATTATCCTTTTCTTTATTTTTCTTGATTATCCACTTTATTAGTACATTATATTAATAATTAAATAAATTAATTTTCTTCAAACAACTAAATTAATTATAAATATATTACATTCTTAATTAGTATATCGATTTCATTTTCTATTATCAAAGAAATCAAATTGCAATATTAAAAATGAAGTATATCATGTTATTCATAAAGAATAAATAATTAATTATAAACTTTAAAGATATTACATTAATAAAGCCTATTAATAAATAATTAATTTTTTAAGGAAACTCCAATTCCTATAATTTCAAGTAGTTTTAATTTTTATTAACCAAAGGTAGTAGATTTCTGATTTAATATATACTCAATCCAATCAGCACAATATGGTTCTATTCTAGAAAAGACTATATTTATATCAATCATTATGTTATTAACTTATAACTATTATTCATTTTTATCAATATTTTTAAGAAATTATAGTAAATTAAAAAGTATAGTACATGATGATAGAGATATATAATTTATCTAATGTAAAGTTGTTTAACAAACTTTACTAATAAATTCTCCAAAAATAATATCAATATATTAATTTAAATAATCTATTTCCTTAATCATTTCTTAAATGATATATGAAATATTAGAAGATATCTTAAATAAATTAATTATTTACTTCAAAATTAGTAGAATCATCTAATCTTTTCAAAATATTCTAAAGTAAATTGTTTCTTTCAGTTTAGTATTATATAGTTTAAATCTTAAGTAAATAAATTAGAAAGTCAGATACTGAACGAGATTACAATTATCTGATCATTCCCTATATAACTTATGGGTTTTTAAAGCATTCCTATACTATAAGTTCCTCTTATATTTTTTGGAGTACATTTATAACAAATCCTGCAAGAACTTAATTAACATCTTGATCTTAAGAAAAAAAATTGAGCAATTTATAAAGAAATTGTCTTTATACCTTAAGTATATAATTTACTTATCGTTCTCAATAAAATTTTATGGCCTTTAGCTCCCTACGAAACACAGGAGTGTACTTGAATAAAATGGATATCTATATGCTCTTTTTGAGTTTGAATCATCTTCAGGCATTTCTGTTATATATTTGATTAATTCAATCATGTGATCTTCCTTAATACTAATATTCTATTCGAAATATTACTAATCTAAAATTTTGTTATTTTGATATTGAATTTCACTTATTAGGTTATCATCATCTAGTAATGTTGTCAATTATAAATCTTCATTTTCAAAATGAAGATCAAAGCTAGGGTTTCTTAATAGTAACCATGGAAAAAAGCTTTTAAGTACTAAATACATACTTCTAAAACATGAGAATTTATTATAATAATGGAATAATTGGCTGATTAATTGATCAATTAGAATTAATATGAAGAAGCATTTAATCTTTATCAGTAATGTGAATAAACATCATCAATACTCATTAAATAAGCCTAATTGGCTAATAAGATAGGACTATTTAAATAGGCCATCAATTTTTATAAGTTAGCTTATGAAATAGGAGAAAAAAAGAATGAAATATTAATAAAAATAGGTAAAAATTAAAGAATATATCAAATAAGGGAAATTGTAAACTTAAATAGGCAATTATACTTAAGCGATATAAGTCTATAATCAAATTTTGAGTATTGATGAAAATAATCCCATTGCTATGGGTGAATTAGGTTTTAAATTATCAAAATATAAAAGGATATACTCTTTATTGTATGGAAGATCACATGTAAGCTCTTACTCAATTTACAAAATGTTCATAATTTATTTCTATAATACCTAAATTCCTTAATAAATTAGGAGAAGAACTTTATAGTGAATATAAATATAATACTGCCAAGCTTTATTATTTAACAGCCTATTAGATTGATAAAGGTTTTAAAAATTCTATATTTGGATTGATTGACACTTGCCTAAAACTGGAAGAATATGATCAGTCCTTATAATATTGTCAAATTCTTTTAGAAATGGATCCTAATTGCATAGAAGCAAATTTAAGAAAAAGTATTATTATATTTATTAATTTAAAAGTGAAAGTGAAGATTTTGACTAATAAAATTGAGGAAGCTGAAGAAATAGCTAAATAATTAGATGAAATATAACTTGATTATTAAGCTTAATATTAATTGATTGATTTGAAAGGGTTAATACTCCTTAAGAAATAATAATACTTAGATTGCATAAACTACCTAAAAGATTTCATTGATGAGGATAAATATATAATAAAATTAATTTTTACTACAGCTAAATGTTATTATAAGCTTAAAAGATATGAAGAGGCATTAAATCATTTAGAAATGGTGTTTGATGTTTATCAAAACTATTATCCAGCATTATAATTGTAATGTAATAATATATATATATATTTACTTAGATAAAATATTGATTCATACTAATAAATTAAAGGATGCAGAATTAATAAAATAAAATATTGATATTCAAAATCTATGATTTTATTTAGAATCAGAAATTTATGGTAGTATATGGGCATAATCATTAATTAGAACATTCTTTATATGTATTCTAAATTTCTCCATCATCTTTTTAGTTACTTGATATTCAATCTCATCAACATTTTTATTAAAGTATTTGTATTATAATATTGTATTGTAAATAGAATGAATTCCACAATCAAAAGTATTAGTTTATTGTGCAACATTTACAATCTTCATTTTTTCTTTACCTTTTTCTGCTCTTTTTAATTTAGGAAAAATCTTTGCAACTTAATCTAATATAACTTAATCCAACTTATTATTTAATGAATTTAGCATATAAAGATATTCATTTTAGTATACCAATACTAAAAAATGACTTCTATCTACATTCATTATAAAAATCAATTTGTCAATTTCTGATAATTTAAGATTTATTTCCATAAGTTATGGGAAAATAACAACTTTTGATTCCTTTGTAGTTATTAAACTTGAAAATATTTCTTAACATTCTATTGTATTAAGTAGTTTAATTGATTATCCTTAAGCTAATTTATAATAATCTATCACCAATTATAAATAATAATCTACACATAATTGATTAAGCCATTCTCCATAATTAAACCCTTTAAAAATATTATTAGAAATTGTAAATTCCTAATGAGTTAATAGATAACGAGTAGTTTTTTAATTAATGTTTTTTTAATATTCATTTTTATTATATTCTTTTTTTGTTATTATTGTTCCATTTTTGTAATATTAATATTTTTCTTAAATAACATTTTAATTATCACCCTTTTTCTATTTCTAAATAAACTTTCCTTCTTTTAGATTATTTTAATAATAGCATTCAATAGAATAATTATCACTTTCTTCCTCATAAACACCATGCCTTTAACCCCATTAATATTAACATTAGATTTTACACTTTTATTAATTCAATTCTATTGTGCAAAAATCACTAGCAAATCCATCTTTAAACTAACCATCAAATTAGCAATACTTATTCCTAAATAATCCTTTTCCATAAGGTAAAAAATGTATTCCATCTATTCCTCCCTCATAAACTGTTTAATTAGTTTGTTCAAAATCAACTGGAATAGAAATAAAGTTCTAACTATTTACATATAGTTAAGTTTTTCTAAAAATTAAATAATCTCCTTACTCTACATAATTTATTATGCTAAAAAATTTACGTTATTATTTTACATATTTCCATTAGGTCTCAACAATAATCTTTTGCAATTAGGAGGTTTAATAATTTTATAAATATTTTTTATAGCTTTATTACCCTAACTGAATTTATCATTCTTAGTATTAATTTTTTCATCATTCATTTCTTTTTGATTTTCTGATAATTTATTACAATATTTATATATATATATTTAAATATAAAATCAATTACTTTCTTCAGAATCATTTGATTCCTTTTGGTTTATTGAGTATTCAGTTACTAGATCAAAAATCTCATCTTGAGTCTGTTTATCTAAAAGCTATAAATCAAATTCTATCTAAAATTATAATTAAAATAATTACTTAATATTTTCCTCCTTCTAAATTCACAATATTGACAGGATTCTCTTATTCTAAGAAGTCTTCTAATCCTGTATTTTTGTTCTATTGAACATAGATGTCATCTTCAGCTTCTAATTCTCCAATAAAACAACGTAATTTATTTCCCTATAAACCATGTGATAATAATCGAGAATAAAGGAACATAAAAGATTTTCCATTTAAATTCAATTATTACCACAATTCCTTTTTTTATCCATGCTTATCTTAAATTGTTTCAACTAATTATCTTTCTTAAGGGCTTAATTCTTCAATTTTCTTAGGAAAGTTGAACCAACATATTCTAATATTTGTTATAAATAGAGATCCATGTATTGGCTCTATAGAAATTTAAGCATCATTTTATCCATAAATTTTGGCTTTTATATTTTAAAACAAGTGAAGTTTGTCTTCATTCTATAGTAAATCGAAAGGATATGCAATACCATTCATATTCTGTTATAAAAAAATAAATATAATTGTAAATATGTTCTGTCTTTGTGGATTGAGAAAAGAAAACAATGAATAAGAACATGCATAAAATTCACAACGAACTACTCTTTAATCTAAAATGAAATTAGATAATTATTGTAAGAAAAATAGTATGAACATTCCTCAAGACTGCAATAGAGTCAGTCAAGAATACACTGATTTTTTATGTGAGTACGATAAAAATTACTAAGAAAAGTCTTATTTTTTTGATGATTATGATCGTTCCCCTTAAAATAAACATGAAGTAGCATATTTAATGATTAAATAAAGGAATCAAAAACCGATTCTGAAGAATCTATGTTAATGCATTAAGGAGATGGATTATTAGTGAAATCAATCAATATCAATCAATAATCCATCACTAAATTGAAAGATACATTCACAGCATTTATCATGAGAATCCTCTATGATATTAAGTCTTTCTTTGATGTACTTAAATTTCATTTGTATTTAAATAGATTACTCCTATTTAGGAAGTCAAATTTGTAAAATCACTTGTGCCAAATATCATAACTGAGTTAACTTATCGAAGAGTCAAGAATGATAAACTATTGATTGCTCATGATCCAACTGGAAGCTTCTTGCTTAAACATCTGTCATCCAGTCAATAGGTATATTTCATAGAAGAAACTCAAGTCTTTAGACCAATATTAGAAAAAGGAATTGAAGTTTTGAACTGTCAAAATAAGATACATTTTATAACTAAATCTGATATCACAGTAAAATTAGATACTGCTATTGTGAGTAAAATAAGCTATTTATGTTTTTAGATTTGCTATCTCTTCATGAAATTCCTATATACAGCATAATTTAGGAGTACTTGGATTTGGCACATGATCTTATTCTAATTCTTTCTCCTAAATTAGAGTATCATGAGATGATATCTTAGTTGAGGTAAGGAATTAAGAATAGTGCATAATCACATATCTACTGCAGTGTAGAAATTCAGTCTGTTTATGAATAAAATAAGATAGTAGCCTTTATTGTTTATTATGGCGATATATCAGAAATAAAGCAAAATTAATAATTACATTTTCTATATAAATGCATATCCAAGACAATTCAAAAAACATTTAAATATAAAGTATTCTTGAAAAATCTAAGGAGTCAAATTGGAGTGATGAAATTAGTTGACTTATTTTCTCTCTATGGATTATTATTTGATAGTTCTGATGAGAATTTTAAACGCTTTTATAAGCAAATTAAGAAATAATATTTTCCAAAAATTAAATCTTAAAAATTCATATAGGTTGATAGCAGTAAATCATCTACTGAATCTGAGAGTGATGGAATTCAAGAGATAGAATCTACTAATTCACTTTTTACTGAAATCAAATTGTATAGTAAAAGTGAATCTATTCATATGTCCAATTATGTTTATGTACACTTTCATTCATAAAACAGTTAGAAATCAACACAATATGAAGAACAAATTTAATTCAGTCAATGATATTTGTTTTTTTTTTTATTATTTATAACTAAAAAGTACTTTGGATTATCAATAATTTCCAAATACTTAGATTTGATATCATTATTTCATATAATCTTATTAATTATTACTTTTAGCAGTTCTAATTGATTTGTTCAGCAAATGAATTTAATTGATTAAGATCATTAGATTTAATGTAGCTTAGTAATTATTTAATAATTTTTATATTTTATAATGAAGACGAAACCCAAAATCAATCAATCAACTTCAGCAAAGAAATTAAACACATAGCTACCATCAGATTCTCTAAGGAGTAGTCAAATTAAGGAAGAAATTCGTGATGATTTGACATCTTGGGATAGCCGATTTGAATCGACAGCCATAGATTACCCATTATCTAATTATATGAATCCAAATAAATTAACAAAAAAAGTATTTAAACTAATATAATAAAGAAAGGAATTTCTGATACAAGTAGAGAGTAGAGTGCAAGATTGAAGAAATCTAATACAAATTCTACTCTCATATCTAGTCCTCGTCTGATGTCTCCAAAAGAATAAGTTGAAGTGATTCATTATCTTGAATTAAAAAATAAGACTTTAATTGAAGAAAATAAGAGAAAGGAATATCTTATAGCAAAGCTTTTGAAGAATAAATCACCACCAAAATAAAATATTAAAATTGGTCTATAATGTCCTCCTAAATCTGCTGAATTATATTCTCCTGCTACTCGATTTCCATAAATAGCTAGTCCTTAATCAAATGAATTCTAAGTTCCTATGTTTTATAAGAACACTTAATCCAAAGTGATTCAGAATGATTAAAATTGGAGCTTTGGAAAATTACAAGAGGAAGATCGAGACTAAAAGACTAAGTCTTAATTTGCTAAAATTGTAAATGCTAGTAATAATTAAAAATCAACTATTAAAACTAACTTTTCAAAGCCTCTCCTTAAATTACCAAAAGAGTTTCATCCTCAATCTTGGAATTCAATTAAAAAATGATGAAAAATTCATTTATTTCATAATGTAATAACAATATATATTATTCTATTTATGAATATTTGTTTATTGAAAATAATTCATATATAATATAAATTTATTTTGAAATATCATACTAAAATTGAATTATGGTAATTAATATATTATTTATAATGTTCATAAATACAATTTTTTAATATTTTAATCTAGGTTGTATAATATTAGTATATAATTTCCTTTAAATTCAACAAGATTACTTGATTTTTACAATAATGTGTATATAATTTATGGATTTGATTATTATTATAAAAATAATTGATGGATTAAAATAAAAGCATTCCAGAAGAAAGGTATTAGTTGGAGATTTTTGTAAAAGCTAAAAATCTGAAAGACATGGATACTTTCTCTAAAAGTGATCCTTTTTGTAGACTTTTACATACAATTTAAGGAGAGAAAGAAAAGTGTGAAGGGGATACAGAGTTTCAAAAGAACAATCTAAATCCTTGTTGGGAAAAGAGCTTTATCATAGATTACATCTTTGAATTGAATTAAAAGCTTGTTTTTCAGGTTTGGGATAAAAACTAATCAGCTGGATCTGATGATTTATTAATGGGGGAAGTTGAGACAACAGTAGCAGATATAGTTGGAGCAAAAGATATGAAATGTGAATTTGAATTGAAAAATAAGAAAGGATAAAGTGTTGGTACTTTGGTAGTAAATATTGACAAATAGCCAGAAGATAATCAATTTATATAGTTGAGTTGGATAGGAAAAGATCTGATGAAGTAAGAATATAAATATTTATAATTTAGTACAGATGGTTTCTTTGGAAAGAGTGATCCATTCCTTAAATTCTATAAAAGAGTTGGAGAAGATTGGTTACCTGTTCATAAAACAGAGATGATAAAAGATAATTTAAATCCTGAATGGAAACCATTTTAAATATCTTTTAAAAGATTATGTGGAAATAAATAGGAAGAGAAATTTAAAGTTGAATGTTGGGATGTTCATGAAAAAGGTACAAATAATCAATTTATGGGACATTTTGAAACCTCAATTCATGAAATAATTAATGAAAATAAAAGTGAATTCAATTTAGAATATCAAGCAAATAAGTCTGGAGGTAAGATTATTTTAAAAGAGAAAAAGGTAATAAAGAGACCTACATTTATGGATTTTTTAAGAGATGGAGAATAAATTAATTTAATAATAGGTGTAGATTATACAGCTTAGAATGGTAATCCAAATTTCCCAGATTCATTACATGCTTTTAAAACTTAAAATGGAAATTAATATGAAACTGCTATTAAAGCATGTGCATAAATTTTGTTGAATTATGATTATGATAAGAAAGTAGCAATGTATGGATTTGGTGCTGTTCCTCATTTACCTAATTATAATGTTAATGAAACTGAATAATGGTATTCATTTTATTAATATAATTAGTTTCCCATTAACAGGAGATTTTTAAAAACCAGAAGTATATGGTTTGGAAGGATTAGTAAATTTATACAAATAAACCTTACCCAATTTATAATTCTCTGGACCTGGATGTTTGGGAGAAATTATAAATTATTCTAAACAAATAGCTGAATTTAATGCTAAAAAGAAGATCTATACTGTTCTTTTAATATTGACATGTGGATAAATACATGATTTACATTAAACTACAGAAATTATAGCTTAATGTATATAAAATAATATTATTAAAAAATAGGTGCTAATATTCCAATATCAGTAATATTAGTTGGAGTTGGAGATTTTGATTTTAAAAAACTTGAATTTTTAGATTAAGATTAAAAACAATTATAAAAAGAGGTATTGACAAGGAATGTTGTTTAATTTGTTCCATATGCTCCTTTTTCTCATAGTTTACCTATTTTATAAAGAGAATTGCTTGCAGAACTTCCTCATCAATTGACAAATTATAAATCCCTTTTAGGTTTAGTACCATCAAAATGAAACATAAATAAAATGTATCATTATAAATATATTAATATAATCATATAATGAGTAATTTATCAAAATAATAATAATCACTTCCTGTAATTAAGAATAAATTACATGTAGGAGAGAACCTCATGTATTAGATACACAAAAGAGCATTATAAGAATATCTAAAAAGTGGCAATATTGATTAAAGAATAGTTTCAATGAATTTATTAAATGTAAGTTAATTGAAAAATGAAGAACTTAATGTATTACACAAATCTTTAAGTACAAAGAACTAAAAATTTGAAGGAGATGCAGGTAAAATATTATCTAAAGTATTTCCATTTATTTTTATACTTTTTAGTTTAGACCAAAAGTTAAATCTAATGGATTACCACTTTATTTTAAGAAACCTGATTATACACATGAAGATTAAGAACTTAATCAATTAGAAGAACATCTGTACAGAATTGATTAATTAAATTAGCAAAATTGTACTAAAATCTAAATTGAATACTTGCAAAGTCTTTAATGGAACTTATCTTGTAGATCCATCTATATAAGATCTTCAAAAGACCAATCAAAAATCTAAATAACCTTAATAATTTGTTTACTTTCCTGCCATTAAACGATAACCAAGTTAGGCTAATTTAAGAGATACTTAATAAATAAAATAAGTTGTTAATTAAAGATTACATGATTCTGAATTAACATTACATGAATTAAGAGAAAGATATAAAGAATCTAAATTAAGTGACTTTTAAAAGTATTTTTTTTAATTGATTGATGAGGGGGATGTTGGTGAATTGTAATCTTTATTTAAATAAAAAGAAATATCTTAAGTTATACTTAATAGTCCAAATCATAAAGGTTATTATCCTGTTCATTTAGCTATAAAATAAAAAGATCCATAATTATTTAAATTGTTTTTGTAAAATGGAGCTGATTTAACAGTTTTAACAAGAAAAAAGAAATCAATTAAATAATTATTAGATATATATTATAATGATGAAATTTATGAATTAATTAATGGAAAAAAGAAAGGGAAAATATAATTATGAAGTAATTTATAATTTAATTTAATTAATATGTATTTCTCTGACATTACAAACTTTGAAAAATCATTTCATAATCTAAAGACTAAGTCTCTAAATTCTCAATAAAACATTCCTAATAGTCCTAAGAAAAAACCATCAGTAAATTATATGGATATATAAAATTTTTAATTTGAGTGGATTTAATTGGATGACTATGAATTAGAAATTATGAATGAAAGTGATTCAAATCCATTTTAATACTCATACTATGAGTAAATGTAATGGTTCTAAAATTATCATCTTCATTTCTCATATCCATTAAAATTGGATCACATTAATGTATTTATATAATCTTATAAAGACCTAAGAATCTTTAAAACATCATTCAATATGTGAATTGAGAAGAAATAAATTATTATGTTTAATAGGATATGTATTGGGTTCTTATGATAATACTTCAAATGAGACATATTTTTTAACTATTTCAATTTTTGATAAGTTCTTATAACAATATCCATATAATCTTAGTAATCAAGAACTTTTAAGTATAGGAATAAGTTGTTTAAGTTTGGCTTCTAAATAAAAAGATATATATTGTTTGACTTCATAATAACTTGTCTAATTAAGTGGTGAGAAAATAACTGAAGATTAGCTTGCAAAATGTTAATTTTAAATATTAAAAACAATATAATATTAAATAGAAATGCCAAATTATTTTAGAAATTTTGATTATATAATGCGTGATTTGGAATTTAGATTTTATAAGTAAAAAAATTAAAATATTATTGATAATTCTTTAATGAAAATGAAATTATCAGCAATATATAAATGTAGTTTAAATTTATTAAGATATGTTTCATAGTATTATGATACAACTATATTTTATTAAAGTACCATAGCTTATAGTTGTATTTTATATACTATTAAAAGAATGGAATTATTAAATTATAAATTACTTAATGATTTTATTGATGTTTTATTATAAATTCAAATAGATTAAGAAATAATAAATACAGAAATAGCTTTAAAATATATTTATAGACTTTGTTAAAATTAATTAACATAAAAACAATCAGAATTTTTATCATAAACAGATTTCAAATATTGATTATTATTTTATTTTTTTTGTTTTATTATAAATTTAAATAAAGTGTCAATAATTATTAATTTATCTTCTTCTAACTTTCAATAAATAATCTAATTATGAAATATTACGATAAGGATTAGTTATATTAGAAAGTGAATTCTTTTTTGATACTAAAGCTGATTTTTATAATTTTTTAATAGATTGATTTAATTAATATTTTAATTAAAAATCGATAGATTTATTACTAGAAAGAGTAAATTGGGATGTTGGAGTAAGCTAAGGAAGTATTGAACGAGTAACAGGAACAAATGTTTTGTTGAGTTATTTTTTCTTAGGTTATTTTAAAGGTGAATTAGTTGGTTGAGTAGGTATTGATTTTATAGGTATTTATGTATCTTATACAGTTTTGAGAGTTTTAATAGGAATGAGAAGAAGTTTATCATTAATTGTTTATTGTCTTTTAACTAAGAAAGTATGTCTTAATTAAGTTTTAGTATGAGTGTCTTTTCTTTAAAATAGTTATTAATGAATTTATTTTGCTTTTATAAGTTATTCATAAGGTATATGTGTATCACAAGAATTACAACGTTTTTTAATATATGTATTATTAATAGATAATCTAGTTTTCAATAAATTCAATTTTTTAGTTAGTTTGTTTGCTTAAAATATATTGAAATTTTTACAAAAAAGAATAGATTCTTGTATAAACTATTTTTTTTTATTTTATTGATTTGCATATTCTAATTAATGATGACAAATGGCACCTTTATACATAAGATGAATAATTTTAGTATTATCATATCCACAATTAGTACAATAACAACTTCTTCTTCTAATTTATTATTCTTTTTTAATGCGTAGTCTTGTTCCTTAACGACTTCCAAAACGTAATTGTTTCTTTTATATATCAAATGGGGAAGGTTTTTATAGATCAAATGAAAAAGTTCTAGTTCTCTTATTTAAAGGACGTATAATAGTATTAGATAATTGTGGATACTCTTATTTACGATTTAGAATGTAATTATATAGATTGATTGAGTTGTCTTCATAATCCATGTTTGGTAATCCTTGAATGTCTTTCTCTATTGAAATAGGATTAATGTTTAATACTCAACTGTTTGATCATCTTTTTAGCATTATTGAATAGTTATTCTTATTTAAGTATTCCTTCTAATTTCTTTTCAGGATGTGCATTAATTTTCATGACAGAAATAAACAAATATGAGACCATCATAACAATACTAAAAAATTTGAACAATCCAAAATTTGCTTCGTAATATGAGTAACAACTGAATCGTCTTCCCTTCTTTAGCTTTTATAGATAAGTCTTAAAAACAGACACATTCACTTAAAGTGCTTTTAAGTACATCTAACTTGTATATTTGAAAAAAGGTTAAGTCTATAAACATTAAAGTATATTTAGAATATATAAATAGCTGATTCCATTGAAAGTGTATTAATACTACTTGAAGGAACATTGTCATTAATTAAAAATGATCAAAAGAAACAAAAACTTGTTATGAAAATATAACCTCCAGAACATCTTTTTCAAGCAGAAATATATAAGAAGACTGCCTATTCAAAATATAAAATAATGGCTTTAACAGATTCAACAGCTATCTCATTAACTTTCATTTCAATCCATGAAGTATATATTTATTCTTATATATTTTAGATATCAGTTTATGGATTTTAGTTTGCTAAATATAGAGAAGAAGTGGAATATTTTAGAATATAATTTCCAGATATTAAACCAATTGAATTTATTCCATTTATTAAGAAATTGAAGAAAGAAAATTTTTTGAATAATGTTAAAATTTATTCAGCAAATCAATAAGCCAATAAAGTCTATTTTATTATTTCTGGAGAAGTGGAAGTAAATATATATATTAATATTATAGATATATGCTGAAAATGAAGATGGTAAACTCTAAAGAGTTACAATAGCATGTGATAATGACAGTTTTGGAGAAGAAGCATTATCAAATTGTGTTCCTAGATTATATAAATATACAACAAAGACATAATATTTTAAGAAAACAACTGCATTTGTATTTGAAGTAAATATTAAATTGTATTAGATTGATGATTATTGCCACACTTATGCTCCAAATCTTATTAAATAATTAGAAGATAAAATGAAACTCAAAGAAAATCTCATTCTATAAAAAATCAAATAAACTTAAACATAAACTAATACTTTACCTACTATAATTAATGGTTCTCTTAAAAAACCTTTTGAACAGTAAAATTAAATAATTTCTATATATTTAGATTTTTACACATTACATCACCTAGATCAAAGGCTTCATCCATAAAAATCAATAGAGCTATTAGTCTTAATGATGGAGGATTATTCAATTTTATGGAACTCAATAATCCAGGTAAAAATCATATGAGATTATTTGAATAACATGTTAATAGATAATTAATTAAAGAAAGACATGAAGAACATGATAATTAATCAAGAGATAGAACTAAATCTATAGAACTCTAGAAAATATGGAATCTTAATCCAGATTCTAAAAAACTACCTCAAATTAAATAACATTGATTAATTTGTAAAAATAAACTATTATAATTAATAATTATATAAATGCAACATTAATTGAGTTTGACTATTGAGAGTAATGATAGTTATGATTAGATTGATAACATTGATATGTCATAATTTAATGAGAACTTATTTCTTTAAGGAAAAGAATAATCCAAATTATTATCAGATATACATATGGCTTCTGAAAAATTATCACATTCTGCTGATCATTATATAAATGAGATTGTAGAATAAACATAAGGATCAATGTAATATTTATTTTATTTTCAAAGAAAACAAATTATTATGATTTAATCATATTATAGAATGTATTCTTGTAAGATCAAATATTAAAAAAGAAAGAAATGGGCTAGATATCGTAAATGTGTAATTCAAGAATTAGTAGATAGTGAATTTACATATCTAAAAGATTTAGAATTAATTATTGTGAAGTTTTATGATCCATTATAAGGAATTTTGACAGAAACTTAATCTAAATTATTATTCAGAAATTTGAAACAAATATATTTACTAAATAAGTAATTTTTATTTGAAATCTCAGGTATTTTATTAAATATATTATCATAGAAAGATTTAGCAATTTTACTTAACATACTTGTTTTGGCAAAATCTTTGATAAATATGTTTAATTTTTTAAGATATACTTTGAATATACTTCTGGTTTCTCAATAGAAGTTGTATCTTTATTAAGAAAGGAAATTCCAAAATTGAATGATTTTATAACAGAATTAGAAGAAGCTGATATTTTTAAAGGAGGCAATCTAGAATCTTATCTCATTAAACCAGTTTAAAGATTACCAAAATATGTTCTTTTAATTAAAGATTTAATTAAACATACATGGAAATCTCATCCAGATTATGAATCACTATAAGTAAGTGTCAATAAATTTATTGAAGTGAATAGTAAAATTGATATCTTAATGGATAAGTAAAAATGTATATATATTTATTTTAGTGTTCTCAAAAATCAAATGTTATTTGAATTATAAAAATTATTTTTTGATTCTATTAATGTATCTATTGTTGAATCTACTAGAAGATATGTTTAAAGTGAAACTATTAATGTACTTGTCTCAAAATAATAGAAATCAGTTATTGTCTATATATGTAATGACATGATAATACTAACATAAAGAAATTAGAATGCTTTAGCTAAATAACATGAAAAATTGTATGAATATCTTTACCTTAATGAGAAATCTTATTGTAAAAATAAACCAGAAACTCAATATTGCAAATTTTTATTTACAGTCTCTTCTTAAGAATAATCAATTACATTTATATGTTAAGATGCTGAACAAAAATAAAAATTATTAAGTTTATTTGAAACCTTAATTAATGATATTAAAATGAAATATTAAAAATTAGAAATCTTTTAAGAAAACGATGTCTAACCAATTTAAGTATTTGCCAAAGGTACAGAATTAAGAAAATCCTTACTTTAATCATATACTGTTTATGTGATGTTTGTATATATAGAATTCAATATAGATTACTGCAGGAACTTAAAATTTAACCTTATCAACCAGATACAGTAGTTTAATAAAGTTAGAAAATATGTTAAGAAAACAATTCCCTGATATATCTATTCCACATTTAAGCAAGAATCAATGGGCTAACAATAAAAAAACATAATTAATAGAAGCTAGGAAAATCATAATTGAAAATTTCCTTGAAGCTGTTCTAAATTCACCTCTTATAAAATAAAATCCAGAATAAGTATTAAAATATTTAGAATTACCTCCTTCATTTTATGAGGCTATTGCATCCAGTCCTAATAAAATATGTATTTAAAGAGAGAGTCTACGAAATACAATGAAGTCTTCTTCATTTAATACAGATGATATTTCATTAAGTGAAACTTTAAGATTTGTAAGGAATACTAATACTATCAGATAAACTTTGCATCATAAAAGTTTAAAAGTTAGTAATTAAACTATCAATATTAAAGTATTATTATATACTTCTATATATTTTTAGATAATGTTCCTTGATGAATTTTATATATTTTTACCAATTAGTCCTGAATTAAGAGTAGCTGATTTAATTGAAATGGCTGCTGGAGCTATAAAATTATAAAGTTATGATGATTTTAAGTTCTTTTTAATTAATGATCAAGAAATTAGAATTCTTGATGATGATGATTGCATTCCATAAATTTAATTGAATAAATCAAATAATGAAAGTGTTTTTTCAAAACTTACATTTCTATTTAAAGAACGAGAAAAAACTAATACTAAATTATTACTCAAAAAATATTTATATTTAACACCAAAATAAGAGAAAAAAGATTATTAGTCAGATCTAGTTAGACTTAATTTAATATGTCATTAAGCATTTGATGATATAAAGAATATGAAATATAAAATCACCTTTTCATAATATTGTATATATTCTATTTACTATCTAATAATCAAATATTATGAAAATTTTAGACATGTAAAATAATTTAAATATTTAGATATTTACTAAATAATCTTTACCTATAAATTTAGTAAAATAATTAATACCAGATAAAGTATATAAACAAGAGAAGGAATTAACATGGATTTCAGAAATATATATTGGAATTGGAATTGTAAAATAAGAAATAGAATAAATACTTAAATAACATGATAAGAATTTATAAGGCATTAAAAAATTTGAATAATAATTCCAATATATTACAGAATTGCTATTTATGGAATCTCTATAATAGAATCCATTTTATGGATTACAATATTTTAATATTGAAATACCTAATACAAGTAAAGATATATTATAAAGGTTATTATATATTATTATTATTTATTTAGATAATTTTAATGTTAATTAGAAACATATTCTATATTAGGAGTTAAGTATGATAGATTCATTATTATTAATAATATGGAAAAGAAATTGGAAATATTTCTATATGACATAGTAAATCTATCACCATTCCCATTTTATTTTCAATTTTAAATAAAGTAAATTAAAAATGAATAATTTATATTCAAGACTTCAAATGGATTAGAAATTTAAAAACTTTAAGAACTATACTCAAATATCTCTAATAATTTATGATATGAATTCTTATAGATACCAAAAAAATAAATTATCATCAACATTTAAACTTAATATTTTCCTTTCCTTATTTAAGTATATAATATTAATCATTTGATTAAATTTTTGAATCAGGAAGTGTTGGAACTGTTTAATTAGTTTTTTCTCTTTCATTATTTCTATGACTTTTTTATTTTTAATTATTTGAACATGATATAAAACTAGCATTTATATTGGAATTATTCATTTCTTCACTTAAACTTAGGGTATTAAATAATTTTAATTTTTATCCATTTTATGAGTTTTTTTTAATCATTATTGATTGTTTTGAAGATTATTATTGAAATTTCTATCTTTCCTATTATAAAAGTGTATTCTTTAATATCATTTCCAATTCAACATTATCTTACTATAATTTTATTATTTATTTTTATTAATTAGAAATGATTAATTCATTATTTTAACTTTAATCAATTTAATTTTTAAGAGATTAATTTTCATTTCTAACTGTTTCAAACAATTCTGTTAATTTTTACAATTCTTCTGTTAATTATTATATATGATTCTTATAATATTTTATCTCCTTATCCTTCTCTTCTAGTAATTCTATCTATTAATATGAATTTTGAACAGACTCAACCTATTAACTAATTTGAGAATGCATTAATGATTAAAATTTACTTTTAGATCTATTACGTATTTTTTATAAAGCATTATTAGGTTATTCATTATTCACTATTGGCTTAAATTAAAAATGGTTTATAAGATGTTAATTAACTTATTTTAAATTATTTTCATTAATTCCACTGTGCTATGTCTTATATTAAAATATACAATTTCATTCACTTTGTCAACTATCATCTAAGAAGATTTCACATCTTTTTATTAATTTTTCATAGTATCCATAATTCCACTAGAAACTTTAAACGATTTCATTTATTAATTTTTATATAGAATTTATAAATTCAATAGTATTAATTATAATTAATTAAATATAAAAAAAAGAAATTCAATCACTTAGGATTAAAGATTTAAATATTTTCATATATATTTATAATTATCTTCATTATTTATTAGTAATTGAGATTATAAATATTTCATATAAATATAAAAAAAATACTTAAAAAAACACATATATATATACATTTAATTTAAATAAGAATTAAAAATATATAATTCAAATCTCAAAATATTTTATTTTGTTGAGTTCATTAAAGTTCATCTATAAACAAACTAAATGTGATGAAAGCAAAATGAAAAAGAAAGGGAATAATTTAAATAGATTAAATTCAGCACTGGAATCAAAATTAAAAAGATCATAACAACCAAAAATAAATTCAATTAAAGAACTTACTAAAGCACAAAGATTAAATAATAGAAACATTTTCCCATAGTTTCTTCTTGATTTTAAAAGCTAATAATATATTTAATAATACCCAAGCAGATAGAATTATCAAACTTATGATTTATGCTGCAGGAAATATTATAGATTAAGTGATAAATTCAGCTAAAAAGATTTAATCCTTTTCCGTATCATGAGCAATAAATAATAACACCGGATATGCAATTACAAAGCACTTTCTATAAGTAAATTAATATTACCCATTAAATAGCAAGTACAATACATATACCAGCAATAAGAAATTATTAATTAATTCTACTATCTCTATATCTAGTAATTTAACTTAATAACCAAGTGAAAAATCGTTTAACTACTTAGAATCCTTTAAGTTTATATTATTTCATTCCATCTATTTTAAAACGATTTATTTTGGATTACATTTTCTTCTTCTCTTATTATATTTGATTTCTTAAATCATCTTTATCTTAATTAACTATAATTTATAATTATTCATTAATATTATATACTAAATTATTAAATGTTTCTAAATTAACAACTCTATCTTTATTATAATTATTAAAAATAATAGATAATTTAATAGTGAATTCTTCAGGTAAATTTTTCATTATATGAATTTATTTTAATAAAAATTCTAATTCTCTTTAATTAGCATTTCCTAGTAGATATACCTAACTTTAAGCAGATACTTCATTTGCAATAATATGAATACATATATCAACTTAGATAGCATGATGCAATCTAAAAATATCATAATTATAATTATTTGTATAATTAAGAAGATCAATAAATCTTTTAGTAAATGAAGATTATGATTATCTAAAATCTATTTTAACTGCATAATAATTAAATTCAGCAACAAATTTTTCAAAAAGATTTATACTATCTTCATTAGTATTAAAACTAAATTACTACCATAATCTTTTAATAAGTGCATCATGAATATTAATTTAAAATGGATATGGAAATGTTCCAAAACCACTTAAAACTAAATAGATTGGTAATTCTATAGTATTACTCTATTCTACTATTTTTAATGCTAAATTTAATCTATCAATAAAAGCTAAAGTTTTATCTTTTGAACATGAAAATTTCAACTTAATTTTATCTCTATCAGGATCTAATTCATTAAAAAGATATTCTTATTAAATAAATAATTTAGATAGAATTTAAAATTTTTTGACTTAAATTAATTTGAGAATCCATATGTAAAGTGGATAATAATAAAATTTGAAAAATATTAACATGTATTTTTCAAAAGTAGTAAATAATGCTTTTTAATTGAATGTTTCAAACAATCTATATAATCTTTAATTATCTCCTTAATTTAAATCACTATCAACTAGAGTTTCTTAATAAATTTACCATGGATTTTAATAAGTATTATTACCTGCCAGATAAATTCTTCTTACATGAAAATGAATATCTTAACTTATTAAATATGTTTTATTATTTAATTCAGATAAAGAACTAGTCATTTATTATAAAGTTGAATCATCATATGATCCATAAAATTATCTTGACTTCTTCTGATTCTTATCCCTACTAGCCCAAACAATAGCAATATTAATCAATAATAACATTATAATAACAAATAAAGCAAATATAACATTTTATCCTCCTAATTTTTATGAGAACTCTGCTAATCCAGTTAAACATTAATATTCTTTTGGTTATTTATTATCATAACATTCAACTGTACAAAATGGTGTGGATTCTCCAAAATTACTATAATTTGTTTTACTATTATTGATAGTATTAAAACAAGGTTAACAAGGACCTTATCCATAAAGTAATTTATATTTTCCTAACTAACATTTTTAACAATAATTTCCATAAGTACCCTAAGGACATCCTGTAGGTGTTATTGAACCTTAAAATTTAGTTAAACTTTGATTAGACATAATAAGGACATTATTTTATTAATTAGTTAAACCTCCTGGTCTAGTTTATATTTTATTTATGCAATTGTTATAATAAGTACTATTAATCATTTCTGTTATATTAAAAAAGAACAATCTGATTCTTCCTCCACCTCCAAAACCACCATAGACTTAATATGTTTAATAAAACTTTTATCTAGCAAATTCATATTAATTAAAATCTTCAGCATATGAAGAACCACCACCATCAGCAGTTACATATCCCTATCCACTAAAATATATTATTCTTATTTAAATTGATCCTCCACTTCCACTCCCAAAAAATGGTTCCTCAATATAAGATGTTCCATTTGAACTTATTATCCCATCATTTTATAAATTTAATACTTCTAAATGTATAACTCCTCCTCCTTATCCTTAAATGTTTATTTTTTCAAAAAAATCTCCATATGTAACTCCACCACCACCACTACCTGGTAATATTGGATTGAATGAATAATCATAAATCTATTTACTCTATAATTATAAACATAATTAATTATAATTTGATTTTGGACTTGTTGAAAATCCTCCCATTCCTCCATGACTTCCTCCAGTACCTCCACATTGTTATCTCAACCCTATTATTTTATCAGTGTATCCACAACCAAATCCTTCATTAGTATCATATCCCATTCCATCTGTTAATATCTAACTAGAATTATCAATTGTTAAATTATAGGAATACAATCCAATATAGAATCCTTAGATTTTGGACTAGTTTGTCAAACTTAATGATTATTGAACTGAAATTAACATAGTGTAATAGGTGAGATTTTTTATAGTAAAGAAATTACATGAAAATTAAGATAACCATTATGATTCAATAAATTAAGCAGATAAATTAGTATAGTTTGAGGTGATATAACCTACAAAGCTGAAAAGGGATTTAAAATAAGCTTAATTAGAACAATTTAGATTATTTAAGCATGAACATTAAGTTTTATTCTACATTAAAGATTTAAGTTAGGAATTGCTGACAAATAAATATTATGAACAAATACTCATAGTTTTTGAAAATATTTTTGTATTATCTAATGTCATATTATATGTTACAAATTAAATTTACATCTATCCTAAAAAATTAATATTTGAATTGTAAATATACAATTAATCCATTTAGAATACTATTTATTAATGTTATATGAAATCACATTCCTCATCTTATGATATTTTTGAATTATTTATTATCAATTGACTAAAATTCAATATTACTTTATTCACTAATTTTACTAGACATATCTACACATTACAATTCTCTATCTAAACTATTTCCTAACTATTAATTGTATTATTTTAATGAGTGATGCTCAATGAGCAATTGTTATTTATCAAACACACATCTGTATATGATTAATTACATTCACATTATGAAGCATTAACTTGTTGCACAATTAAAATCCATAAAAATGTTAACATGATAAAATAATAATAAAAATTGAATTATCAAGAAAAAATCAAAGTTCCATCATCTTCTCTAATGTGTTACATTAAACTAATAACATAACCATTAAATCATTTGATTAGATATTATTATTATGTATTGTACTAGCAGTCTCCTCATAAGAACTTACATTCTTCTATCTAATAGATGAAGCCTCACTATGTAGATTTTCAAGTAAATCTACATTATCATTAAATTAATTAGAACTACTATGAGCAATCAAAGGTTGATTTCTCATATTGTTTCCAAACTATTACAGAATGTTCATCTTCTATTAAATTGTACTTCTCTTTCCATTTAAATCCTTCTATAACATTACAAGAGTAGTTGGAATTCCATCAATTGGTTATCTTGATAATATATCACTAGCATATAGAGTCATCTATCCTAAATATAGAGCTTCATCTGTAATTAAAGTCTATATTTAATATTCATATAAATTACTATTATTTTGCTCTGTTCTTATTATTATAATAATAATTCATTTATTTACTATTATAAATATTTTGTATCACTTTGATCTTACAATTAAGCATATTGTGCTTAACATTTTTCTTATAATTTTAAAATTTATTACTAATAACCTTTGTATTCAGCCTATTATAAATTAATTTAAATACTTCTATTTATTATTAAATTTTCTATAGATTACCATTTTCTTTAACTACTTAATTGAGTTATTCCAATTAGTTATTATTTTATTATAATAAATCATAATACTTTTATTCTATTTTCTTAGATTAATCAATATTTTCTTTGTAATTATTATTTTCTTTCTATAATTCTTTATTTTAATAAACAGCCTCCTCTAGATTTTAATTAATTTTATTAAGTATTTAATTCTCTTTCTATAAATTATTTTCTAAATCTATAATAATTTAATTTTTTTATTTTAATTCATCTTAAACTTATTTCAATATCTAATCATTCTATTATTTTTCAGTTTGTAATTTAAATAGTTTCTCCATCAATTATCTATTTGTTACTACTTATTCATCAAATAACTTTTTATTTAATTCAATTTATTATTCTAAATCAAAATTATGATTCTTTTGATTTCTACTATAAGGAGACTTTGATTTTGAACTAAATTATGTTATATTTCTTTCATCTGCTGTTTAAGTTTTAAAATTAGATTAATTTACAATTGATGTATCATTTGTTACTCTCTATTTATAATTTACATCAATTCCACATTTTGCTAATTATTATCCAAATGAAGTAGCATTTTAATTTTAATGTTAATGTTAAAGTTAATTACTTGACATATTTTCTTTGATATTTTTCATTTAATTATTTAATACTTCTACCTAATTGATCAATGTACTTTAATTATGTTTAGTTTATAAGACATTTATAATATCTTATATTAATTTTTAAGTATCCACTACCATTTTTTATAATTTCAATTAATTTTGGAAGCTCATCTAATCATTTTTCTAATTATCTAATTATTCTTTAAGCATTTCAATCTATTATTGATATTACATTGAATTGTCTGCCATCTTAAATGCATCTTAACTATAAAGAGAGTTGACTTCTTAAATAAGCAAATAAATAAAATATTTTAAGGCTATTAAATCAGTGCATCTATAGAAATCAAAACAATCATTATAATATTCTTAACAAAAACATTTAATTTTTGCCAAAGATGGAGCACATTCATCTTAATTTTAATCTTTAATCATTTTAAACTTTCTCAATTTCTTAGTTAACTGCTATATTCTCACTATACTATTTGTATGTAATTATCCTTATTATGGACCTAAATTAGAAAATTAACTATGCATTGAATATTTATCTTATTAAGCCATAGTATTATCAGTTTTTATATGTACAGGAGATTAATCTATTTTACTAATGTTTTCTAATCTTTTATTAATAATTGTTTCATAATAACTCTAAGAATCTACTTTCTAATTCGAACTGCATTATTTTTTCTACCTTACAAAAGGTGATAAAGATGCTTCATTTTTTTATGTTGTAGTTGATCTATTTTCTGTTCTATCTGCATGTTAACTATTAAGGTTCTTAACTCTCTACTCCAATCCCTAAACTTTCTATTATAGGTAATTTGCACACTATGAAAATTCAGGACAATTGCTAATTACAGCTAAAGGTTGTCGTTAAACTCTTAAACTCCCTTAACGAGAATGACCAGAATTTGGAGTCTGATAAGGTTTCATATTAATATTTAAATTATTATTTAACAGCTTTAAATTATCTTTAATAAAAAAATAAATATTTCATCTATTTACTTCATTTCTTGTTGTTGAAATACTAATTCAAATTTATAACTAATATATTGATCTATTATATTCTCATTTTCAAATCTCATATATATATTACTCTCTTTCTCTCTCTCTCTATATATATATTCAATGGATTTTCAAGAATTTTATATTTACTTGGAATCATATACAAAATAAATAAGTTAATTGAAGAAAAAATCAAATGAATTATATTCATATTCACTTTAATTAAAATAATGTATATTATCTTTTAGATAATTAAAACTAAAAATTATAATCTTAAAAATGAATCTTCCAGTTATTGCAGTTAGATTGAAATGAAACTCCTTAGATTTTGATTAGTATCATAAATTATATAAGTTTAATATGAACTCCTTTTATCATATCATATATGAATAACTAGAAGTATAATCCTTTTTAAATTTAATATTAGTTATTATAAAATATATTTTGTAATATAAAATTTTATTAATATGTATTATTTATCATGAAGATTTAGAATTATCTAATAAATAAGTGGATATTTAGTTAGTTTTGTACTTTAATTGTTTTAAAGTTGTTTAGATGAGTTAATTTGAATAAAGAGGATATTCAATAAATAAATATACCGGTGATAATGAAATATTAATATTAATTGCAATTATTTTTACTCTAACCCCCATATTTTAAATTATTCTTTTTTTAATATATAATTGATTTTGTTAATCCTAATTGTCAACTTATTGACTTTTTGGTTTCATGATTTTAACATCAATCTAAAAATAGATTATTGTGAATTCTAACATTAGTTGAATTTTTAAAAGTATATCATAATAATGATTTGGTTTAATGGGTTCTGTTAATGCAAAGAAAAAGATTAAATTTATTAATTCATGGGTAATTCTTGCAAATAAAAGAAAGATACTGAATACGAAGACACTTAATAATTGCAAATAATAACTTTAGAAAATGGAATTCAAAGAATAAATACAACAATCTAAGCAGATAGTCAGCAATTAAAACTAAATAAAGAATCTCCATAAGATGGTGTCTAAATATCAAATATACAAGTTATAATGATTAAGCCAAGAAATGAAGAAGAAAGTGCTTTAATTTTGAGAGATTTAATATAGTTTGGAAATAAAATTATTGTAATCCCTAAAGTGAATGAGGATAGTCCAAATACTAGTGCAAAGTCATTATCAAAGAAAGGAATATTAAAAAACAAAGGATCTTAATTGACAAAATTTTCTCTACATTCTTGTAATTAGTAGAAAAGGGATAGATTTCAAATGTTTGATAATAAATGACAATATTAAATCTTTTATGAGTAAATATTTCAAAAGAAAATGCTAATAATATTTATATATATATTTAGGTTTAATTATTGAGCAAATAATATTAAACATTTATTATTAATACTAAACCTTAAATATTAGTTTAATATTTCAATAATCATAAATTTTAATCAGTTGATATATGAATTTTAATATATTTTAATATATTATAATGTATTAATATGTTGATATTAAAATGCATTTAAAGAATAATCAAATTTTATTTAATTTAATTTTTCTTTAAAATTATGTAATTTCCTATTATGATAAAGAAAGAAAATAATATATTATGAAAAATAGAATATTTATATAATAAATATCTATATAATTAAAATATTTGGAAATTGAGTTAATTAAAATAGAAAAGGATTTCTATATAATACTTTACTGAAAACATAATAATATTTATATTTATAAATATCCTTAATATATTCTAATAAAATTCAGGAATTAAGTTTTTAATTGCGATGCTTTCCTTTTTTTGGTTTATTATGAAATCTATATTAATGATTAAGTAGATTTTTCAATACTTTGTAGGTTGTTTAACATATTGAACATCTATAGGAATTATTTTTTGGATTGAATACAACTCTACAAACTGCCTTTCTTTATTCTATTATGTTTTATTTTGATGTTTATTATTAATGTTCATTAGAAATAGTTTCATTTTCTGAAAGTTTATCATCCTTTTCTGTTTATTCAACTTAATCTTCATCAAGATTTAATATAATTTCTATGTCATTTATTATTTCATCATCATTTTAATCTCTTATATTTAATTTAACTGGTTCATCATTCTATATTTATAATGAATTGATTTGTTGGAGTAATTTAAGCATTTGTTTCATCTCAATAATACTTGATCTATCTTACATATTGTTCTAATTAATTAACTCTAATAAAGTTAATTTTGAAGCTTTTTGTAAGACACAAATTGGTTTGTATAAATCCTTATAATATTTATGATCTAATATATATATATATATATATACATAAGTCAATTAAAATCTAAAACAAAATAAGAAAGATTTCAAAATAGTACTATATTATTATCAATAGAATATAATTAATTCATTAAGTCTAATAATTAGAAATATACGAAATATATGAATTTGTAAATAATTCTAAATATAAAATAAGTCAAAGAACAGTTATGTTATTTACTTCAATATCTTTTAAGATCTTTTCTGTTGCAAAATTCATAGTAGGTGGTCCACAAATAAAGTAATTAGATACAGTATTTAAATCACCTATATATGATTTAAATATTTGTGCATTGAATCTTTAGGTGATTATATCACATTCTTTTAATTTAAAATTTCCTTTTACAACCATTTTGAAATTTGGTATATCCAATTAAGATTATAATGATAACAAAGTAAAATAGATATCTTTACCAATCTAATAATAATATATATATAATAAATACCAAATCATCTAATGAATTAACAGCTAAAAATAGAGTGATCTTGAAATTCTTAATTTATCCTGTATTAATTATTTAAGCAGCTTCTTAACCAAATTGTTTCAATAATATTTTATGATAAGTCAATTTAAGTTAATACTCTAATATATCTAAGAAAGGAAACAATCCAGTACCACCAGCAATGAAGACTAAATGATTACCATTTTCTATTGTAATATTATTTCCATAAGGTCCTTCTATAAGATACTCTCCATTACGATTGTCTTCATGAATAAAAGATGAGAATCCATTTTTAGATTGATACCTCTTAATTATTAAAGGTAATTCAGAAGAATATTCTTCTTCTTTTGGAATTTCCTTTTGTATTGTTTACAAAGAAAGTATTTTTTTAAAGAGATCAGAAAGATCCTTTCTAAATTTAATCCTTTGAGATGTCATACTCTATACCATAGTATATTATCTAGTAGAAATGTCATTATCTTCAATTGATTTAATAATAAAATATTAACCAAAAGTTTATAAACCAGATAAAGTATTTTTGAATTGATACTTATCATGAACAAATCCAAAATAAGCAATTTAGTCAGTGTATGGATGAATAGTATTTAATTTCCATGTCTCCTTTAATTATTTGACAACTCTACGATTTGATTAATTAATAAAGAATTCTAGATCTTAATTAACATAAATTCCAGTAGTATATTTTTCTAATATTTTGAGAGTGTATATGCTATGTTAATAAACTTTGATTTTTAGTTAATCAAGTGTATAAGCTCCTATGATATATCTAGTAACATCTTGACCTTAAATAAGTTTCCAAATATAATTGCCACCTGGATGTATCATTTATGATAAATCAACAACTTAATTTTTATATATACACCATAACTTTGATGATTTCTTTTCAAAACCTTCATCTTATTGACTATTATTTATATCCAATAATGGATTTTAACCATCATTATAAACTTTCTTAGAATTAGACTCTTTTCCAGTCATAACTACATTAATTAAACTACCCTTTTAATATAGAACTTCCAATATTAGACGAGTAGTTAAAACAGCTCCCAAGATCAACATTAATCTAATATCATTATCCATAAATAGTCCTGCTATTATTTATAATTTCCCTAATGTATATACAACACTGCCTAAAATAGCATGAATTGAAGGTTTTACTGATACCTTTTGATTAATCTTTAATGAAGTTAACATATAATTATAGAGAATTCCCCCTATACTTTATGCTATCATAAAGATTGCTACTATCATAAATATGATTATATGGAATTGATTTTTAACTGATTATTCTTTAAAATTACTCCATTCTAAAACACTCCAATCTGTACTTAACATCATCATAGCTGTTGTAATTGAACTTGTCACTATTAAGATAAATAAAAATCCATGTAAATATGTTCTATATCCCCAAGTCTTGTAATATCTTCCAATTATTATAGCAACATCACTAGCTATACCCCAACAAACAAAATTTGTCCATTTATGAATATAATATGTATTGTCTTCATCCACTATAATAACATCATTACTTCCACCATCATCAGTGAAATTTAATATTACTGATCCTCTATTCACATTCCCATGATTTGATACTGTAATATTAGCCTCAGTCTTACCATGAGCCCATATAAAATCAACTGCTTCTCCCTCTATTAAATCTTTATCATATTGATCACCTAGTTATTTAAAATCTATTTTAATACCTGTTTTTACTAATCTCTTGAATTTTACACCTGTTTTACCATTCTAATTATAATAGTAACCTAGAAGTTGCAAATCATCAGTTCCTCCTGATGAAATATCAGTTGGAGGTCTTCCATGTTTTACACAATAAGAATCATTTACAGTTATCACATTATCGTAAACTTCAAATACCCACAAATCTGCATCTGACATAGATTTTCCAAGTCCTAAAGAAAAATAACTTATCTTATCAATCTCTATGAACATTATCACTTCTTTCTTATCTTCACTAAACTCAAAGTAAAAATCAAAATGAGTATCTACAATTTATTAATAAACTCATTTACCGCTATCAGAAATCTTAGCATGAGTTCTTGGCTTTGTAATATCATTACTTGGATCATGATAATAAAATCTATTTTAACAGATTATCACTTCAATCAAGCCTAAAATGAGTAGGTTTATCATCTTTAATTAAAATATGTTAAAAATAAGGTCCATCTTTTTTAAATTATACTCGATGATGTAATTTATTACATTAATTTGAAATTGTATAATTTTATGTTATATAATAATTTATAATCATTATATATATTTAATTACAATCAAATTAATATCGTATTAAAACTTTAATTAATTAAATTTATGTCTTACTAAATGAATAAAGCTCAATCCAATAATAAATTTTATATCATTTCAAAGAAAAAAAAAATAAATATAAAATTCATACTAAAATTCAAACAAATTTTAGTGAATTAATTGATGTTATTATTCTCACAATACCATAAATGTAACAACAAGGAAATTCATAAGAATTGTTCAATCTATTGTTTTGATTAACTTTAGAGATTCAAGAATTTTATTATAATAGATAATTAAATTAGCATTATTTAATTATGCATGAATGATTATTGCAATTAGTCTTATAAATATCTTAATCTCTAAAGAAGATGAGAACTTTGAGAAATTCATATCATTTAAATAATAAAATATGATGGGAAAATGTTGTTTAATCAATATGAATTGAACAATAGATTTAATAATAATAATTTATCATAGACATTATCCACAACAAAAATCTAAATTGTCTAATATAATCTAAGAAATAATTCAAAGAGGAAAAAATTTCTTATAATTATAAAATTATTAGTGAATTAGTCATTATAAATTTTTAATAATAACTAGTTTAAGATTCTCCTATTAATTCCTTTAGTTTTGTTTTTGGAGGACCTATAAAAGATCAATTGCTATTAAACTAAATTCTGGAAATTAGTTATGTGATCATATATATAATATTTAATGTTCTAGTTAATTGATTTCATTCTATATAGTACTATTTAATAAAATATATATAGAAATCTTTTTGGGTAATATTTGTATGATGATAATTATAATGGTGAATCACACATGTTTTCAATTTCTAATATGTACATAGAATTAATATTAATCAAACAATATATATGATTATCATCTTGTATTAATATAATTTTATAATAAAATAGTTGATTATTTTTACATTATTAATCTATTAAATAGGAGTTTGAACAAATATAATGAATATTATTACAATAATAATAATTTGAATAGGAATTTGAGAGTATATAATTAAATGAAAGATCTGTTTATAGGATAAATTACTAAAAAATCTTTATAAAAATATATATTATGATATTTAATATTAATTTATCAATTATAATTATACTCTTAATTAAATGACTGACTATTTAAAAGCAGTAATTGAAACTTAATTAATTGGTGCATTTAGGGTAGCTGTAACATTACCACTAGAACATGTGTTAGATAGAATAAAAACATATAAATAATCTAGATAAGGGATTACTTATTTATAAGTATAAGATTAAATTTGTATTAAAGAGTTTTAAAGAAATAAAGGGAGCACGTGGATATATAGGTTTATATGATGGATTTTATCCAAATTTCTTAAGATCAATGTTCAAATAATATTATAGATGGCCAATGATGATTTTCATACCATAATTCCTGAAAAACTATATTCATGATTATTCTTTGAATAAGATTTTAACTGGAATTTCAATAGGGATATTTGAAAGTTGTATAATAACACCATTTGAAAGATTGAAAATACTAAAAATGACAAATATGGCAGTAGGATTTGGATATTTGAAATATATTACATTTGACTAAATTTATGTTGGTTTCAGAATATTAACAACAAGATAGATAGTTTCTTGGACAAACTATCTTTATTGGGATCATAAGATACGTTATGCATTGAAAACAGATGCAAGTTCAAGATTAAGTTTTTGGAATGTGATAGTAGCATCAACATTAACAAGTTTGTTGAATATAATGGCAGGTAATTATAATAATAATAATTAGTGCATCCATTTGATACAATCAAAACATTGGTGTAAATGGAAGCCAATTAAATTTATAGTAAAATATCAGTAACTGAAAGTTTTAAGTTAGTTTTTAAGAAATATGGGATATCTGGTTTGTATGCTGGTTGGTAAGCAAGAATTATTGGATACTTTTGTTAAGCAGCATTAACAACACCAACAATAGATTATTTGGAAAGAAATTATGGAATTGCAAAATAATGATTGATTATCTCATTGGGATGTAAATAATTACTCATCAAATATACTATTAATAGTCTTTATCTTGTTTGAGTGAATCAATCAAGAACTGATCATCAAAGAATTTCAAAATAGATACATCTTCATTCAAACCCTTTCTTCTACGAGTTTTTATCATAAATTCTCTTGCCAAATGATTTGAAGGTGCTGGTTCTAAAGGTTTAAGCACTATTGTTTTATCTAAAGGATCTCCTGGTAATAATGACCAATGATCAAAAACACTTAAACAGAATGCTTATCCTGATGTATGTACTCTAAGATCAGTTTCGAATCCAAAATGATCTATTGTTGGAATATGAGCTCTCACAACTGAAAAGGGTGTACCTGGTTTTGCTTATTCTGATAAAATATGTCCTCTTCTTCTCAAAAGTACATTATGGATAGCAGGAATACAATCTTGGAAACACATAATTTCTGTTAATAACATTGGTTCCATTATTTTTGGTGTTGCCATAAGAAATGATGAATAACACACTCTTCTTGTAGTTGGTATTATTTATCCACCTCCTCTATATATGGGTTCCTATATATAATAAAAATATAATTATTACATTAGCAATATTTGCTTCAATAATCTTGAATTTAACATTTCTAATAGGTTCATCACACAAAGGACCTTCTCTAGTTGCCCATTAAAAACCTTAAATCATATAATCTTTGACTTCATTTAATAATTATTTATTTGTTTCTGATGGTAAAGTATCATCTAGAAATACATTAGGTCCTGTTTTTTCAGGACCAAATGCCCATACAGATCTACTCTATATAATATCCCAATTAAAATTGGATTTAAAGTATTCACTTAATTTATTTTTTGGCCATGATAAATCTATTTCTTCATTTTCAATTCTCTCAGCTAATCCCTTATCTTAAGGATTCAAACCTTTATCTAATGGAGTTGCTAATGCTTTAATCTAATTAATATTATAATTAAATAAATACTCTATTCTTTTTATTAGGAGTATCTGCATAACATGTTTTTGATGATGTTTCAATAACAGTTTCACAAAAACGAACAGATGGATCAGATACTTTTATTTCTATTTCTGAATACATTTTTCTTAAATCATGCATAACACAATCTAAATATAATTCTCCTGTTCCTAATAAAATATGTTCTCCTGATTCTTCAACTTTAGTTGTCAAAATAGGATAACTCTTTGTAACTTTACGTAAACCTTCCAACATTTTAGGTAATTCACTTGGAACTAATGGTTCAATTGCTATTTTCATAGTTGCTAAAATATTATGTTATATAGGTCTCAAAATGTCCATTTATTAAGAATCTTCAATAATTGTAGCACTTTTGCTTATAAATTAATCAATTCCTTCAATTAAAACCCAATTTCCTGCTGGTACTTTATTCACTTCTACTCTATATCTACCTTAATATATCCAAATATTTTTAATATTCCTTATTGCCATATCCTCTTCATCATCTATATTATATTTTTCACCTAATAATTTAACATTCTATCCTTTTTTAATAGTTCCACTTATAACTCTTCCTAAAGCATCAAAACTCATACAATCTGGTCTACTGTACAATTTCACAACATTTATACATAATGGTCCCTTATGTGAACCTTGAGAAGCTTAAATATATGATTATTTTGATTTATCACCTTAATAATATAATTCCATTTTCTTTTTACTACCTTCCTATGAATTAGGTACTTATTCAACTAGTACATCAACTAAAGAAGATGTATTACCAAAATAAATAGAACAAACTAATTTCAATAATGGTCTAGTATCCATTTTGAATTCACTTTTTTTGAGAGATATACCTTGACTTAATAAGAATGGTTCCAATTATTCCTTATCTTTAGAGACCACTTACCCAAATAATTTATATATGGGTTCTAGTATAAATTCGACGAATGTCCTTTATGTAGCATATGGAGACATTTTACGAACAAATTTTTTCTCTTTATTATCATAATAGATATCTCCCCATAGAAGACGAGTGAATTGTTCAGGTTTTAAGAAATTATTATATCTCCTAGCAAAACTCTAAATAGTAAAAACAAATTAAAATAAACCTGAACCAAATATCACATTATGATTAAGAGGTGAAATGATTTAATTACCTCCATTATCTGATATTATGATGTTGACTTCATCAAGTATATTTTTGATCTTCAAATATGCATCTGAAGGTGGCAACTTTAACTCAATAATAAGTCTATCTATTTTGTTAATCAAAACTACTATAGGCATCTTTTCTTTTACGGCTGCCTTAATAAGCATTTCAGTAGTCATCATTACTCCTTCAACTACATCAATAGTAAGTAACATGGCATCACTAGCTCTTAAAGCACAACACACTTCATCCATAAAGTTTACATGTCCAGGAGTATCGTATAGATTTACTAAATATGATTTATCTTTGCTATTGGGCAATAATAAACTCATAGGAATTGCTTTGATTGAGATCAATCTCTATTATTCATCTTGACGAGTATCAGTATAACGGATATCTTTCTACAAACTAAATTGTTTAAGATGAGTTTGTTTAACAAAAACGTCCATCAATGATGTCTTACCATGATGCAGACCGCCTACAATTGCAACATTTCTTACCAAAGCAGGATTCTTAGAAATACGACATAGAAACTCATAGTCGAAAGTAGTTTGAGGTATCTATGTCTCTTAGATATCAAATTCCTTTGATTTTAATGGAGCAATCATTGGCTAAGTTATTGGTTAAGCATCCTCTTCTTATACATTGATTTCAACATCTCGACCATATACTTGTTATGCATCTGGATAATATTGTTTGTCTTCATTAAGAATTACTGCAACTTATTGATTAGGTATATACACTCTCTTCAAAGATAGAAGCATTTTATTACATTTGCTATTACATGTTCTTGGTCATTTTCAGCTATCTATTCTTCTTCAATCTACACATTATCTTCTTCATCTGAATCTATTTCTGGTCCTATGTAATTTCCAAACTCATCGTAATTATTCATGTCGTCCATAATTAATATATAATATTAAATTAAATGCATAAATTATTTTGATATTGTACTATATAGATATCCATGCAAATCAGAACAAAACAAATTGCTTTCTAACATTACCAATGATTTCATTTGGAATTACTTTCAAAACATTGAATCTTACAGTCTTTGACAATGGTCTTAATATTAAATCATTAATACCTGCATTATCCACAAACAACAATATCTCCTTCTTTAACAGGACCAAATGCTGGAGAAATGTGTACTGGTACATTTCTATGTCTCTTTTCATATCTATTATATTTGGCAACATAGTGTAAATAATCTCTTCTAATGATAATGGTTCTTGTCATCTTTGTAGAAATCACAATTCCTCTATAATTTATTCATTTTCAATTGTACTTTAATATTGCTCCTCTAACACTAACATTTCCTGTGAATGGACATTTCTTATCAATGAAATTTCCCTCAATTGCCTCCTTTGGTACTTTGAATCCCAAACCAACTTCTTTCCAATATCTAACACCTTTGGAAGTCTTCTTAGCTAAGAGTTTCTTGGAGTTTTAGAAAATGCCTTCTTATTTTTAGAATGCTCTTTATGATTGAACGTCTGCCATAATATATTTTTTTTAATTAAAAGATATAAATTTTTTATTCTTTAATCCTCAAATTAGAATCAATATTATCCAAATAATCATTCCCTTCAATACTCTCTCTAATTCATTTATTTTTTTTCAACTCAATTTATACTTAAATAAATTATGCAAAATCAAATTATGCTCCTACAATTAAAAAGATAATTAGAAGACACAATCAAAACTTAGCAATTATTAAAGAAATTGCCAACCTAAAAATTGATACCATTTAATTCAGTCATGTATCTAGATGCAAAAATACCAAAATAAGATAAATGCATAATCTCTTTAGAAGCAGACTATGCAGCTGAAGTGTCTTTAGAATCTGCTCATTAAATATTGTAAAGAAGAAGAATTAGATTGGAAGAAAATTTTATTAAGTTGAGGGAGAAGGAATCATATGAAGAAATGTAACATGATTTAGGACATAAAATAGATGAGAATAAGGATTAAAGTAAAGGTGAGGATGTGAATGAAAATTGTGATTAAAGAAAGCCTAAATCATAGGATTTGATTGAAAAATTAAAAGAAGATGAAAAACTTTAATTAAAGTAGAAACAAGAAAAGCAAAGGTTAGAAAAAGAAAAATTAGAAAAAGAGAAATAAAAATAAAATTAATCTATTGGGTAAGTGACTTAATTAGCTGATGGTTTATTTGAAATAGAAGAAAAATATATTTAAGAAGAAGACAATAATAAAGATTAAATAAATGAAGAAAAATAATAACTTCTAAAATTAATTTCTGAAGCCTTTTATAAAGAAAAATTTGATGATTATGATAAATATTCACTTTAATTGAAAGAATTGAATGAGAAATTAAATTAAATGAAACCTAAAAAAGAGATTTAATAATAAAAAGAAACAAATTCAGTTAAATAATAATTACCTACAATTCAAGAGAATGAAACTAATGATGAATATTAATAAGAAGAATAACCTAAAAGAATTTCAAAGTTTAAATAAGAAAGACTTAAACAAAAAAAATGATATATATTTTATTGTAATTAATTTTAATTATGGATTTATAAGCAATAAATTCCAATTATAAGAATTTCCTTGAAGAAATTGGTTCATATTATAGTGTTGTTGATGATTAAGAAGTTCAAATATTAAGGAAAAAGCAAGATGATTGTTATCAAAATTTCTTGGATGTTCATTATGAATATACAAAGTGTAATAATATTATTATAATTTAAGGTATTTCATAAATAGATGACAAATATTCTAGTCTAAATAAAACTTTTAAATTTAAAACAGAAAAAGCTGCCAAATCTTACAAATCTTGTTTATAAAACAAAAAAGTTGAAGATTGTCATGAAAGAACATGGAAGCATTTACATGAAAATATGAAGCAATACATATCATTATTAAGAAGAATTGATACCTAAACTATTAAATATTGAATAATAATATATAATAATAAAATACTTTAAAATGTAAAACTTAGATTCAACAAAAGAATTGACCTATGAATAATAACATGAATTATATAATTAGCAAATTGCTGATAATAAATAAATTTCAAGTGCAATGGCTTATTTATTAATGGATTTATGTGAAGAAGGTGACAATGATGCTAATAATATTTAAGAACTAGAATCTTTTAATAGTCCAAAAGTCCCATCAATTTCTATTTATGACTATATCTGTAGAATATTAAAATAAGCTTAATGTTCTTAAGAATGTTTAATAATGGGCTTAATATTAATTGATAAATTATCTCAAAAATGGGGAAGAATTATAGTAAAATCAATTAATGTTCATAGGTAAATTTATATTTATTTTTATTAGATTATATGTAGTATCGGTAATGTTATCTGCTAAATTTTATGATGATAGATTCTTTTAAAATTCATATTATGCTAAAGTAGCTGGTATATCACATGAAGAATTTAATCATTTAGAAAGAGTCTTGGTTTTCTTATTAGATTTTAAATTAATTATAGATCCATTACTCTTTTTTACATATCGTTAAAGAATTATAACCAATTATTTTGATAATCCAGAATGACCTTTTAAATTTAAATAATGTGTATTATTCTTAATTTATAAAGTAATCATACCTATAATTAAATGCAATCTATTAATAATGTAAATTATCAAATAAATATTGAGATAAATAATATTATATAAGTAAATGATTGATTCATTATCTTATAAATATATATATTCTATTCTTATAATACATTTATTTATTGAGATATTATTATTTTAAATTTCAATTTTAAAAGATGAAATATAAGTTGTCATCGATTTGAATTAATAGCTATAAATTAATACATTTATGTTTTATTAATTATTATGGGGAATAATCTTTGTTATTAAACAGGAGAAAGATCATCTTAATTTCCTTAATTACTTCTTAAATATGAAGTAGGGAACTGTGAAATTGCATTGACTGCAGGTCCTGTAGAGAATGAGGATGTAGAATGCTTAGTAATTCCAACAGATTAAGAATACTCAAATATTAAATAAAGTGATAAACCAACATTTGCATAATTAAATGGAAAGTGTGTATTTGTTGCAGCTAGAAAGAGTATGATTAAATATCAAATATTTTAAGAACAGAAAAATTAGATTTTGGCTGTTGTTATTGATAAGGAAACAGTATTAAATAGTGATAAAAGTGATGATGAAAAATAAACAATTTATGAAGCAGTTTAAGAGGCCTTAAAAATAGTATATTATTATATATAATACTTTAAAAGGCAGAATAAAAGCAAATGAAATCTATAGGATTTCCAGTTTTTACATCAAAAGATCACACAACATCAGCAACAATAATGTTGATGGCCATAAAGCTTAGTGTGACTGAGTAAAAAATAAAATCATTAAAAAGAATAGTAATTACATTAGATGTATTTATATTATAAATTGAAAGCATATTGAATAGGTGAGTAGCTTTAAATGGGTGTTTTAATAAGTATTTAAAGGAAACTAACAAGTTGCACATTCTAGAACTTATTCAAGTTCAATAATGGAATAAATGGAATCAATTTAAGCTGATATTATTAAACCTAAATAAAAAAGTGCTACAAAAGAAGAAAAAGTATGAGACAATCTTTCATTCATAAGTAACAAATTGATTTATATTATTTTACATTAAATTCATTAACATTTACTTTTTTAATTGATTTCTTAGACTCTAAAGATAATATATATATAAACTATACATATTAGACAATTAAAGTATTTACAATTCTAGATATATAAGTATCATTTTATAATTAATAAAAATATTTTCTTAATTATCTAATTGCTATTATAAATTATGACATTTAACAGACTGAAATGATTTGAAAATCTAGTTTAAAATGTTAATTTTGATAATAAGGTGAAATAATTTATATAAAATCTCATTTATAGAATTTTAAGATCTATATGTATTTAGAACACTTTTTTGATTAGTATTTATATTATTTGTTTACATAATGGCAGAATTTTAATAAAATTATTCAATAGAAATAGAATATGTAAATCAAATTAATTGTTATTAATGTTAGATACAAATTTTATATTGAATTTAGTTAAATTTTAAGGATTTGAAATTTAATTGTAAGATAGGATTTACCTAATTAGTAAGTAACTTATGAATAGTATATTAGAAATTAGAATTTAGTTAAGTATTGAAGAATTAACACTATATTATAAATGACATTAAATAGTCGTTTTTAATTAATATATTATATAAATGAAATATTTAGTGCTCTTTGCTTTAGTACTTTTGACAATCGCAGTAAATGACAATCAGACAAAGTATTTGTTAAATAAATAAAAAGACAAAAATCAATTGAAGAACAACATCCTTCTCTTTTTAGAGCATTAAAAAATATGGCATTATTATAAGAGTAATCATAATAATTAGATTACTCTCGTTTGATTAATGCCATTAATGATCTTGAATCTGAAATCACATAAAATAAGGAGGATGAAAATACATCATTCAATAAAGACTTTTTGTCCAACAATGCAGATTAAGAGTTTTATGAAAATCAAATAACTTAATATTAAGTAGAAGTAGCACAACATGAAGTTGATTTAGCTGATCTTACAGAAGCTAGAAATACATTATAATCATTATTAAATGATGCTATTAAAGAACAATAAGATGTAACACTTTTAAGAAATTAATTGGATCAATAAATGAAGACTGATGCTGCTAATACTGCTGCCTAATTATAAGAATATGATGATTCTGCTGCTGCAATTGATGAAGCTCTTAATATGTTGACTTCTTTAAAGAATGCTGATAGTTTAGTATAAGTAAATGACAAATTGAAAACTCATTTGAGTAAATAAAAGGTATTCTTCCAACCATTAATTGTTGCACTTGCTGAAATTGCTTAATCTAAGTAAAAAGAATTACATTACATTATAGTTTTGCAAATCAAGAATTAATCAGCAAAGTTACTAAACTTTTAAATGAATTAAGAACTTCACTCTTAGAAAGCAGATTACAATTAGTTGTATCATCTTAAGGATTGGAAACAATGAATAAAGAATTGTTGGCTACTTATGATTCAAAATTAAATGTATTATCTACTGTAGTCTTACCAGATTTTAGAGAGAATATTGAAATTAAGGATGGTATGTGAAATTATTTAATAAATTTAGCTGAAATTAAAGCAAAATCAAATTTACTTAATGATGCTAGATCTAATTTGTAAGATTCTTAAGATAATTTGAAAGCCACTTAGGATGCATGGATTGTTAGAGCTAATTTGAATTCTAAATTAGTATAATAATATGATAATGATCTATCACTTATTTAATAAGTCAAATAAAGTTTTGATAGAGCAGGTATCAAATAATGATTGAATAACAATAATAATTATAAAATATACATTATTCATGTTATTTATATATTAATTAGATAATGATATATCTTTTCAATTATAAATATAGAAATATGATAAATTTTATTGTTATATATATATATTTTATATTAATAAATGCACATCAAATCTTAACCTTTTTTCTTTGTCTCTAAACCATATCAAGTATATTATATTATTAAATTAGAGTCCAGATTGCTATCCAATTAGGTTGGATAGTAGGGGTTCTTAGGTGGATATACTAAAAGTGTTTTATTTAGAATAATTGGTAAGTGATTTAAGAAAAGATAATTAATAGTTATTTGATTAAATGGAAGATATGAGAATTAAAAACTTTAATAAGGAACATGAATATATAAATCAATTAAAAGATTTATAAGAATAACTCTTAAATATTTAAGCACTGAATAAAAATTATGAATATTAGATCTAATTATTACAATCTAAAAAATCTTATGTAGAATTAAATCATAGATTTTTAGATTAATAATTAACAAATAGTACAGGTAAAAATATATATAATATATATTTATTAGATTTATTCAATTCTAAATTTCAATCTGAAAGTGGAGAATCAAATTAATAAATTAAAAGTCTCAATAATATTTTGGAACAAAAAAATATTATAATCAAAGAATATGATGATATGAAAAATAAATTGAAATTAACATAATTTGAGTAATCCACTAAAATTGAATAATTGAATAATGAAATTCATAATCTAAACAAATAGATTACTAAATTAGAACTTTAATTAATTAATTAATAAAAATAAGTTACTCTATATTAAAATGAAACTCAATAATGGAGAGGTAAATTTTTATAATTAAATAAAACTTATAATAATAAAAGTTCAGAGTAATTAGTATTAACAAGTGTTGTTGAATTAGATACTACATAAAAAGAAGTATAAAAAATAAATGAATTACGTAATAAGAGAAGAAGTGTTGGAAGTATTATTTGATACTGGTTATATTATATTTATATTTTTCATTATTATAATTATAATGGATATTAAATTATAAGTGGATAATCTTATTAAACCAATTAAAGAAATACTTTAGAATATTGATCAAGTTAAAAGTTAAATCATATTATCACATACTCAATAATTTGCCTTATCTATAATTGAATTTATATATTTAGGAAATTGTTGTCCTTGCACTTTAACGCCTGTTGAATATAAAACCATAATTATTTAATATGTTTAACAATTAAGAAAGTATTATTAGAACATTAAAGAATCAACAGCATGTTAAGTATATCAGTTAAATATTTAGAGATTGTAAACAAACTAATAAAACAGCGATAAGATCATGGAGATCGTGAACTAGAAGGATTTATGAATTCAGATGAAGAAGAAACAAATTTAGTTAAATAAATAACATTTTAATAAAATACTTAAGATTATTCTAACGATGCAGATTTGGAAAAACATAAATTAGTATTATAATAGAAGGATTATGAAATCTCTAATCTTAAAGCAAAATTATAAGTAAAAGAATAGAAACTCTTGGATTTAGCAAGTGGTTATTTGAAAGATTTATAAAATATGAGAGAATAAATGTATAAGAAATCTGATGATTTTGATTATTATGAAGTTTCTTATTGTGATGTTACTGATATTGAAGATCCTCGTTATAGAGATTTAGTTAATAATAAAATAGCTAATTTAAAGAGTCAATATGAAAAGAAAACAAGGGAAATGTAAAATTACATTTTATACTTAGATATGTATTTGTATAAAAACAAAAAAGTGAAATTTAGAATTTAAGATAATAAGTAGGAAATTATGAATAAAAAATAAAGATGATGGATAATGTAGAGTATTTAATGAATCGTGTATTTACATTAGAATAAGATCCTTATAGAATATGGAAATATATTTAAGATATAAAAGGAAATGAATATTTTCATGATGTTTTTGAAAAATAGAAACCAGCATCAGGAATTAAATATAGAGAAGTGAATAAATTATTAATGGTAACTAAAGCTTACGATAGAGAATTAGAATATTTTAAAAAAGGAATAGAAGATTAAATGTATGTATATTTGGAAAGGGCTTGTGGAATTATTAATCTATAAAATTAAGATTTATTAGATGAAATAGAAGAATTAAAAAAGGAAATTAATAGAATTAAATAATTTGAAAATAGAATCAATTAATAAACTATGCGTTCATTTGATTAATTTAAAAAATAATGTAATTTATAATATAAAATAAATAATAGTAAAATAACATTAAGAGGAATATTTGGATATAAAATCAAAAGAATTATAATAATTACAGAAGATTTAACTAAAATATGCTACTAAACTATGGTATTTCGTGAGTTAAATTAAGAAAGGCAAAGATATAAAAGAATTGATATTATATGCATAGTAAAGCAAAAAGTTAATAATATAGTTAGAATGACTACGAAAAATTGACATCATAACAATTCTTAGAGTTAGAAAATAATTATCTTTAAAGTATGATTACAACTAAAATAAAGTAAGAAGAGATCGTTGAATTAAATAATAAATTAGAATATATGTAATTATAAAATGATGAATTAAAGAGTTAAAATTCTTAAATGAAATTGACTATTTAAGATTATAAAGCTAAAATTAAAAATCATTAGAAATGTTTATAATAAACAATTAAACATATTGATGCTAAGATAAATCCTGAATAACTTAATTTAGAAGATAATAATAGAGAAACAACCCTTAGTTTTAAAGATAAACTTAAATAACTTAGATAATAACAGAATGGTTTAAAATTTATATAAGAAGTATATTAATAATATGAAAAAAATAATATGGCATTAGAATTTTTAAGTACATAATATGAAAATAAATCAACATAAACTATGATTGGAAATGTTAGTAAAAGTTTAGCAGAAGCAATTGAAATACATGAATTACATAAAAATAGTGAAGAAATTAATGATGATTTTGTTAATATGTAATATAAATAGAAAGATATAGAATGTTAAACTGATTTAATTAATATTGATGATTTATTGAAGTAAAATGTAAATTTAAAATAATAAATTAAACATTTATCATAAGATATAGATGATATGGAAGGTGAAGGAGTAATATAATAACATTTTTAACTTATTAATTAAAGAAATTAATCTTTTGATGTTAATTCATCTTAAAAAAGTTCAAATCTTAAAAGAAGATATGTTTAAGTTAATGAATCTAAAGATTCATATTCAAATTATTAAGATGATCTTAGAGCATCAAATGATAAAAGTAATGGTTATCAATTAGGTTAGACTAATTAATTAATTATATTACATCCATAATCATCTGTTGAAAAAATTGCATAAACATAAACATTTTATACATCAAAACTTTAATAAAGAGGAGTATTTAATAGATTATTTGAGGATAGTAAAAAGAAATGTGAGAGAATACAATAAATAAAAAATAATTTAGAATAATTAGAAAAAGAACATTGGCAATAAGTAGCAGAATTAGTAAAAGAAGATTTAGAAATTGTAAATGCATTTAAAGATAGTCTTTCATCAAGTAAACATTTTTATTAGAAATAATTAAAAAGAAATATAGAAATGGAATAAAAATATTTTCCATAAAAACATAATAGAGCATAATTTTATTTTAAAAAATTTAAAGATTTTCATGTACATCAATAAGAATTAAATGAAATATTATTTGATCCTAATTCTAGTGATGAAAAAACTTAAGAAATTTAAAGATTGAATATCAAAAGTGTTGTAGATAATAGAAAATTAAATGGATAAATTAAATTTAATGGATTAAAAAGAGAAGAATATTAATTTTTTAAATAACTTGAAAAGAGAAAATTATAAAGTAGAACTTTTAGAAGTACTTAATAATCTCCAAAATAGAAGAAGATTCAATATGTCTCATTTGCTAAACCATTTATTGGAAGTTTAACTAGCTATGAAATGAACGATTTCAATAACTAATAAATCACTAAACACTTGTAAAAAGTTTACGATTTGGGCTGACTCTAACCCTTCTACATTATTATCTCACTAATGAATTTATTGAAAATTTTTCAAATCCCAATTTATTATGATTTGGAATGTCCATTGATTTCATCTAATCTATTTCCTTCTTCTATTCTACAGGTTCCGTTGGGTATCTATTTTTTACTAATGCTCTAATTAAATAAGGAGATGTTTTTTGTTATTCTTATATCTTAGGTAGATGTCTTGAAAATGAATTTTTTATTTATGGTTGATGTATAACTTATTGCATAGCTACTTCTAATTCATGCTATTTTTTTAAAACATAATTAGCAAAGCTAGTTTCCTCACTTGTATGTTTTATTATCTTAACATAAGATGAAGTATCTAAAGAATGTCTAATATTTTCTTTCATAGGTCTAAATGGCTTCTTTAAAAGAGGCAATGAATATTATTACATTTATTTATTTTATGTAAGAATAACAAATTTAAGAAGGACTTAAGGAAAAGAAACCTAAATTAACAAGAGATGAAAAGAAGGTTTTAAAATATTAACGAGCAAAATTGAGAGCCAAGATACTCAGAAAAAAGATTGCAAAAAAAGTCAAATAAAAAGTTCATCATATGAATTAGGAAGCTAAAGAAAAATATTCTGAAATTAAAAATCTAGCTAAAAATAATTTGTAACTTGGATATGAGTCAGGTATTCCAATCTATATAGATTTGGAATATGATGTTTTAATGACAGACAGAGAAATTAGATCCTTAGCATTACAAATTGCACATGTATAAGGAATCAATAAAGAATTATAATTTCCCATTTAATTACATCTCACAAATGTTAGAGGAGTATAGAAAAATGAATTAGAAAAACAAGGACTCTCAAAATGGCCTGTTCATCATTATGAATTAGGATTATAAGAGTTAATTTAAGAAAGTCTAGAAAAAGGAATTTCAAAAGAATTCATATATCTTTCTCCAGATGCAGATACATATTTAGAATCAGTTGATCCAGAAAAATGTATATATATAGTTGGTGGATTTGTTGATAGATAAGTTTAAAAATATATGAGTTTGAACAAAGCAAACGCCTTATAAATTTGTAGTAAGAAATTACCAATTGAATCATTTATAAAAGGAACTAGAAGACCATTAAATATTGATAGAGTTGTTGCAATCTTAAGCTTGTTTTATCAACATAAAGATTGGTAAGTTGCTTATGAATAAAGCGACAATTTTAATATAAGTTTAGCAGAGAGAATTTCTAGATAACATCAAAAACAAGAATGAATGTAAATTAAAACAAATATATTTTATTAAACTTATTTTTTCTAACAAAAATTTATTTATAAAATAAGAATAATATATCAAATAATAAATATAAATTTAATCCATATTATATATAAATTGAAAAACTGTTAAACTATGATCATTTGTATTTAATTATTAAAGAATTTTCATACATTAAAGCTGTTGTTATATAGCCTTCTATAATAATTAAATGAATAGAGTTGGATAAATAAGGTTTCAAAAATCTGACGATTGGCTAATTAGAAAAATAAGTCCTCTTATTGATTCGATTAATCAATAGAATTAATAGATATCTAATAAAGGATTATAATAATTTTTATTATTGGAATCAGATTCTAAAGTTTTGTTAGATGAATTAAAATAGTAAATAGTTATACTAAATATAAGGATATTATAATTAAAACTTAAAAATCCATATAAAACAATTTTCTATTCATTATTGAAATGGAAAATTCTAAAATTCTATGGTATGTAAACATTTACAGAATTATTAACCATATGCATTTTGAAAATTCTGAATAAATCTACTCTTTCTATAATTAATTTTAAGAATGATTCTAATTCAATTAAATAAGTTGTATTTTGGATAATGTGTTTAGTTTCATTTTAAATATTAAAGTATCATTAATATTAAATAGATAGGACTTATTAAAAATCAAAACTTGATTAACATGCAAATTTATTAAATATGAGAATGAAAACTATTATTGAATATTTAATTTATGAAAAATCTCTTAAAGTTAAATGTATTACTAAAATAGAAGGTGATACTCATACTGCAAATATATATGTATTTATTGTTATCTAATTATTAAGACATTATTAACTGCTGATGTTGAATTATTAATAAAAATAATATCAGTAATTAAAGATATTTGGTAGGCAATCCTTATTTTAAGTGGATGTTTATATTTATTATATTCAACTGAACCAGAAGCTGGATCAATAATAGTTATTGCTATGATTAGTTATTAAGTAATAAACTTTATTTTAACTTTTATAATGACAAAGGCAGAGGCACAACATTTAATTTATAAAGATAAAAGAGTTAGTTTATAATCTGATATAATTGAAGGAATGAAATAGATTAAATTCTTATCTTGGGAAAGAATATTTTATGAGAAAATTATGAAATTAAGAAAAAGTGAATTTTAGATGTTAACTATTTATAAAGCTTTAGATGGTTTTGGAGCTGTATTTTGGAATAATATAAGCTACATTCTCTTATGTATTTTTGTAATAAGTTCAATCAATAATGGTAAAAATTTAAAAGAGTTGAATATCTTCTCATTAATTGCCATATTCAATACTATGATATTTCCTCTATGTATTCTCCCTTGGAGTTTAAGTGTTGGATATATGTCATTAATTTCATTTAATAGATTTATATAATTTTTAGATCAAGAAGAGATTAATTCTGATGATATTATACAAATAGAAGAATCTCAAAGTCAGTATGCTATTATAATAAATAATTCAAATTATTTTTGGCCTATTTCAGAATAAGAATCATAAGATTTAAAATAAAATTAAATAATAAATGAAAAATTAATAAATGCTCATCAAAATTGTTAAAAATTTACAATAAAAATGAATAATCTAAAATTTGAAAAGAATACCTTAAATTTTATAATTGGAAAAATAGGTTCAGGTAAAAGTGCATTTATTAATGCAATACTAAATGAATTAAAAAGTTAAAATTTGTTTATTGATAATTTAGATACACAATAGAATTTAGACTTAAGTTTTGATCTAGGATAGAATTAATAAATATAAATTTCAGGTAGAATTGGGTATTGCTCATAAACATCTTGGATTTAAAATTTATCAATTAAAGATAACATATTATTTGGTGAACCTTTTAATTAAGAATTATATAATAAAATTATAGATATTTGCTAATTATAGCAAGATCTAAGTCATTTCGAATAGCATGATTAATATTTGATAGGCCCAGATGGAAAGAATATTAGTGGAGGATAAAAATAAAGGATTGCATTAGCAAGAGCATTATATTAATAAAAAGATATTTATTTATTTGATGACATTTTATCATCCCTTGATCAAAATATTGCAGATTTGATATTTTAAAATGTTATTGTAGATTACTTAATAAATAATGGAAAGACTGTATTACTTATTACTTCAAATTATAAATATATTAATATTGCTTAATAATTAATAAAAACTAATACTGTTCTTATTGATAATGGAGAAATTATTGGTAATAAAGAAATAATTAGTTAGTATTTAAAAAGCAAATCTTAAAAATAAGATTATCATTCTTATATTGAAAAAGAATTAGACTAAATATTAAATTAAGAAAATTAACTATAAAATTCATTTAAGGGAAAAGAAAATGAAGAAGTTATATTAGATGATAATAATGAAGATATAGGATAAATAAGAGCTATTAATTGGGGAACATGGAGAAAATATTTCAATAGTATGAATTTCAGATTATTTCTCATTTGGTTTTTTATCAATTTTTATATGTAAGGATCTATGTCATTAATTGATTTTTGGTTAAAATCTGAATTATAATCAGAAGATTAATGGCTACATAAAATAACAAAATATTTTGACAATTCTTTTTCTAAGACCCTATTCTATTTAACCATCATAGCTCTTATGATTACTGTGATAAGATAAACATTATATGTTATTTGTGCATTACTAGCTTCTTGGTCTATATTTAAAAAGTAAAATTAAATATTATATATTTAGACTTAATAATGTTTTAATGTTTACAGTAATGAGATTCTATGATAGAACAAATGCAGGTTAAATAATAAATAGGATTTCGGATGACACATATATTATTGATATGGATATTAATTCTGGAATTCACTGTTTTCTTGAAAATCTCAGTAGAATATCAGGTCTATCTATTGGATTATTAATTTTAGAACCTAGATATTTTTTAATACTTATTATTTTCTTACTTGCATTTTATCATATTAAAAAAGCATCTATATAATCAAATAGAGAAATTAAAAGATTATAATCTGAAAATTTAAGTAAATTATTATAAATTGTTAATGAAACATTAACTGGAATCAAAATAATTAGATCATTCTAAAAAGAAGAATATTTCAAATAAACTTTTGAAAATTCCATTTCAAATTTAATTTTAAGTATTTAATGTGGAGAACGAATAAAATTATGGTTTTAAGTCAGATTAAATTTAATGAATAATTTTATTGTAATGTTCATATCTTTTATGGTTATATGTTCATTAATATTTTAATGGTCAGAAGATTTTGCAATACATGCATTAGCTATTACATATTCTATGATTGTATTAGATAGTTTTTATGATACTTTTATATAATATTCAAGAGTTGAAACTGATATGATTTCTGTAGAAAGAATATAAGAATACTTAAATAATGAGACTGAAGATATAAACTATGAGAAATCTATTGATAAAGAATTTTAAACAATTCTCTTAAATGGAAGATAAAATGCAATAGAATTTAAAAATATCAACTTTTCTTATGATAACAATAAATTAGCACTAAAGAATTTTTCTTTGAAAATTGCTAAAGGTTAAAAAATTGCAATAATTGGAAGAACTGGATCAGGTAAAACATCTATTCTAAATGTCCTTTAAGGATTATATCATTTTTAATAAGGAGATCTTTTGATTAACGGAATTAATGTATGATTACAAAAATATTATTAGGTAAATTAATTATCATTAAAAAATTGGAGAAGTCAATTATCTATTATACCCTAATTTGGATTTCTTTTCAGTGCTAATGTTAAAGAAAATTTAGATCCAGAAGGAAGGTTTACAGATCAATAAATTGAAAAATTCATCTAAAATACCTAATTTTATTAAGAAAGAAATAATAACATTAATAGTCTTAATTATTTGGATACTAAATTCAATATTTCTTAAAATGGAGCTAATCTATCTTGTGGTGAAAAATAAGTTCTTAATTTTTTGAGAATAGTATTATTGAATAAAGATATTGTTTGTTTAGATGAAGCCACATCTAATATGGATCCATACACTAATCAAGTATTATATTTATAATATATAAAGTTGTTAAATGAAAATTTAATTGAGTTTACAAAAGATAAGACTTTACTTGTTATAACTCATAGACTTGAAAATATATAATAATATGATTAAATTGTAGTAATGGAAGAAGGAGAAATAATAGAATAAGGAAATTATTAAGAATTGATTTTATCAAAAAAAGGATACTTTAGAAAATTGATAAATATTCATACTACAACAGTAAACAAAATTGGAATTTGATTTTTATATATTATTTTTTCCTTATTCATTTTTTTAATTCTAAGAAATATAGACTATTAAAATTAATATTAGTGTTAATTTTATTGGAAATTGATCATTTAATATAAATTATATAATTATAGAATAAAATTTAACATCATTTTTCCGTCTTGGATATATATGGTTTTTCTGAATGAAGTAGAGGAGCTCCAATATCTGGAATTGGAATTTAATCCTTACAATTTAATGAAACTTTAGTGTCTCTCAGACTACTATGTTATTCATATTTTTCCATCTATGTTATTATGAATTACACTGTTCCTTTCATAACATCAATAGGTCTCTTAGAATTATGTGTTCCTTCAAATTATATTAATTCCTTTATTCCTCTAAACTTTTCTGATAAAATTTTAGGGTGCTTTTCTCCAATTAATGTATCACCTTTAGCTGATAGAAATACTATAGCAACATCAGTTTGTAATGCTATAAATATAATTCTATTTTATACTTTGTATTATTTGAATGATATTAAGATCATCAATATTAAATTTAGCTTCTTTTCTTATTTTAGATTTCACGAAACACCAAAAACAATTGAAACAACATCCGGGAATGTTATAATTGTTGGATGCTAATTCTTAACACAAATTAGTTAAATTTGAAAAAGGACTATCACAAACAAGCATTTTAAAGTTAGAATTCAAACTGGCTGCTAATATGGCTGTTACAGAACCCATAGATCTACCCCACAAACCGATTTAAGTTATAAAAGGCTAAGCAACTTTTAATAATGAAGTTAACTTACTTTATTTAAACGTAGGTAATTGTAGAGATCGTTTACATCTCTTGATTCATAAAATCCTAATGAAATATACTCTCCTTATGATTAACCAGAACCTATGTTTAATCAATTAATTACCAGATAAATCAATTCCACATACTGATATGTTCTAAGGAAGTAAATATTCAAGTATTGTTAGAGATTCAACTCTGCTACTTGAGTTCCCATGCAAATAAATCATGCAGGTATGAGGCTTATCTTAAATTCTAACAGGCTCAAATAAACTAACCATTTTTATACAGGTTACCTGCACTGAAGTGTTAATCCACGACTGTTTGCCATTTCGAAGTCTACTCTCTTAACTACAGTGTCATGAACCATAAATATTTCATTTCCCATATCTTTCAAACGATAATTATGTCTCGGAGGTCTAACAATAGGCTTCCATAACTTCTCTGTGCACCTATACTCAGGTTATTTCATATTTTAATATTTACTATCAATAATATATAGTATAGAGGTTTTAAACAAAAAAATATCATATAGAGTTAAGGTCCATGAATAACTGGAATTTTACTAATTCTTAAACTATTTGAATTATAAGTCTATAGCTCTCTTTCTAGAAATCTTCCAATTTCATTATCTTAAAACTTATTCTTTAGACTAAATTTTATAATTTTTCAGCATCATTAGTACTTTAATCTCTAATTACAATTCAATTTGAGATAGAATTTTAGTTCCTTTATATTAACTTGAAATTAGCGTTTATGATGTTTTGAAGAAATATCTCCATTTATTATCTAAAATTTAATCTTATACATCTGTGTAATTCAAATCTTAACTTTCTGAATCTTTAATCAAAACAAACCTAACAAATTATGTTAATGATATGTTTCCATTATTCCTATTATTTCTTGAAAATACAGAATATCCACTACAATAGATTCATAATTAAATATCCATCAAAGCTAAATAAGGAATTTATTCTGCTAAATCACTATTTGAGTAAATTAAAAGTAAAAGATATTCTAAAAATATCATTATTTTCTTATAAAAATTGTCCTTAATTTTCTAAATCATTTTTATAATCATAATCTAACATGTAATTAATAGTTTACTCTAATAAAGATGTGTCTTATTTGATAAGTATTGAAATTTCAAAATTTAATTTTCTTTTCAATTACTTCATAATTTTTATTCTATCAAGTAGTTTAATTATTATAATATATTCCTCATATCAATTACTTCCTAATTTATGTATCTCAAGTGATTTACAAAAATTCTACTTATTTTAATGGCAATATCTTATATCTTTATTTATTATCTAAAATTAATTTATCAGAAATACTTTGTCAGTATTTTAGCAAATCAACTATTCCTAAATATTCTAATTAGTTATTGTAAACAAATTATATCATAAATATTTATATTTAAAATATTTCAACTTGAATAATTAATTTAATATTTCAATTAAATTTTTAGATCCAAAAAACTACTACTCATTTCTTTAATAAACTAACTATTAATTACTTAAAGTAATTATTCATGTTTTTATTTAATTATATTACTATAATTATTTGATTAACACTTCTTAATTTGAAGAATTATACTTTCTGAAATACTCTTAATGATTTATTAAAATAATACGTAATAATAATCATTAATGAAATACCAGGAATAAAAATTAATTAATAAATCTCAAAATTTTTAGATATAAATTTAAGATTACTTCATTAAATTTTGATAAAAAGTTTTATCATAACATTCCATATTTCAAGCCAAATTTTGAATTAAATTATGTAAATTTTGGTAGTTTTTAATAATACATAGAAAAGAAAAAAAATTTTGTTTAATAATAAAAATATCATAGAATTCATCAATCCTGATTTAAATGGTTTTATATATACTCTTACATTACATCCATTAAGCATATCTTTTAGGCTACTTTTGCGTCAGTAAAAGATTCGAAATTCTTAATAGGAAATTCGATAAAAACCCTTGAAAACTTAATCAGTAAGTATTTTGCTTTCATATTAAGATTAGAATTTAAAACTTAAGGTCTAACTTATTTATAAAAAGTGGTAAAGTAATAATGAATAAGCAAAATGTTTAAATTTTAATTGTCCTAAGAACATTAATTCTTAAGTTCTTATAACAGATCATTCCCATTATCTATTATTTAGTTATTATTACAAGTTTTCATATTTTTTAAGGATTAATATTTTTTTTATGTTTCTTAATACATTGCTTCAAAAGATTTCTACTGTAACCAAGCATGTAGATTTTAATGTGATTTTAGTTAATATAAAATGTCTTCTAATTGTAAAATATTATTTTTCTTAAGATTTTCAATACACAACAAACAAGAAACACAAAATCTAATAATGAATTATTTGAATAAAAGTATTTCATCTTATACGCTGTCATCTAGTTATTGTTCATCAAAAGCGTTTAATGTCTTAAAACCTAGAGCATGTAGAGATCCTATATATTCATATATTTCATAAAAATAAGATTAATTTTGATTATAGTTTTTTGTTTATTATAAATCTTAGTCTTATTATTATTTTTATTATTATTATTATTTTTATTATTATTATTATTATTATTAATTGGTTTAATTAATGGGATTTTATGATATTATAGCATAACCACTGAGTTTTTACTTTTATGAAAGGATTAATTCTTTAAAAATACGATGGGTTTATAATTCACTCCAAGTAATTCTTTTTTTTGGATCACTTATAATCATTTAATTAATTAATTCTGGAATTAATTGATTCTTAATATATTAAAATAAAATTACTTCATAATTTGGACATTAAAATTTTTAAGTTTCTAAAGATTTATGAAATTACTGAAGCTCAGTTTTAGTTTGAATATTTTTATACATTTGTTAGAATGCCATATAATACAGTATCAATCCTAACTAAAGATTAAATTCAATAGTACTGAAAAAATGTCACTTTACTAATCGTTGGAATTACCTTATGAAACCATTTCTGGAGCAGCAAATAACTTTACTTCAGTATCGGAAAGAGTGATATTTCTTCCATTAATTTTGTTAATTTCGTAATCAAAGATCTATTGAAGTGAGATATTATACTTTGACAATATATTTCCCTTTCTCTTACATTTTCAAGAGGATATTACTAGGTTTTAACTCAATAGGAGAAAAAAAATATTTTTTTAGGAAACAATAGCCTTCAACTATTTAGTATAATATTTCAATAATTTCTTGGCTTTTGAGTTTTTGTGTTTTTTGTTTTAAATCCTATAAATATTCTAATAAGCTGATATCACATTTTTCCAGAATTAGATAAGTGTATTATGTATTTTGCTTGATTATTGCAAGGATTTCCACAATATTTTTATGATTTTGTTATTTGATGTTCTCAAAATTTTCAATAGTTCTCTAAATTCCAACGATATTAGTTTAATATGGTTTACAAATCACATCTTTACGATTCTTTAAATCATATGCTTAATTAGATTATCTTTACAATCCTGAATCATTATTAAGGTCGACAAAATATATTTCATTTAAGATAATAAAGTTTTGAGGTAGATTCATATCTAATTAATCCCATTTAATTCTATTTTCTGGATTGTAAACAATCATTTTTTAAATTAATTAACAAAGTTCTTAGGGGTATTAAAGATTAGATGGACATTAGAAATGTTGATTAATTTTAAGTTTTTCATGGAATTCATTAAGATCTTTAAAATCTTATACATTTCCTGGTTTATCTCCTTTATAACACAGTATATAAAGAATGATTCCAAGCTATCGAATAATATTTAATCACTCTTACTGAATATATATCACAAGAATCATTATATCTTTTTGATTCAGAAGGACTTATGAAAACTTCTGGAGCAGAGTAAAAAGGAATTCCAGTTCTAGTTTCTGCATATCCGTCTTAAGTTATTCTACTCACACCAAAATCAGATATCTATATTTATATTTTTAAGTTTTACTTTGAATATAAGTCTATTGTTTGTAAGCCTTTTATATAGAATGCTTTTTGGTGTTAAATCTCTAAGAATAATTTTCAAATCCCTTAAATTCTAATAACCTCTCACTATTTAGCCTAAAAAATCATATATTTCATCTTTAGTAAACCATGTATTATTATGCTATTTTTCTTCAAATAATTATTCAAGATTTGCATCACATAGTTCTGTAAAAATACAAAACTTTTCATCATCTTCAATAATATCGTAAATATTTAAGACATTTAAATGTTTTGGGATAGTGCTTTTAAGTTTCTCAAGTACTTGTATTTCATTTTACTAATTAACATAATGATGTGATTTGCTTATCACTTTCACGCACAATTATTCACTCATTTCTTTTGAATAACATTTAAGTATTTATCCTCTTTTCCCTGAAGCCACAATATCCTAAGTATCTATAGTGAAATTCTTTTTATATATTAGACGAGGATATTAAGGATTCATGTTAATATTAAAATTTATTAAAGTTATATCAAAACATAAACAGTTTATATAATCATCCATCTTTAGCTATAGGAATGTTTCTAAAATTATTCTGCTTAATTCTGGATAAATTCTTCTTAGAATAATTTTTTTGCTGTAAGATCTTTATCTTGGGAATAATCAAATACTATTATTCACATATAATATTATAAGTGGTAATGATTTTTAAATATACTACATTAATATTAACAGGCTATTTTTATTTAATATTTCTATTAACAATATTTTTATACATTTTTACATATTCTCAACTTTAACTTTTTATTATTATTAAAAATATTAAAAAATTTAATTGGTAGAATAAAGGTTCATACATCAATAAAGCTAAAGTAGTACTTAATAAATTAATAATTAACTTTGTATAAGCATAATATAGGGCAAAAATATCTATGTCTGATATTTAGTGTAGGTTCTAATCTATACTTTTTAAGTTTGTAAAAGGGATTTCATTGTATAATGATAAGAATCTACTTTAACGAGTTTTAAGTCTTTTAATTATTAATCTTTAATTGTTTAAATAATTTTAGTAATTTAAAGACTTCAGTACATTTTAATGATGCACTTTTTATAATTTTAGTTAATTCAAATATTTTTTCAATTTGACAACCACTTTTATTTCAGATTAAACAAAATTAGAAAGATTTTTTGTTAGCTTGATCATTTTAATATATTAATATATTCTTTTTGAACATCATTTTAGTAATTATGTATAGATCTATTATTTTATGCTATCCATGTCCAATTATATAATTTAGAAGTAATAAATAGATTCAGATTTAATCTACTTGAATACATTTTTATATATACAAACATCTTTAGTAAATTAGATAAATCATTATTACATATATTGTAAAAGATATCATTCTAATTATTTTAAGGATATTGGCAATTAATTGGCCATTAATTTATTTTCTATTTCAAAAATCTAATCTGATCCTGTTCTCACTTTATTTATTCTATTTATTATCTATGGTTATTTAATGCCAACTGATAAATTCTTTAATTTTATGCCTTCGTCTTTTTCAAGTTCTTCTATAATGTCAGCCCCAGCTGAACTTAAATCTTCAAATGTTATTCTTCTACTTGTGTTTTCTAATTAATTTGATAATTTTCTAGAAGTCAAACATTGAGTTCTTTCAATACTTTTTAAATGTAGTAAATTTGATTTAATTTATAAATGACTTTATTAAATTTATAGTTTAGGACTTCTAGTAAAATCTTCTCCTCTTTTGAACATGTTTTCTAAATAATCATAATCAGGCTTTTAGTCAAACTTCAAACGTTTTACATATTCAATGTATTTTGAAAGTTCAGGTGGCAAATTAATATATGTTTCTGGTTTAAATGCTTCTTTCATTCTTTAAATCTTGTAATATTTAATATTCTTGTCTTCAGCCATAATATTATTCCATGGCAGAGTGCCCATGAACAAATAAATTAGTAAATAACCGACGGATTCAAGATCGTCTCTCCTTGATTATTCATTTCCTTTCAATGAGTTTATTGAAGCATAACGGGCTGTACCTATCATACCTTTATTTTCTCGGAATTCTAAGTGTTTTCCATCTTATATGAACAATTTTGACAGTCCAAAATCTATTAGATGTACTTTCTCTTAATGTACTACAAAATTTTCAGGTTTTATATCTCTGTGAATTATGTTAGCGTTATGTAGTTCTTTAAGCAAGAGAATCATTTATTATCCTGTATTCAATATTGTTGTAGTATCAAATTTCCCATATTTTATTCTCACCTATTCTAAATTATCTCCAAGCAAATTCATTATAAAATAGGTGTTTTTATGATCCTACCCTGAAGTAATCAATTGACTAAAACCTATAAATAGTTATTTATCATATACCTTTTTTTCCTTTTAGTAAATGCAGGATCTTTATTTCTCTTTAAAGTAAGGTTTTTTCCTTCTTCATTGAATTCTTTACTAATTTACAAGCATATATTTGACCAGTTGATATTTACTTGACCTTCCATATATACCCAAAAGAACTTAAGTTTCTAAATTATATAAATACCCTTCCCCTAATTTATCAAGAAATTAATAAGACTATGAAGCTGGCTTATTATCATAACATTTCATTCTAAGTTAACAAAAAAATATTAAATATTAATAAAATGTTCATTTTAGAATAATCCTGAATAACAAGATCTAGTGATATATTATTATTATATCTTTTAATGAATTATTATTACTCATTTATTTATTAAATGTTTGTATTTGGGTCTAATGCTAAAATTTTCTTTGATCTCAATCTTGCCATTCATTAATTATTATATAATGATGAAAATTATAAGATTAAACACAATTTGTTCAAATATATCATTTATTATTCTTCTATTATTAATCATCTAATTCTTGCTTCACATGAGAGTAATTTGGATATTTTTACTAGAATCTTTGGTTCGGGTTATTCAATTGATAGAATTGATCACCAAACTATTGCATCATGGGCATGGGATAATTTATTGGTTGCATCGATTATTAAGGTGTCTACTAGAACATGTCCTTCAGTAGATTATTTTATTATATCTATTGACCTAATTAACTCATCTATTATAACTGTTATTATTCATAAAAAGCCTAAGGAGCATACCTATTTAAATAATTGAATACTAATACATTAAGGGAATATATTATTAGGGTATTCCACCCTGAGGCATTTAGTGCATTTACATCTAATTTTACTAATTCAATTCTGCTTATAATTGTTTTTATTGTTAATTATTTTGAGGGTTAGGAATTTAATGTTACATCATATTTTGAAATTATTCTGCCATTTATTAATTTATCGGTTAAATAACCTATTACATCTAACCAGGAAGAGTTGAGATTAATTGTAGGTTTTAACCCGCTATTTATCCCTACATTTATCCAGGCATCTATCCCATCTGAGGCACTTAGATCATCATTTATCCTGACATTGGTCCCATCATTTACCCTGGTAATTATCCCATAATAGGCATCTAAGTCATTTAAGGCATCTACATTTAAGGATATAAAAGATTGGGATATAGAAGTTGATAGAAAGGTTGTTGTTGTTATTGTTATTGTTATTATTATTATTACAACTATTATTATAATTATTATTATTTTTATTATTATTATTATTGTTATTATTATTATTATTATTATTATTATTATTTTTATTATTATTAGTATTATTGGTACTATTACTATTACTACTATTAAAGCATGTTTTACTATTAATTAATTTATGATTCATAAGTTGATGAAAGTATTGCAGGTTGGATAGCCTATTATTATTAAGTTTGTTTTTGTATTTATTCTTTTTATTTTGATGATTATTATTATTTTTATTTAACAACATATGGTCCATCATGTGGCAATTACTATTTTGTCTATGGTTGTACAATTTCTTTTTTACAATCTTTTTTGCTCTCTTTTTTTTGCTTAATTATTTCCATGACTGCTTTTAGTTGGGTTTTAGGAAAAACATGTATATTTTATGAATCCTTATTCATGATTGCAAATTGAACATTAGATAGATTGTTAGAATCACTAATTGGTTCCTCATTTAATTCAACTGTTTCTCCTTTTTAAACTACAACATCTTAATAATGATCCTTAATTTTAGTATAATCTAAGTTTTAATCTTATTAATATTGTTTTAAAACTTTCTATAGTATATTTGTTGCATGAGAATTACTGGATTTTTGAGCTGCTTTTAGCTTCTTTTTTTGACTATTATTTAAATCAATAGACGGTTCCTGTATTTTCTAGTCATCTTCACGATTACAATTAGAATAATTAACATTTTATTTCTTAAGCTTCGATGAAAGTTCATTTAAATAGAAAAAAATATAGCTAATTTCTTGTTATCCTAACTCTTCAATTTTATTGAATTAATTTATCTAATGTTTTTAAAGTTCATTCTCAATTTATTATTTATCCAATAATTAAATCTCTTATAATTCTAACTTTTTTAAAATTTTAAAATATCTATTTTTTACAGAACTCTCAGTTCTATGGTTTTTCATTTCTAAAGCAATATTCTACCAATTTTTCCCATGTTTTAATATGACTTTCATGAATAAAAATTCTTCAGTTGAGTCCCAAGGACCTTTTTGAATTTAGGGATTTAGTTTATTAATCCACCTATCTCTAACAAATTTTGTCAACTTTATTGTAGATTTGTTGCTCTTTTAAGACAATTCTTTTGCTATGTCACTCCAATTAAATTGTTTATTTTCTGAAAGATATTAATTGCAAATTTCTTTTAAAGCTTCATCTTCATTTTTGCTCCATTATTATTAATGAAATATTTATATTTTTTAGTTTTCTAATTATGATCTGCAATCCATTACAGATTTGTTAAGCAATTTTGAGACTATGTTCCAAACATCGTCAGGTATTTGAGTGTGGATTATATTTTAATTAGAACAATAGGTCTGTATCAAAGACTTTAATAGTTTACTTTGATAGTCATTCCACTTTAAAGCTTCTGATTAATTATTTATAACCATAAGATATTACTCTTTTATCCTATTACTAGTTTCTTCATCTAAATTAGTTAACAATGATAAGTATTAATCAAACTCGATTTACATTTTAATTTTTAATCAATATAATATATATCAATATATCAATCAAGTAATAATACGTTATTTATAAAGAATTCTGTTTAACATTGCTGGTTATTTACATTTTCAATTCTCAATTCAAAATTAAACTTTCTATTTTTTCTCAAGTTATTTTTTTTAATGTTTAATTGAGGCATCAATTTTTTCTATTAATCTATAGATTATTAAATGTATACCTTATAACTATTATTTGAAATTTATTTTCTAAAAGTGCGTATTTAAATTGATAAATGTGTGAAATTTAATGATGCCTCTAATTATATAAATTTTATAAAAATGGATATTTTATTGATTCTATTTTTGTTTATAATATGATTCATTAATTAAATTATTAGTATTTTGTATTATTCTATAAATTTGATTGATCAAAGCCAATTTATATTATTTAAAATAGGATTTTTAAAACTATATCTACAAGAGAAACTAGTATTGAAAACCTTTTCATATAAATGGCTTTTTAAGTCTTTTTAAATTTTGAAATATTGGTTGCTGTTACTTGATTATTTAATTATATTGAGTAATAATAAATAGAAAAATAATTTCTGATATTTATATACTCTTAATTTAAATAAATCAATGGATAGAGTTTTAAATATGAAAAATTTATTCTTAATGTAAAGTAATGATAACTAGAAGTTAATATTAAATTTTTCATCATTTTTTAATAATCTTAGTTTATAATGATAAGTAATAAATTTTATACAGTAAAAATATAATTAGATTATTTGATTATTTAAATTTTAAATATGAGAATTTATAATATTATATTTCTACTTAAATTATATAATATAAGATTTATCAACTAGTGATTTTTTTATGTTGTTTAATCATATTTTAGATTTCATCAAGTACTTTGATTTTACTTTATTATACTTATTTTTATTGTATGACATAATCTTTAGTTTTTAATGCTTCTTTTTCTTCAAACACTCTTTCACTTTCCATTAATTTGACCTTTTCCTCTAACTAAATATTATAATAATTTAAATTACATATTTTTATTCTGATTATAATGTTTTTTAATTTTATTTAACTTTTAAATATTTATTTTTATATGCATTTGCTTATTCATCACTAGAGATTAATTATTTTTTTAATTCTGATATAATTTTTTTTAATTCTAATGTTTCTTCTTTTGATTCATTCAATTAATGAATTAAAGATTCAACTCTTTTATCAATCTAAAATAAATCCTATTAATATAATTTAATTAAATACCTCTTCATGTTATTATTTTAAATAAGCTATTTCTTTATCTGATTCATATAACAAATGCTATAACTTCTTATTTTCTTAATGAAATTAATCAATGTCAAATAACATTTATGATTTTTCATTTTAATCTAATTAATATTATAAATCATATTGAGCTAATTTATCTTCATAAGCTTAAACTAAAGATTTTTAAGATTCTAATTTTGATTTCAATTCCAAAACTTCTTGAATTTTAAAATTAGTTTCTTTCAAAGATTAATCAGTTTTATTTCTTTAATCCTCAAGTTATGATTACAATCTCAAATAATCTTGTTTTTAATCTTATATAATTTTATTATAAGACAATTCTTCTTTTTATTATTGAGTAATTTATAATTCTAATTATTGGATTTGATTTAATAATGATTATGTCTTTTCTTTTTTTCGATTAATTTATGTAAGATATTCAGTTTATAATTATTACTTTTCTTATTCAATTTTATTAATCTCTTGTTAATGATGTTAATCATTAAGTTTGATAAATTTTTCAGTTTCATCAATTTTAGATGTTTAATTGTCTATTGCTATTTGCAATATTTTTTTTTCTTCTTATAATTCTTTTATCTTTGATTCCAATAATTACATATTTTACCTATCATCTTAGGCTGCCAATTCAAAATATTTATATTAATCTTCTTTTTATTATAATGCTTATTTTAATGTATTATTTTCATCTTTTAATATCATATATCTTTTTTCATGTTCTTTTCTAAATAATTATAAAGAATTATTTACATTTCAATTTATAAAGAATCATTAATTCTTTACACTCTATCTAAATCAACTTAAAACATAGCTTTCTAATCATCCAATCTAGAATCAATTGTTTTAGATGAATCTTTAAGTAATCTGATTTTAGTCTTTTTCTTTTATAATTTAATTTTAAATTCATTAAGTTGTGTTTTTAATTCTTCATTGCCTTTATTTTAATAATCTGCTCTTTCTTTCTCATATTTAACTAATAATTCTTCTTTTGTTTATAATTATCTTTCTTTATCTTTTGTGTCTTAAATATACTCTCTTAAAGTAGCCTTGAATATAATAAAGTCAGTACTTTTAATTTTGAGTTCAGATCTTTGAGTTTATTATATTTATCTCTAGATACATAACCTGAGTTATTTTAAACTGTAAGATCTCTCCAACCATTAGGAGAGCTACTAATCAATTGATCTATATCTCTTTTGCCTTAAAAATTTCTTGTCAAAAGATCATTGCTGGAACCTTGATTAGTTCTCATTTTTTTAAATTATTTAATAACAGCCAGTTTATGTATTAAAATTAAAAATTGAAATTGTATGATAAATTAATATTAATTTTCAAATTAATTTAGGTGTATGTGAACCTTTAGCACAAGTTGGTATTTTCATGAATTCATCCCAATCATATTTTTCAACCTTTTTATATAAATATATTAAATTACTCTACAACATGTCCAAAATTTCTTAAGATCATGGAAACAAGGTTCTCCTGGATGATAAAGACATTCATTATTTTCATTAGGATCATATTCTTTCAAACATCCTTTATTTGTACATTTATATTTTCCTGTTGGAGTAACAAATATTTATTTTTATACTTTAGCTAATTAAGTATAAATAGAAATTAAAACCTTATTATTATTCTAATAATTTCTTCTTTTCAGCTTCTTCTTTATTATAATCATCTATTTTTCTAACAGGTTATGGAGTGTTATCAACAAAATTATCAATTCCTAATATTCTAGAATTTACATTAATACCTTTTTAAGCATTTTATACAGTTTTTGATTAATAAAATTCACCACCTTCAGTGACATCTATATTTGTATGTTTACCAATTGCACATGGTTCAATTTTCATAAATTCATCCCAATCATATACTATCTTATTACAACATGTCCATCCTTTTTTGAGATCTGAAAAAATGGGTTTTCCAGGATGATGTTTACATGCTTAATCATTATTTTCATTTTCATTGTAAGGCTTCTTACAACCATTTCTTTTACATTTAGTTTCCATTAATTAATAATTAAAAATAGTAAATTATTCATTAAATAATTATTTATGATTCAATCTATTCCTCATGATAGGTGTGTGTATGTTACCTAGTATAAGCCTGAAACAACTCTTGAATAATTAAAATAAGCATTCTCTGAGTTCGGAAAGATCGAATAATTATAGTAAAATGCTAAATCAAATGGAGTATTCATAGTATTTGATTCACATGATGCAGGTACATATTTATTTAATAAAATAGTGAATAGAGCAACATCAAAGACAGTTACAATAGGAGGAAAGAATTTAGATGTAAATGAATACTTAGATATGGACAAATTAGATGAAGAAGCAAATATATTTATTGATGGAATAAGTCCGACAACTACATAATTGTAATTAAAAGAGAAATTATAAAAATATGGAAAGATTTTGAATATTAAAGTTTAGATGTCTGATAAAGCTGGTGTTGCTTATATCTAATTTGAAGAAAGGAAATCAGCTGAATAATGTTTGAATGATTAGAAAAATTTAGGAATGCATATCACAAGGTAAATTAATCAAATAACAGATTAGAGCCATTAAGAAGGGTAAACAATAGTAAATTAAGAGAGATTAATTATTCATTTCTAATATTAAATCTTAATTATCATTGGATCAAATTAAACCATAATTGGATAATTATTTCTCTGAATATGGAAAAATTGAATTGATTTAAGTAAATGTTAATCCCAAAAATCAAACATACTTTGCATTTGTCAGATTTGAAAATTCAGAAGATGCCTATAAAGCTGTCAAATCCACAAAACCTTTTCAAAATCAAATTATTAATATCTAATGGGCTGTTAATTCTAATGACAATATTGAAGCCAATTTATATACCAAAAATCTTAAACCAACTGTCACTGAATAATAACTAAGAGAAGCATATGAATCTATCATTACATTAGATGATCTTCAATTATTACCACCAAATAAATCTAATAAATTATCAGCTTATATTTATTTGAAATCTGCTGAAGATGGCAAAAAAGTTATTGATTTAGCTTTTAAAACTAAAAAAATATTTGATTTGTATGATAAATTGACTGTTCAAATCTCACCTATGTTAAGTCCAGCTGAAATCATCTAATTCAAAAAAATCCAATCAAAACCAACATATTAACCTTATGCTAATTCTATGCCCTTTCCTCCTTATTAACCACTCTAAGGATATCCAAACTAATAAAATCCTCCTTATGGTGCTTATACATAATAATAACCACCTTATTATGCTGGTGGTTATCCTCCACAATAACCACCTTATTAACAAGGTGGATACTATTAATAATAAGGCAATTATAATCAACACAGACCAAAAAAACATCCATATCCAAATTAATATCAAAACTAGCAAAGACAACATTAACCTAGAATACCAGATTTATAATACTTATAGAATTTGTTAGCTTAAGGAAATGAGAAAAAAGTTACTGATACTATTGGAATACTCTTGTTTCCTTTAGTTAGCTAATAGGTTGAATAAAAATTGGTAATTATTAATAATATAATTAAGGCACCTTAAGTAACAGGAATTTTATTAGATTTTGAAAATTATGGGTTGGAAGATTAATTAAAAATGCTTTAGAATGCACCTTATTTGAGCGAGCAAATCAATCAAGCTGTAGATCTAATAAGAAAATCTTATTGAGTATAAAAATTAAATAAATACATATAAATATTATTATAATCTAACATTATTTACTTTTTTTATTTATGATTATAATTTATATCCTTTAATTGATAATTCCTTTAGAAATATTCACAAATACAATATGTTCATCATAAAATGAATATATATTAGTATCTGATTCTCATTTTATGCTCAAAGAGGGAAGTAAATCTAAATATATAAAATATAGATAAAATTGAATTAATTGAATAGTTTAATCCATTCACTTAAATTAAGCTTATGGATTACGAATTACAAGATTATAATTTAACTTTAATAACAAGAACATAATTTTCTGATAGATTGTTATTTGTATTCTAAAATACTAATATAATCCATATTAGAATCTGCATTCTACAATTTTCAATCTCTCAAGATACTATAAAAAGTTAGAATTTTTTAATAATGGAAGAATTATCCGTTTAACCTATGGGTATATTTTTAAATACATACTTTACTAAAAGCTTTCTTTATATAATTTATTAAGAATTTTAAGATCCAAACTAATATTTGATCTAAATTATGAATCCTACGACTAATATTGTACTTGATTATATAAAAATAAGAAAATAGAAGGATTGCATATATAATATAGAAGAGAATTCATTTAATAATTTTTATTTTGCTTAATATAATTGTACTGATTGGGTTGTCTAATTATTTTCAGGATACCCTATTGAACTTTAAAAAACTATTAGATATGATGATTTTAAATTAATATTAAGATAGGTTTCCTTTCATTAGTTCAGTGAATTATTATAATTTCTATTTGATCATTATGTTTATTATTATACACTATCAATTGATTACTTTGAAGTTGCATTTGAATATTAAGATGGCAATATTCTATTTAATGATTTATTTTTATAAATTTTAAATACAACCTAAATTGAAAATGATAATTTAGTTAAAAAATTTGGAGTTATAAGAAAAGAAAGGCCAAGAAAAATGTTGAAACTCAATCAAGATTTGTTATTTTTATATGATGAACATATTGAATTATTTAAGAATGGTGAATTATCATTTGATTTACCAATTTAATTAGATAACTTTTTTTTGTTTTAAACTACTTATCCTTACTTTTATGGAGTAAGAAAGAATAAGCTCATATTAATTAGAGCAAATTAAATGAATCCATTATTTAGATGTTCAGAAAATAAATCATTTTAAGCTACATTTTATAGAGATTATAATTAAAATTAACTAGATTGGACATTTACAACAAAAAAGATAGAAATGAAAAGTGAGTAAATTTTATATTTTAATTTAAATCAATTATATTAACTCACAATTCCTATTTTAATATAAGAGATTCAAGAAGATTCTTCAGAATTTGAAATAATTTTTAATAAATATATTTTAGGTGGACCATTTCAAATTTTAAATGCAAAAAGTGATTAGAATATTATTGTTTCCTTAGAAAGTATGTTATCATAGATTTGTTAATTTTAAGACTTTTCTAAATTCTTATGGTGGATTGTTTTAAATTTTAATATAAATGAATAGGTATTAGTAGTTTAAGATGATAATTTAATTATACATTTAATTGATTGTAATTTATAAATATCTAAGAAAATATTCAAAGTAGAGAGAATTATTCAAAGATAAATTTCTTAGAAAAATAATTTATTAATTATGTAAAATAGTAAAAAAAGTTTATTTTTATTTGAAATTAAAGACAATTTTAATTATAAAATAGATAAAATTACGTTCAATAATGAAATTAAATATATCCAACCAATTTTTTAATACTTTTATGTATTTCTCAATGACTGGGAATGCTATTTGATTCGATCAATAACTCTAAATCATCCTTTTAATATTGAATAATAACCAAGTATATAAAATACGTTTTTAAGATCTGAGATTATTTTATGGAAGAAGATTTCAACTAATAATGATATTTTTGGGACAGAATAAGAGATTTAATTATAAAATTAGAATTTCAATCATTGTAAATATTATCATTAATATAATAGTGATTTAGATAATGAATGTTTATGATATTATAAAAGTAAAATAATACCAATATGAATATATTATAATCCATAAATCTAAATAGTGTGATATAATTAAAATAACATTAAAAAAGTATTATTAAATTAATTTTTAATTTATATTCATGTTTGAACTACCTAAATTAAATCAATCATTTGAATATATTTGGCCAATATGTATAAATGAAAATGGATAATATTTAACAATTGCAGTCAAAGATTATTCAACAAATAATATATTTGTATTGATATATGAAATATCTTAACCTTATTCAACTATTTTAAGAGATATTATTTAAATAGACTGTTGTGAATGTTCATAACTTATAAAATCTAATGTAATTGTTTATTAATTTCAAAATTTAATATTTTAATAAAGGATTAATTTTATCAATTTTAAAGTTAAATATGATAATAATTCAACTTAAATGTAATTTAATAATATCTCTTTAATATTGAAATCTAAAATTACATAAGAAATATAAGAAGGATTTTAAATTTAAATAATTTCACTACTTCAGATGGAAGGCTTGTAGCAAAATAATAATCAAAATTTAATTTTAAATGATCATCAACCTTATGTTTTTGATCCAAGAAAATTTATACTTGGTTCTCTTCAAAATATTACATCTTCATCAGTTATTATTACACCTGCTTTGAAATTGATTGATAAAACAATAATATAAGGAGAATCTGCTAATTAAATGACATTTCCATTATTTATCTACTCTAAATTTATTGCGGAAATAGATGGCAAAATTTTTGATATAATATAACTCTAGAAATAAATAGAAAATTCAAATCCAATTATGGTTTTGTTAGAAAAAAATGGTCAATACACCTATATTACTAAGAGAAAAAATAATCATACAGATATTAAAGTTTTTGATTCAAATTATCATTTTAAGTATCAATTTATAATTGAAAATTGAGTCCATAATTAAATTAGATAATTTCTAATTTATAATATGTCCTAAAACAATTCTTTTGTATGCTATGAATACTAATTAAACTTAATATATAAATTAAATAGCTAATTCATATATAGAATGTACTATTGAAAAAATTAAAAATGAAAATTAGATATATTTAGCTTATGATAAAAAGTCTGCAGAATAAAATTGCATTTTAATAGAAATATTAGGAAATAATAAAATTAATTATTTTATATTTATTATTGATATTGAAAACAAATTTAATGGTTTGTCTGAATAATTTTATTCAATTCTATTAATAGATATTCAAATTTATGGAAATAATTACCTGAATATGACTGGGTTTTACTTTAAGTAGGAAAAAAATGCTTAGTTATTTTAATTAATAATTGATATTTAATTAAATTAGACAAAAAATCTTATTACAAATGGAATTATTAAATATCCAAAGAATACAAGTATTAACAAATTACTGTATCTAAATTAATTTCTTGTTATATTATTTAATTACAAAATTTCATAATACGTATAAATACTAGTTTTATATGATCTTCATGAAAAGGAATAATTTGAAATTTTTTACTATATTTAATCAATTGAGTGTGAGATATATGATATAAATTATCATAATGATACATACTTTTACTTAATTGATATTAATGGCAATTATACTGTGTCTTTGTATCAAATTAGTTAGTATTTATTTGAATTCAAAAAATAACAAGAATAAGTATATAAAATAAAGCTTTTTAATTAAATAGATTCAATTGAAATGATAATTAAAATTTAAAATCTTTATGATTAATATTTGAGTCTTACAATAGAACTGCTATTTTCAAATTTATTGTGTATTTTGTTAATATTAAGTAGAAAAAGAAATAAGAAATGATAATATATATAAAATTGAATAGAATATAATGAGATTATAGTCATTAACTTATAAAGCCTCAAAACTTTCTGAACTAGGAGATCTAAAATTAAATCTATTGTTTTCAAATTCAGCTGATAGAAAAGCATATTGGTTGTAATTCAAAATATTCTTTATTCAATTTAATAAATCTTTGTTTCCAAGATGTTTCATTTGGATTAATTTTAGATATATTCTGTAAACTATTATTTTTGGATTAAATATTTAATAAGTATGAGAAACAGTTAAACTATTCATTAATTAAGAATTCTCTCTTAATAATGATAAAACTTACTTTTCCAATTCTGTATGATCATAACCTTGTTATTTTTGAGATTTTCAATATCTATAATTCTTTAACTAAATATGAAATTTAGAATAATACTTGTATGATTCTACAATATTTACACTTTTTAGGTCAATTCTTAAATTTATTTTTATATTGAATTGGAAAGATTGTTCTGATTAATATTTATTATTAAAATTTAGGATTTACTTTCTTCTAGTTATTAAATGTGTGATTTCATTATAGAGATTTCTTAATTTTTTGAAAATATGATATTCTTGTAATGAAACTCTCTTTGTTTATATTACTCTATTTATTTACGAAATTCTTCATTCTTTTTAAAGCACTATTATTGTGAATTCCAGAAGTAGTAGCAATACGTATTAATCTTTTTGTAGTATAATTAATGGATGAATTGGAACGTGATGTTGAAATAGTATTATTATACTGTTAAAAAATTAAAATAAATTATAAAATAGCATATTATATTATTATATATTGTTTTATATTTTGTATTTATTTCAATATCATAGATTTGCTGCAATACTGAGTTTATTACAAGTATCTTCTAGCAAACTTAATAAATGTTCTTCAGATTATTCTCTATTAATTATTATTTGATTAATATACCTTGTTTTCTTTTCTTAATCTAATTCTACTTTGACTCTATTAACAATATCTTTAAGCATTTCAAATATGGATTATTCACTTTCATCTCTATTTCTTTTTTCAACATTGATTAGATTACTTAACTTTACTAATTCATCAGTAATGGATTTCATAACCTATAAGTTAATATAAATATACTTACATTTTAATCTGATTCATCTCTTTCATTGGCTTCATTTCTAATAGCCTCTTAAATTTTAGGTAAATCATTTTATAATCCTTAATGAATTCCTTCAATAGAATCAACTCTTGCTGCAGTTTCCTTTTATACTTCAGTTCTCAATAATGCTGTTTTATCTTCCAATAATCTTAATACTTTAGTTTCTCCTTCTTTTCTTGTTTATGTTTCATTTTGAATAGCATTTTCAAATTTCTTTTCTAATGCTTATACTTCTCTATTTTTAGTTTCATTAGCTTATTCCTTAGCCAATCTATCTTCTTCTACTTATTTTTATAATTTTCCTAACTAAACAATAATAAGTATTAATAAATTACTTAATCTCTTAATCCATTCAATTTAGTAAAGATCTATTCTTAAAATTCATTGAAAGCATCTTCAGCTTATTAAATTCTTTATTCAGCTTATTCAAGTTTTTGAAATCTCTCATTTTCTACTCCAATTTAAATTGTAGATAATTTCTCTGAGATCTTTTGAATTCTTCCGCTTGAAGGTGATGCTTAAGGATCTAAAAATAGTTAATTCAATATAATACATGAGACTTAGGATCTTGAATTGTACATTATAATTAATAATAATAATAAAATTTATTTATGAATTAATTTCAAAAACAGTCCCTTTTGAATTATTATTTATAAATAAATTCATCATTCTTGGGTTATTAATTTAATCTAAATAATTTGATAATTACACTCCTTCTATTTTCAAATTTTAAATATAATCATAATTATCAAATTCATTTTCATAAAAAGAATAACACTGATATTTATATTTCATTCAAATTTAATTATATCAATATATCTTTAACATTTCTGCTTGATTATTAATAGAACTTAATAATTAATATTTAAGTTTATCTGCTTAAGTATATTCATTTAATAATTCTCCTTTGTTTTTTAAACTTAATCTTTATAATATAATTCAAACTAGATTTTTGATTAATTTCTTTATAGAACTTAGCTAAATTCTTCTTTTAATTCTTAAAATTTCTCATTTTTATAATTTTTTTATCATCTAAATTCAATTAATATTAATCTTTAATTTTATCCTTATTTAAATAACACATTTAATATTCAATATTTTACCAACCATAAACACATTTCTTAATTATTATTATTATAATTAATACCCTTATCTTTTTTAAACTGGAATTAGAATTCTACAAATAGTAGTTCTATTTTATATTATTTTTTATATCCCATTAAGGTCTTTTGGCATATTATTAATTAATTAATTAAGATTTTTAATTTTCCAAAATTTAGACATAATTTGTATAATAAATTAAAAAATGAAATACATAAAAATGATCGATATTTTTGGTGCCTAATATAGATAATAGATCTAATTAAACTAAAAAGTATAGAAATCTGTCTTAAGTGGAATATGTTCATTAATTGTTTTAGGAGCTAGTTTTGGTTATTTTGTTTATGTCATGAATGAATGGTGGAGTTCCAAAATCTTACCTAAATCAACTAATATTATGAAAGTTGAGAATTACTCACAAATTTAATATAATGAAGATTCCTTATTTGAATTTTGTTATTGGAAGTATAGTGATAAATAAATTGATCCATTTAGATTGTAGAATAACATATTAACACCTATTGGTATCTACTTTATTAATGGTATTCCATAAAAACCATTTTCTCTCTTAAATAAATTACCAATAATGTCACCATATAATACAAGTCTTTTAAGTGTTGATAATCTTACTTTAGTTCAAAATAGTGGTTTTGATAACTCATTAAATTATACAACAGAATTAATGATAGTAATTACTTAATGTAATTCCACACTATTAAATAGTGGATATTAATGCGCATCTGATTACGAAATTTAAGAATTTTTTAAAAAGTCAGTAAATTATATCAGTTTTTGGTTGAATTTAAAGTAGTATGATCCATATTCCTAAAAGTTTTAAGTTGTCAAGAAACATTATTATTTAACCTTTGATTCTGAAATATCTCATTAAGGTTAATTAATATTGACTTAAACAAAAGCTACTATAGATCATGGAATTTTATTTAGTAAATATGAATCATAAAGCTATATTTACAATGCTTAATTGATAACAAGTGCAACATCTAAAAAATTTTGGTCTACATTGTTTAAACAAAATACTTATCTTAATTTATTTATACGACTTGATCCTATGTCTATTGATACATAAATAGTATATCCAAAACTTGGAGAAATACTTGCTTAAGTAGGATCAATAATGAGTATGTTAATGACTATTCAATATATCTTGCGATATTATAATGAATATATATTAGAAGTTGATTTTGTAGATAAATTATTGGGTTTCTACTATCAAGATTATTTGGAATTAAAACAATCTAAAGATAAAGTAGACTTAAAATTATGTAAAGAATTAATAGAATAAGCTAAAAAGAAATTAGTTTATACTAATATTATTTATGAGTTATCAAGGATTTAATTATTCTTATTACACCATTTTGGAAGGAATTAATTATTTTAAGCACATTAATATGCTATATAAGCAAAGGAAGATATAAAGTCAGGTAAATATTGTTTAGCTTTTGATATTGCTACTATTCCTAAGGTTGATAGAAATAGAGAATAAACTGATTAGCATTTTGAAAAGGATGATTTTATTTTGTTAAGCAGAGGCATAACTAATATAATTAAAAATAATGAAGATTTAGTTAGAATTTAATTAGATGTAGGTAGTGCTTCATAGAAATCACTTTATAATTGAAATTAGAAATAATAATTAAGATAATTGATAATAGATTTTTATAGTCAAATAATCTTGTCTTCAGTTAAATATGTATATCCATCAAAAAGCATTTAGATTTCTTTAAATTTAAGTTATTTTAGTTATTCATTAAATATTGTTTGTTATGAATCACTAGTTTTTTGACAAGGCCTTGTCTTATCTTCTTATTTTGGTTGATATGGAGCAATCATTGTTTTATTTAATAATTTATCCCATTAGAATTACTAAAATAATTTATGATTTTTAAGTTCTTTTATCCCATTTTAATAACCCAATCGATTTTATTATTTTCTTATTAATAATTTATTTGTAAATTCAATTAAATTGAATGAATATTACAAATGTTCTTTAAAATTTAATTAAATCTATTTTCCTAACATTTCATCACGTATTTCTTTTTTTGTTCTACCTAAATATGGTCTTTTACCAGTAATCATTTCATAACAAATAACACCTATTGCATAATAATCAACACAATAATTATAATTTTATTTTAGTATTATTTCAGGTGCCATATATCCAGGTGTACCACTTGTTTCATTACTATTTTCGTTTTTATAATATCTAGCAATTCCAAAATCTGTTATTTTCAAATATCCTTTACAATCCAATACTAAATTTTCAGGTTTTAGATCTCTATGAATAACTTAATAAGAATTTATGTATTCTAATCCAAGAATCATACAGGCTACAAAAAATTCTATATTATTTATATATATAAATATACTAATTTATTCTTCTCTAAATGTTTTATTTAGTAATATATGATATCTAAGATCACCTCCAGATAGGTAATCGAGTATTAGATATAAATGATCTTTATCTTAAAAGGATCCTACCATATTAATAATAAAAGGATTCTTAAGTTTTTATAACAGTTACTTTTCATTCATAACAGACTTTACAGATTTTTTAGCTAAAATTCTAAATAGAATAGAAAGAATACTTTGATTTTTTAAGTTCTTTCATAGCATAGATCATTCTTGTTTTTTTGGATTCAACCTTCCACACATTTCCAAATCCACCTATCCCAATAATATAATGGAATATGAAATTATGCCTAAATTTTTATTAAATTTTCTGTGTTTATAATTCTGATGTAGCTTGTGTGCTATCCTATATCTAAGTTAAAATGAATGAGTAATACCATTATTACAGTACTAGTAAGATTCAAGAGTGGTCTTTTTATGGATGATGAATTAATTTCTTGAAGACCCATATAGAAAGATCTATTAAATCTTTAATTGAGATTAGGACTATGAATTCGAGGTTGAGACAGATTAATTTCGAATTATTTAGGTTTGATGATTTCTCTATATTGAAGTTACACTCTTTTCGGTAATTTTGATCCAATCCTAAAGTTTAGGCATGATGGAGATACTTCTCCCATTGGGATTGTCCAACATTGTTTAATTTGGTTTGGCTCTCTTAATCAACGGAGAGCTTGAGTTTTTATTCAGAAATACTCTGACATAATAAAGCTAATGATATTTCAAAATTTAAGATACAATTTGATATAGGTTGATGAAAGCTAGGACTTCTAAATGGATTAAGATAAGGTTTTTAGTTATTGATTTGCCTATTTAAATAAGGATCAATAAACGATTTATATTACATTAATATATTATTATCAATTTATTTGTAATTTTAATTACAATTCATTTTTTTTTAATAAAACAATTTGATTTAATTTCTATTAATTCTTATACTTAATGTTATATTTTGTATGAAATTCAAAATTAATATACTTTCCTAAAGCATTTTATATATTCAATCATTAAGATAATTTTTTATTTTATAATACCCATAAATATGACCTATTTGATTTGAATTTGAAATTATAAAATATATTAATTATTTTAATTTAGATCAATAAGAAATTCAATTACATATTTCTAAACTCTACAAATATTAAGGAATATAGATCATAAAATATAATAATATCATTCAAAATACTAAAAGTAAGTATTGAAGACCATTGTATAAGAAATTAATAAAATCTTTAATAATTACATAATTAGTTAATTTTAAATAAAAAAAGTAAATCAAAAGTATTAATATATTGTATTAATTCTTAACATTCTGCGCATTATTTTGACACAAGATTTATCAATTATTTAAAAATTCTATAAATTTCTATAAAAATCTATTAATCAATATATATAAAGCATTATTTAATTTAAATTTCTTATATATATTTTATAAATATATAGAGTAAAAATTCATTTATTGAAATAATATACTCACAAATTATCTAAAAATACAATTAGTTTACAATGTCTATAAATATTATAAATTATATCAATCAAAAAAAAAAGAAAACTTAGATTTTAATTTAAAGATGATTTTAGTCTTATATATAAATATCCAAAAACTAAGTCTATATCAAAATTTTATTATTTAAATTAAAATAATGAATGATCATCAATATCAATATTGGCCCATTTTTCAAGAAAATGATTCTACTAAAGCATTTTGGAATAAGAAATATGAATAAAATAATGATTGCTTAATAATTTCATAATATTGTATGAATCGAATAACTTGGAAATGTAGTAAACCTTGTGAATATCAATTTCTATTGAATTAAAATGGAATACTATATTATTAACACAATAATAAACCTAAGGGTTATGTATAACTGAATCACGACATTAGTATTAAAATTATAGACCTTAAAATTTCAAATAATAAGAGCGATCTTGTAAAAGTTATCAGAATCAAAAGAACTAAAGACATCTTCATTTATATTTGGAATTAAGATTAGTAAAATTATTATCTATCTCTTCTCTAGTAAATCTACCTTCTAATTCTTTAAGAACTTATCTTAATTCTCATTTATCTAAAATTTAGATTAACTTTACACGCTATCTGATGTCATAGCTAAAGGAGGATTTTCCAAAGTCTTTTCTCTTACTCCTAATATAAGACTACCTAATTAACCACTTAATTATGCAGGCAAAATTTATAATAAAGAGGAACTCCTTTAAAAAAAGGATTCATAAAAGTTCTATAATTTTATTCGTTCAGAATGTTATGTTCTTAGGAAACTGAACTCACCTTACATACTTAAACTTTATGAAATCATATAACTTGATGAAATGTTAAGTAATTATAAAAAATATATTGATTATAGTTTTAGTAACAGAATATATAAAAGGAGGATCATTATATTAATACTTAAAAGACAAAAAGAAATTAACTGAAATTGAATCTATATAAATATTACTTAAACTTACTATTGCCCTTTAAGCAGTTCATAATATAGGTTATGTACACAGAGATATTAAATTAGAGAATGTATTAATTGATAAAGATAATCTAAAATTAATTGATTTTGGTTTCACTGAAAAAATATAAAGAGATAGATTATAAAATGGATAAGGAACAGCTGGTTATATTGCACCAGAGGTTTTTATGAGATAACCATATTAAGAAGTTGGAGATGTATTTAGTTTAGGTGTAATATTTTATTCAATGTTATGTGGAAGAGCACCCTTTCGATCTAATACATATGATGGATTATTGAAATTAAATAAGGAATGTTAAATTGATTTTTCAGAATCTAGATTTCTAAATGTCAGTTAAAAAAGTATTTATTTGATGAAGGCTATGTTATAAAAATAACCAGAAAATAGAATCAATATTTAAGATTTATTGGCTTAATTATAAGCTCAAACCCTATTTTCTCATTCAGGCAATTTTATATCAACTTAATCGATAATTGACGGTTCTGTAGGATTGAGTTTTAATCATTTATAATCAAAAAACACTTTGAAATCCTTTTATTAATAAAGTTAAAATTCTGTAAGTGAAAATTCAAGTTAATTATCAGATCATTAATTAAAACAAAAGAAAAGAAGATTTAAAAGCTAAAGTATGGATAAAAAAGGATAATTCCCTAAATAATCTTCATTCAAACCATCATTGAAATATGTTTATTAAATGGAAATATAATAAAGTTATGAAGACAATATATCAATTGGTGATTAGGAACATCCAATTTAAGATAAAAATCTTTAATTTTTATAATTTTCTTATTATTAATTAAATAGATAAAAATTTGTTTGATTTCATATATATATATATCTCATAAATAACAAAAATCATTTTTATATTCTAAATTCTTAAATTTCTTCTTCACATTTCCTAAATTATAATCATTAAATTAATTAAATATATTCTCATAAATCTTATCTTCTATTAATTAAATTATATTTATTACTTTTATACAATAAATATAATAATAATGCAAGTATATCTGACACAAAAGGCAGTTCTTTAAGTATTTAAATACTATAAATTTCCTTAATGCTTTCTATTGATGCCTCATATATATTCTAATCAACTCTTATCTTATTAAAAATACAATCTTAATCAAACATATGACTTAAATTGATACAATTTCGAACTATAAATAAACTACTTGTATTAATATTATAAAATATTGTTTTTAACTTTTGTGATAAGTAAAAGAGATGATTAGTATATTCATCACTTGAAACTTTACATAAACTACAAATCACTTTGAAATTATATCCTTATGAAGTTCTTTCATTTTTATCATAAGAAGCAGCTAAAAATAACTCAAGCATTTTTTTTTGGTAGTTTGATTTAAGTTATAATTTAAGATGAGAGCAAAATTACATAATTGCTTAAGCTAATATTTTTAGAGAAGGATTTGAAAATCTAATAAAATAAATAAATAATCCACCTACTGTTTTTTCATATATAGCTTTGCAAATCAATTCAAAATCTTATTGAGACTCTAAAAATTGCATATCTATTTAGCTATCAAAAATATTAAATTTATCATATTATTTGATATCAAATAAATTACAAAAATAATTAACCAATTCTGTGGCATCTCTGACTATATTTTTTAATAATTCTTTTTATTTTATTTTTTATATTAATTTCTTAGCAGATTTAAAAGTAATATAAGAAGATGTATAATTATTTCTTTTTTAAAGTTCTACTATTTCAAATTATATTTAATGATTTTCAAAATCAAAAGTTTTATTATTTATTTTTATAAGTTATGTTAAATTTTAAGAGTTTAAAATTGATTATTTACTTTAAATATGTTCAATCTATGATTTTGGATCTATTTAATATTGAAATTTTTGATTTAATATTACTCTTTAAATTTTATAATAAATATTTGGATGATCAATTTTAATATCCTGTAATAGTCTAACTTATAAATAATCTATTTATATTTAATCATATGTAGTTATCAAATGACAATATGGACATGACCATCTACTTTTATTTGGTTAAGAATTAAAAATTAAAAAGGAATTTAAATCAAAACAATTAATATGTGAACAATGTTTGCCTCTAGCTGGCAATTACAATTGTTATGATGTAAAAGGATCTAATAAATTAATAGATAAGTTTGATTAAACTTAAATATCAATACATTCTTCCTAATTTTCATTTGGTTTATTTATTTTATCGAAATATAAAACTTTTTATTAAGTTATAATTTATTCTATCTAATCTTTATCACCATTTATTATTTTTTATTTTACATCTTGCCATTCAATATTTTTGACCAGCACAATTCCAAACAATGAATTGAACTCATTCTTATCCTTGAAAATAAGTTTAATACAATTTTATCCTGTAACTATATGATTAGGAGACCTAGAATAATTACAATTATAATACACATAAGCAAAATCAGTCTCGTGATATTTTATCTAATATTTTTCATTAACCCATATTTCTATATTATTACTAGGCCAAACAAACAATTATTTTTATTCTTTCATCTTTATACAAAATATTGAAAGGATAATCTAATTCTTTTTGATATCATCATAATATTTGTTCACTTCAAAAGTAAACATAAATTATTGTTCTTAAACTGTTTTTCCAATCTAAAAGATTTTATTCTTTTTGTTATTGAATCTAACATAATGCTTTTTAATTAATTATTTAATGTACTTCAATTTATTTAAATGGATTGCTTGCTTGAAATGTGCAATCTACACATCTTTATTCTAATGGTTATTTATCTGTTATCTAATAATCATAGCATGGCCAATGGCTTTATCTTTTACAATTTATACAAGAAAAACTATCTAATGAATTTTATTATTCACAATAACACTATTTTTACATTTATTAATAATAAATAGAATTATAATATATTCTTANATTAACCAATTCTGTGGCATCTCTGACTATATTTTTTAATAATTCTTTTTATTTTATTTTTTATATTAATTTCTTAGCAGATTTAAAAGTAATATAAGAAGATGTATAATTATTTCTTTTTTAAAGTTCTACTATTTCAAATTATATTTAATGATTTTCAAAATCAAAAGTTTTATTATTTATTTTTATAAGTTATGTTAAATTTTAAGAGTTTAAAATTGATTATTTACTTTAAATATGTTCAATCTATGATTTTGGATCTATTTAATATTGAAATTTTTGATTTAATATTACTCTTTAAATTTTATAATAAATATTTGGATGATCAATTTTAATATCCTGTAATAGTCTAACTTATAAATAATCTATTTATATTTAATCATATGTAGTTATCAAATGACAATATGGACATGACCATCTACTTTTATTTGGTTAAGAATTAAAAATTAAAAAGGAATTTAAATCAAAACAATTAATATGTGAACAATGTTTGCCTCTAGCTGGCAATTACAATTGTTATGATGTAAAAGGATCTAATAAATTAATAGATAAGTTTGATTAAACTTAAATATCAATACATTCTTCCTAATTTTCATTTGGTTTATTTATTTTATCGAAATATAAAACTTTTTATTAAGTTATAATTTATTCTATCTAATCTTTATCACCATTTATTATTTTTTATTTTACATCTTGCCATTCAATATTTTTGACCAGCACAATTCCAAACAATGAATTGAACTCATTCTTATCCTTGAAAATAAGTTTAATACAATTTTATCCTGTAACTATATGATTAGGAGACCTAGAATAATTACAATTATAATACACATAAGCAAAATCAGTCTCGTGATATTTTATCTAATATTTTTCATTAACCCATATTTCTATATTATTACTAGGCCAAACAAACAATTATTTTTATTCTTTCATCTTTATACAAAATATTGAAAGGATAATCTAATTCTTTTTGATATCATCATAATATTTGTTCACTTCAAAAGTAAACATAAATTATTGTTCTTAAACTGTTTTTCCAATCTAAAAGATTTTATTCTTTTTGTTATTGAATCTAACATAATGCTTTTTAATTAATTATTTAATGTACTTCAATTTATTTAAATGGATTGCTTGCTTGAAATGTGCAATCTACACATCTTTATTCTAATGGTTATTTATCTGTTATCTAATAATCATAGCATGGCCAATGGCTTTATCTTTTACAATTTATACAAGAAAAACTATCTAATGAATTTTATTATTCACAATAACACTATTTTTACATTTATTAATAATAAATAGAATTATAATATATTCTTAAGATATTTTAAAAGAATTAGAAGAATATAAGAATGAACGTATATTCATTCAATAATAACATTTATTATGTTTACTAATATAATACTTATTTATTTCTAACTTATTATCATTAATTATTTTATTTTTGTTTTATAGTATATATAATTTGTGTTATTTTTAACAATAAATTCAAAAACTTACTTTGATTACTTATAAATGTATTTAATTTTTATTATTGAATTATTTCTAATTCAAAGAAGTTACTCTAACACCTGCTAGAATATTTCAATTTCACCTAACCAATACTATTATTCTTATTACCCAAATTTATTGATCTTGGAAGCTAATGTTGAAAATTTTAATAATGTCTAAAGTATCAATATGGAAATTGTTAAAAAGTCATTTGCAATTCCTTATCATCAAAATTTTTTAGCACTTCAGATTATTAATCCATTCTAAATGAAAAATAAGATATAAGATAAACTAATTTGTTAGTTATTTAAAGTTGATGAATATAGTATCAATTGTATTGAAAGTCATTCAATTTTTTTTGATCAAAAAGATGAATTTAAACTAGTAATCCAATTATAAACATAAAATATATCATAAGATTATTGTGATTATATGCATTTTGATGAAACTAAATAAATTTTTATTTTACTTTGTCACAATTATCCTATGTTTAAAATATATGAAGTAAATATTCATAATGAGACAACACTTCTATAATAATTGAATTTAACTATATAATTTTAAGAAAAGTGTAAAAGAGCATAATATTTATTAAATGATTAGACAATAATAATTGCATTTCATAAATGTACTCATTGGATGATTCTAATAACAGATTAATCAAATAAACAGATTCAAATTCTATTGGATTATTAATATAATTTAATGAAAGATGTATTATTGGATTTTTATATTGTAAATGAAATATAATTTTGTGAAACTACTTCTACAATTTTTCTTTATTTTATAGAATAAAACCGTTATGCAAGTATTCAAATTACTAGAAGCTAAATTAATATTTAACAATACTTCATTTATATAGCTACAAATTTAATTTAAAAGTTAATAATTAATTCAAAATGTTCATTAAAAATACCAATCATCTATAATTAAGAATATTCAGAGAATACTACAATTGTAAAAAATTCTGAATTTGTTCTATATAATTTGTATGAATTTAATGATATTAATTATATCTAAAATTATCTTTTTTTAAAAAGAAATACTGAACTTATTGTTGATATTACTAAATACATTAACTAAACATATTAAATTGAGACAACTCCTTTGATTTTTTTGGAATAACTTAATTTATTTTATTAAATTAATCCTAAAAATAAAATCATTTAATTCTATAGAATTTCTTCTTTAAGAAAAATATTTAAACCTAGAGAAAAATACATTTTTCTGATTGATGAGGAATAATAACTCATTGGGAATACAGACAATATTTAATGTATAAAGATTGATTATAAAGATAAAGATTTGAATAATATTTTTGATATTGAAACTACATTTAACTGCAAAATGAAATTTAATTGTAAAATAGAAATAATCTAATAAAACTCCCTTTAATTATTTAATTTTGATTTTTTAAAGAATAGAACTAATTATTTAAGCATAGGTATCTAAAGAGTGATAATTAATAAAAACACATGTATTATTAAGAATCTAAAATATTAATCTTATTATAAAATTTATGATTTATTTACTTTAGATTAAGATCATATAATTTATGAAATAGATAAATATTTATTTGTTTATAATTGTTAAAGAAAAAGAGTGTTATTGTAAATTGGTTTACTTTCTTTATAAGTATATAACTATTTTAGTAATATTTTCATTTATGATTAGAAGACTAATATAGGTAGGTTTCTTTTTTGTAGAACTTAAACGATTCACTAATATAAAATAAAGTTTGACCATAATATTTCTCAGATTAAACAATTTCATTAATTTTTGCTATTATAATCAGGTTCTTATCAAAAAATTGAAATATTAAATTTACATTAGGGTGCTTTGGGCTTTAATTCAACAAAGTCTGCATATTTAGAATATTTAAATTTGTAAACATCACAAGAAACTTAAGTGTTATTTTACACTTAAATTTATCATCTATAAATCATCTAATTTCCAGGTTTAATAGCTTTTAAAAAATATAATTAAACTAGATTTCTTTAATTCCCTGACTATCAAGTTATTTATATTTACACTATAGTAAAGTATATTTGTTTTTATGTACAATAAATTATCTTTATTCGATATTTTCGATACACTATGAATCAAACACTATTTTTTTATAAATAATAAATGAAGGTGGAATACTACAAAGATTTAATTGGACTAATCCAGATATTAAATTCTCTAATCCATTATAATACAAAGTATTTTAAAATTACTTATGTATTCTATCAGAGAAAAATCAATCTTTTAATATTTTGGTTTTCTATATTTTACAGGATGAAGTGATTTTATAGGAAGTTATCTAAACAAAAAATTCCTTTTTTAATATTGAATAAAATTATATAATTTTGTATGATAATGAATAAGGATTTATTTTAAAGAGTTTGTTTGTTTATGATTTAGAAATTTAAATTGAATAAATGGCTTTGAATAAATTTATTTTAAAAGATCATATAGAAATGAAATTTCAACCTAATAATTTAGATGATTAATATCATTTTGAATTAAATATATAAATAATTAATGAATGCAGAAATTTGAAAACATTTTTCAATAAAACTGAAATATATGTTAATAATAAATAAGATTTCTAATTTAAAGTTACAGATTATTTTTATGGTCCTATAGATAAATTAACCTATAGAATTAATTAAAATAAACTAATTAATATCAGTCCAATAAAGTAAAAACATCAAATACTAAAGTGCATAAATTTGAACTAAACTTTTTGTATAAGAAAAATTAAATTTGTTGATTAAAATTAATTAATTGATGAATTTCTTTTCGCAATAATAGTTTTTGATAATAATAATATAATGTTAATAGAATGTTTATTTTATGATTATACAGCAATTATTTGGTTGGATCATTTTAATTTCTTAATTGCATAAAATTTTAATTAAACTTTGTATTTTTTTAAGTATGTTTTAGGAGACTAAGATACTTTAAGATACAAAATTAAATTGAATTTTTAAATTGAAGGAAGTAATAATATTAAAAATGTTAAAAGAGAAGGAAATTTGATTGAAATTACAACAGATATAAATTAAGTTTACTTTAATATTGAAAATGGTTAATTTAATTAAACTAAGGGTTTGAATAATATTATCGACTTCATTGTTTTATAAAATACAAAAGATCATTATATATTACTCCATAAGATGTAATCTTCTTTTAATATTGATTTTTTGATTAGTATATTTCGATTAAATGACTAATTAATTATTTCTTAAATAAATATAANTTATCTTTATTCGATATTTTCGATACACTATGAATCAAACACTATTTTTTTATAAATAATAAATGAAGGTGGAATACTACAAAGATTTAATTGGACTAATCCAGATATTAAATTCTCTAATCCATTATAATACAAAGTATTTTAAAATTACTTATGTATTCTATCAGAGAAAAATCAATCTTTTAATATTTTGGTTTTCTATATTTTACAGGATGAAGTGATTTTATAGGAAGTTATCTAAACAAAAAATTCCTTTTTTAATATTGAATAAAATTATATAATTTTGTATGATAATGAATAAGGATTTATTTTAAAGAGTTTGTTTGTTTATGATTTAGAAATTTAAATTGAATAAATGGCTTTGAATAAATTTATTTTAAAAGATCATATAGAAATGAAATTTCAACCTAATAATTTAGATGATTAATATCATTTTGAATTAAATATATAAATAATTAATGAATGCAGAAATTTGAAAACATTTTTCAATAAAACTGAAATATATGTTAATAATAAATAAGATTTCTAATTTAAAGTTACAGATTATTTTTATGGTCCTATAGATAAATTAACCTATAGAATTAATTAAAATAAACTAATTAATATCAGTCCAATAAAGTAAAAACATCAAATACTAAAGTGCATAAATTTGAACTAAACTTTTTGTATAAGAAAAATTAAATTTGTTGATTAAAATTAATTAATTGATGAATTTCTTTTCGCAATAATAGTTTTTGATAATAATAATATAATGTTAATAGAATGTTTATTTTATGATTATACAGCAATTATTTGGTTGGATCATTTTAATTTCTTAATTGCATAAAATTTTAATTAAACTTTGTATTTTTTTAAGTATGTTTTAGGAGACTAAGATACTTTAAGATACAAAATTAAATTGAATTTTTAAATTGAAGGAAGTAATAATATTAAAAATGTTAAAAGAGAAGGAAATTTGATTGAAATTACAACAGATATAAATTAAGTTTACTTTAATATTGAAAATGGTTAATTTAATTAAACTAAGGGTTTGAATAATATTATCGACTTCATTGTTTTATAAAATACAAAAGATCATTATATATTACTCCATAAGATGTAATCTTCTTTTAATATTGATTTTTTGATTAGTATATTTCGATTAAATGACTAATTAATTATTTCTTAAATAAATATAACATAACCACTCCTTTAAGAAATGAGGAAAGCACTTGATGATAAATTTTCTTTTTAAAATAATTCAATTTTTCCACAAATTAGATTGATTTCTTGTAAATTGTTCATTGAAATAATAAGAGTTAAATTATTAATTATTTTAAGAACTCACTCTTTGATAATAGAAATATAAACAAATAAAGAATATATCAATGATATACATAAATCATCTTCAATTAGGCATCCTTTTCTAGATATTGATGGAATTTTTGTTTAAGCAGATGAAAACATCCTAATCCTTAAGTTTTTTGATAATGTAAATCTGTTTTATTATTATGACTTATAAGAAGATAAAGAATTCCTAGATTACATATATTCGTCATAGATCCTTGAAATTAAAAAATTCAATACTACTCATTATCTATTATTTACAAATGATATAATTAGTATTGGGATGTTTGAATATACAATAAATTTAGATACTGATTTAGATTTAATTGAAGGATTAACTTTAATTGCTGAGAATAAAGTATCAACAGCAGAGATCACATTAATTCTGAAGACATAAACCAGTAAGTTTAGTTTAATTATATATATATAATTAGTAACACTGTTTCTTATAGAATTTTATATTAGGATTAAGAAGAAATAAAAACAGTTGAAAAGATGAATAATTATTTTGAATATAAATATATAATATAATTTTTATTAAAATTAATAAAATATAATAATATTGATTATGAGAAAAAAACAGATAAACTCTAAAAAAAAATGATTTAAAAATCCTTGTTTTAATTTGAAAATATAAGGGAATGAATTGATTTGATATTTAATAAAAAGTAATGAATTAATCAGAAATAACAAACTACTTAACACAAATGGCTAAAATATTTGAGAGATTCAAATTATTATCCATGACTTTAGATTAATTTGAAGAGAAGTATATGAATAATTAAAATGAAAATAAGGAGGAGAAAGAAATTAAAGAAATAAAAAAGGGATTAAAACAATAATTGGATTAATTATAAGAAGTGAAAATATAGACCCCAAAGTTTAAATATGATTCAGATAATAAAACTTATTATTGTTCTGAATGTTCTAAATAATGCAACTCAAAATCAGCTATGTTAAATCATCAATACTTTAAACATAATCGACCAAAAAAGTAAGGGTTAAAAAAATCTATCAAATATTAAATTAAAGAAATAGATGTTGATGATAGGATGGATGATTTAATTATTTTATAATGATTATATATGAATTATATATTTAATTCTCAAGGGAATTACAAAAAATATCCCAATGTGATTATTAATTATTTAAATTTATTAGAAATGCCTCTAGAAGCAGCTGTAGTAGTTTTGGATAACTCAGAATTCTCTAGAAATGGAGATTTAGAGCCTTCTAGATGGAATGCATAATAAGAAGCCATTGAATTGTATATTAATATTGTTATTGATTCAAATATGGAAAGTGGAATGGGATTGATTTTAGGAGGAGGTAAACAAGTAAGATTGTTGATGACTCCAACAAATGATAGAGATTTAATTTAAGGTTAATTCCATAAAACAAGATTAGAAGGTAATCAAGTCTGATGAATAAAATAGGCAATTTAAAGTTTTCTGTTGCACTTTAATAGGCATCTTTAGCTTTGAAGCATAGAATCAATAAATAATAACATCAACGTATAGTGGCATTTGTTGCAAGTCCAATTGAAGAAGAAGTAGATACTTTAGTCAAGTATAAAATGATTTAAATAATGTTAGTCTTGCAAAAAGATTAAAGAAAAATAATATAGCAATTGATTTAATTAATTTCGGAGAGTAGAATGAAGAACATCTTTAGAAATTAAAAATATTCTTTGAAAATGTATAGAAAGGATCGAGTTCAAAATATATCAATATCTAACCAGGAATGAGCGCAACAGAAACACTTTTTTCAACTTTAGGAAATTATTCTGATTTTTAAGCTGAGCCTGGATAATAATAACAATAAGCTCCATAATAAAGCACAGGTGGATAATTTTCTGAATATGGAGGGTTTGATCCAAATGTTGATCCAGAGATGGCTTTGATAATGAAAATGAGTCTTGAAGATGAAGCATAAAGATAATAATAATAATTAGCTTAGTAATTATAATAATCTTAACAATAATAATAGTAACCTTAATAATAATAATAATAATAAATATAAGAAGAAAAAATAGAAAATGTTATCGAAGAAGAGAATGATGAACTATTAGAATAAGCGAGATTATTAAGTATGCAAATAGAATAATAAGAATAACAAGAACAACCTAATTAAACTGCTTAATAGTAATAAAAATAAAGTTAACTCACTTAGAAGTAAGTATATTTATTATAACATAGTTAATTATTCTAAGATTAAAACTTCCTTGATGAATTATTAGATGATGTAAATAAGGACGAAGAGTAAGAAGGTCTCCTAAAAAAAGATGCAGACAAATCAAAGAAAGATTGATACATTATAAAATATTTAATATAAACAACTATTAATAATATAATTTAATGGACTATTATATATAAACCATTCAATAATTATAGTAGACAATTTAATTAGCTTCTAATGAAAATAAAGAATTGAGTTAAAAATTAATATCCTTGCAAATAAAATATGATCCAGAATCAGATCTATAAATAAAAAATTTAGAAAAAACTTTCTTGCTTTAACAATAGCAATTAGCATAGCTTAAATAAGAGAAAATTAAAAACAGTAGAATATAGCCATTAAACAGTGAAGATAAATATTAGATATTATAATTAACTGAATAGATAAATGAAAAAGAGGCTGATTTAAGAACTATAGAGGATCTGATGTACTAAACTGAATTTCAAATCAAAACTGCAAATCAAGAATTATCTGAATTGAAATAAATATTAATAGAAAAATAATAGGATCAAATATAACTTAATAAGAAAGCATAATAGCTCGAAAATTTGATACGAAATATTAATGGACAAGATAGTCTACCGATGTCATACATTAATGAAATAGATAGACTAAATAACAAATTACAAAATTTAGAAAAATAATCTAATATTTAATCAAGGCTAACCTACTAGAGTTATTACAAGTAAAATTGATTTTACATATTATTTTATATTATATATGATTAATAATGGAATTTTTAAACCAAAGAGATTACCAACAGCAACAAAAAGAGTAAAATAATCTTCAAAACCAAGCATAGATTCCTTAATGTTTAATAACATTAACAAATAAAGTGTAGCATGTGATTCTCAATTTTTTACAACATCAAGAAAAACTACTCGTCCTTAAACTGCTCTTTAATTGCCTAATAAAGATACATTATTTGAATTACCATTATATTCAAATGATGAAGAAATAAAAGAGTCTAAAAATAAAGATGTATATTTTCATACAAAGATGAAATTATTTGCCAAAAAATATTCAACTACAATGCCAACTCACATGAGTACATAATAATCTATTATTAAATCCTAACCATTAATTTAATCTGCTACCAAAAGAACTACTAAAACTAATAATTCGGTTGCTAAGCCTGTGACTAAACAATAAACAATCGAAGTTGTAAATTAATAATAAGTACTCCAACCAACAACTATGAATATCAATTAATTCTTCTCTTAAATTTAATAGATTAGATAAGAGCCTTAGTTTATGCAATGCAATTTAGATAATTTTAGTAAAACCTAAAAAATATTGCAAATAAATCCTGAAGAAGTTAAAGCACTTTATGAAGAATTAGCACATTTGGATGTCAAATTCATGAAAATGACTGCTGACACTGAGGCTTTCATACATAATCTATATGCTGATAAAAATAAATTCTTGAAAATAAAAGATAATGTATTAACAGAACATTAATTAATATTTCTAACTGACTAACTAAAGATTAAAAGAGAATTGCTTGAATAAGGTTAACCATTTGATAGTATAAATTTTGATGAAATTGACAAAATTGTTTAGAAACTCATTTTTTTTGAAAGATTTACTAAATCAACAAGGATTAATCTTGTCAAATTAGGTTAGTATATAGAAGTTCCTCCAGGTGAATATGTATTTCATTAAGGCGATTTTGGAGATAATTTATTTGTTATTTTATCAGGAAGCGTTGTAGTAAAAATTGAGAAAAAATTTACACAAAATGGACCTGTAATTGAATAAGTAGTTTCATCCCTTTATGATGGTTAACATTTCGGAGAGTTAGCCATGATGGAAACTACATAAAAAGGTTCAGAGGAGGTTCTTGAAGAAAAATTAGAAAATATTAATGTAAGGTCACTTAAAGAAGTGAAAGATTAGCTCATTAAACAATAACTTCAAGATCTAGGATAATAAGATGAAGCATTATAAAAATAAAAGATTAAAGAATTACAGAGGCAAAACACAAATATCATTAATTTGGTTAAAGAAGATACTATTAAAGAAAAACATTATATTATGAATTTAGCTAATGATGATGATGAATTAGTGCAATCTTCTGGCTTAACAAAATCAAACAATATTTAATATAAAAAGGTAGATAAAGCTTAATAAAGAAAAGCTTCAATATAAGCCAGCGAAACTTGTCATTTGTTAGCCATTAGCAGAGAAAATTTCAAAAATATCCTTATGGTCTTAATGCAAGATGAATTAGAGCAGAAAATCAAAATGCTTAAATCTTTGAGGTTCTTTAAATAAATTCAGCCGTTTGTATTAATACCTTTAGCAAATTAGCTAATCCCTTAAAGATTTCATCTCGATGAAGTTTTAGTTAAGGAAGGAGATCTCTTAGAATTTATGTACATTTTATATAAAGGATCTTGTAATGTTATTAGAACTATAAATACGGAGAGAATCAAAATACCAGAGCATCATCGGAAAAAGTAAAACAGAAAATCCTATAGATATTATTAAGAACATCCAATAACAATAACTCATAATACACCTGAAGATTATTTGTCTTGCTTAACACAAGATGGAGATATTACATATAAAGTTCCTGATTATGCTATCTGTAATAGCAATAATGGATATATCCAATATAAAAAGAGTTATATATATAAAAAATTGTTTCCTGGAGATATTATTTTTGGGAGAGTTTTAACAGGATTGAGACTTGAGGGTGATAAAGGTATAGACAGAGCAAGAATGACTATTGTTAGTTCATCTAGTACTACAATAGTCTATAAAATTAATCTAAAGCTAATATAATTTTGCCCAGAATTTTTAATAGAACATTTTACTAATCAACTCTTAATTTACAAAGAAGTTGATCTCATTGAATAGTCTGCATTAAATTAAGAAATCAAACAAATCTATTCCAATAATTAAAAAATAGTAAAGGATTAGGCTTAATTACTTTCAGAAATCGAAGAAAAATAAAGAAAGATAGACTTGTAAGAGTATTATAAGAGAAATAAATTAAGAAAGCCTTAAAATGAGAAAAAATAGGATCTACGAAATTCAGAATGGGAACAATTTAAAGAAAAAGTTGTGATACAACAATTGTTGTACAACAAAGTCCAAAACTGATAATCTATTTATATTAAATAATAATACTTAATTATTTACTATATTTAAATATCATATTGAACTTAAAATATCATAAACAGAATAATTTATTAGAGCACATAAGTAAGAAAATATTACTGTTAAGTGAAATTTATTTAATATGTGCATTTTTATGTATAATTTTTGACTCAAAGAAGAAAATTTTATTCAACTATTTCAGTGAAGAAAATTATTTCTCATAATATTTTCCATTTGGATTTTTAAAAATACAGTTTAAGAAAGAAAAAATTTTTCATTAACAAGTAAAACTTATTAAATTAATATCTAATTATAATTAAGATTTGACTATTATTTTCTAATTCAATACTCATTTATTAAACTACGTTTATGACTCTTTTGATTTCATATATTCATATAAACATAAAATTTATTAAACTAAAAATTCTTGATTTCATTTCTTCAATAGAAACATTAAAAATGTATAGATTAAATATTTTTATTTCTATTCAAAATAATGCTCCATTTTTTAAGTTATTAGCAGATGTGTTATAGTATTAATAAATCTTAAAAAGATAACTTTTTAATTAATTAAATAATAAATTGTAATTGTATCAACGTTATATAAGAAATACATATCCAGTCTTAATTTATACGCTATAATTTATTTATAAAATAAACAAAATAAATTTCAGACTTATATATCATGAAATATATATATAATTAGTATACAATCTTGATTTGAGTCTTAAATAAAATGTAATAATTTTATGATAAAAAAAATAATTAATTGTAATTGAAAAAAATATGGATTATATGAAAGTATATCCTGTCTTAATTAATAAGCTATTATTATTTTTAAAAGAAACAATACAAATTTCAATATTCTATTAAGTGAAATAAATATATAATAAATAAATAATATTTATCCAGTCTTAAATAAAATGTAATAACTTTTGAATTAATAAAATATTAAAAAAAACAATATAAATTTCAATATTATATAAAATGAAATAAATATAGAAAAAATTTACAATATTGATTTAAGTCTGAAATAAAATATATAACTTTTGAATTAATAAAATATATAAATATAATTAATAAAAAATATTTATTTAGTCAATTAATAAATAATATTTATTTAGTTTTAATTAAAATGTCATAGCTTTTGAATAAATAGAATATTAAATTGTAATTTTATAAAATTTGACATATTCCAGTCTTAATTAAGTAGCTATTATTATTTAAAAAAAAATATAAATTAAGATAAATTTCAGCCTTATATAACGTGAAATATATATTTAAATAAGAAAATTAAATCAAAATAAATACACAAAAGAATATATCTCAGGATTAACAGTACTTTCAAAAAGTTATATTTACTCTAAGGAGAAATAAATCCCAGAAATTGCACAATATTCGATCAAGTTTTCTCTAACATAAAATCATATTGATTGGATAAGATAAGAGATTTAAGAATAAAATATAAATGAATTATGGAACTCAAAAACTATTTATTAATATTTTACGATACATGTTTAATTAGAATATGATTTTGTTTCTCTGACGAACTTTTAAAAATATTTAAGAATAAGTGGGGCTAGTTTTCATCAAGTCAAAATAGGAAAAAAAGAAAATTTCAAAATTAATAGGGAAAGCAAGTTGTTAAGTTATTATCTATCATTACTTTCAATAATGAAATAAAATGTTTCATTGTTATTTTTTGATGATACCACATATACTCATCATTCTATAAATCCAAAGTGTAGGTAACTTAAAGGGGAGAAAAAATATAGACGTATTTTACAAATGTAGAAATCCCTACATGCTATTGGTTGTGAATGGTAAAATGGTTTTAGGTATTTTTAAATTTGTAAGGGAATAGTTAATTAATACATTTTTGCTTAATTTTTAGAATAATTGCTGAAAGCTGCTTAAAAATTTTATTAATATATGACATATGTCTAAATTATGGATTTTAACCAAGTTAATGTCTAAAATTAAATTATTTAAATTATTTTTGTTAATAGTTAGATAGAAATATATATATAGCTATAATTCTTGTCGATAGAAATGATATTGCCTGCTTTGATTATATATTTATTCGTAAGATTACCTGGTAATTTATAGAGAAAGTTTTATTTTCAATCAAATATTCCAGATCTAGTATTACTAATCATATTTGTAAANTATAATTAATAAAAAATATTTATTTAGTCAATTAATAAATAATATTTATTTAGTTTTAATTAAAATGTCATAGCTTTTGAATAAATAGAATATTAAATTGTAATTTTATAAAATTTGACATATTCCAGTCTTAATTAAGTAGCTATTATTATTTAAAAAAAAATATAAATTAAGATAAATTTCAGCCTTATATAACGTGAAATATATATTTAAATAAGAAAATTAAATCAAAATAAATACACAAAAGAATATATCTCAGGATTAACAGTACTTTCAAAAAGTTATATTTACTCTAAGGAGAAATAAATCCCAGAAATTGCACAATATTCGATCAAGTTTTCTCTAACATAAAATCATATTGATTGGATAAGATAAGAGATTTAAGAATAAAATATAAATGAATTATGGAACTCAAAAA